CTTCCTGGGAAGCGCATCGCTCCTCGGCTTCCTGGGAAGCGCTTCGCTCCTCGACTTCCTGGGGAGCGCTTCGCTCCTCGGCTTCCTGGGAAGCGCATTGCTTCTCGGCTTCCTGGGAAGCGCGTCGCTCCTTCGCTTCCTGACAAGCGCTTCGCTCCTCGGCTTCCTGGGAAGCGCATCACTTCTCGGCTTATTGGGAAGCGCATCACTCCTCGGCTTCCTGAGAAGCGCATCGCTCCTCCGCTTCCTGACAAGCGCTTCGCTCCTCCGCTTCCTGGGAAGCGCTTCGCTACTCGATGTCCTGGGAAGCGCATCGCTCCTCGGCTTCCTTGGAAGCGCATTGCTCCTTCGGCTTTCCGAGAAGCGCATCGCTCGGAGGCGGGAAGCATTCTTCGGAGAGAGCATCTCGGAGGCGAGAGTCTTCGAGCCTAACCCGGAGGTTGTAGGCGTGTGTCTTTCCCGGAGGGCGCATCGCTCAGAGGCGGGAAGCTTTCTCCGGAGAGAGCATCGCTCGGAGGCGGGAATCTTCGAGCCTAGCCCGGAGGCCGGAGGCGTGAGTCTTCGAGTATTCCGGAAAGATGCAAGTGGCTAGTGCCCAATATATTTAAAGCATAAATATACCCTAGCATGTTGCGGAAAGCGCCTAGAATAATAATAATGAACTGATTTGCATGGCTTGGTATATGTCTATATGATATATCTTTGTAAGGTGACTTAGCTTGAGAGAAGTTGCCAAGCGATTGAATATCGGCTGTTGCGTCCTTGATCAACAAATCGCTCCTGTGGCATACTGGTTGGCCTGTCTATCATTCTCTGAGAGGTTGGCGGTTCGAAGGCAGGTGGAGGCGGTTCTTCTATTTTTTTTTCAGTAAGTTGTGCGTCATGGGCCTCCTAGTGGAGCTGGGCTTCAGTGGGCCTATGTGGTGAACGTGGAATGCGGTCCGTGTCTCAAATGCGAGGCGAGCGGTTGGATCCTGTGCTTTGGGGCGGAGGTAGTGGGCTTTGCGGTTTGAGATGAGACGCTGGCGATCCGGTAGTGAAGACGGGCCTTGACGGTTGGCATGGTGGGCCTAGGATGCTGTCCTAGTTCCTGGAGTGCAAAAGGGGAGGCGGGCCTCCCTCCGAAGAGGTCATAATAGAAGGTAACGCGGTCTTGATGCCAGAAGCGGTTCTGATAGTGTACTGGTGGACGTGTCTGATAATGAGTGAGATGTTGGCGGTTCGAAGCTTGGTAGAGTCGTCTTTCTTTCTTTTTTATTGAATGTGCTTTGCCATCCTTTAGCCAGGTGTGGACACGTGGGCCGCTGAAGCTTGGTGGGCCGTGCGGTTGACTGGGCCGGTCTTGACAATAAGTGGGCCGCATTATTGTGGCGTGCGACGGTTCTGAGGCTGAGAAAGGTTGACTTATCTTGAGAGAAGATTGAGAGCAGTTAAATATTGTATGTTGCGTCGCTGATTATCAAAGCGGCCTTGTAGTCTACTGGGTGAAGCGCTTGTATTTACCAACGAGGTGCTTGGTTCGACCCTTGATGGAGGCTGTTTCTTCATTATTTTTTAGAGGGAGGCTTGATGCGCGTGGGCCGCTGAAGCTTGGGCCGTGCTTGGACTTTGCGAGTCGGTTGTCGGAAGGGTAGCTGGGCCGCATTGTGGACTTTGAGGGCGAAGCGGTCCGCCGGGAGGCGGTCCCAATGAAAGCGAGTCGGTTGGATGGAAAGATTAAGTATTATCTGTTGCGTTATTTATCAGCAATGCGTCCTTGTATCTCACTGGTTTGCGTGTCTATCAATGAATCAGAGGTCGTCGGTTCGAAGGTAGGTGGAGGCGTGTTTGCTTCTTTTTGGATGAAGGGATGCAGAGCGGGTGGATTGGAAGGCGGCCAGCTTGAGATGGGCTTTCGATGTTGAACGCAGGAGATTGGAGGTGGGCCGCATTGGGCCCTTCTATTTGATGAGGCGGGCCGGTTCGTGGACCAGTCTGGTGGTAGGTGGAGTCATGGAGGCGGGCCCGCTTTCACTGGGTCTTCGATGGAAGGCGGTCTTCGGGCTTCGCTGTGGGATGCCGACTCATTTGACGGGAAGCTGTGCGGTTCATGTGAGGTGGGACGCGGTTGTTACTTGGCGGGCCCATTCTGAAGCCTTGTTGGCGGTCTGGCATGTAAAATGGGCCTCGGCGGTTTGGTCTTCCTTACTTGGCGGGCCCATTCTGAAGCTTTGTTGGCGGTCTAGCAGGTTGGGCGCGGGTTGCGATGCGTGACGGGCCTTGATTTGGGCGGTCCGTTGAAGTCGGGTACTAAAGCGGGCAATGGACGAGACGAAGCATGGACGAAACGCGGGCATGGAAGAGACGAAGCGGGCCTTGACTTGGGCTTAGGCGGTCTTCAATATTGCTGTGAAGGTGGACCAGGTCAAGGTTGTGCGGTTGGCACTTGGCAGGTCGGGCGGGCTTTGACCGCGAGGGGGATTCGTACGATGCGTGGCGGGCCTTGACATGGGCGGTCCGTTGAATGTAGGCGGGCTAATTGAAGAAAGGGGTGGCGTTGTGGGCTGGAGGCCAGGCGGTTCACATGTTGGTGGGCCAAGTTGAGTTGCTTAGCAGACTTGGAAGTATATGGACTTGGATCTTGTTCGGCCTCATTTCAAGGGTTGTGCACTTCAGCAGGCCCTAGTCTTCTTTCTCAATTTGCAGCTGTCGAGCTTCCTGCGGTCCACCCTAGGCGTTCCTGAATTGGTGAGACCGTTTTCATGGCCAGCTACTCCTCCATTTTACGTCGCTGGTGTTTACCAGTTTACGAGTCAGGCTCTTCCCGCCTGGAATCTCTGCTTTCGTTCCCAGGCGCTTCTATTGAAAGACGCTTACCCTTTGCCTCGGGAACTCCGATTGCCTCGAAAATGGAGTCTTCTTGTTCTTCGCGACAGAGAGAGAAAAGCATTGACTTTGGGGAGAGGGATAGAAGGACGACGTGACGCCTGCTCTGATAGCGACGTGACGCCTGATGGTGACCGAGGAGAGATCCCGTCGATTATGTCTCCGGTGGCCGGAATTCAGGAATTTTGGCTTCTTGCTGTAGAGGAGCAGTGGGATGAGGTTGACAAGGAAACAGTACCATGATGGTGACGCCGACGCGCGATTCTCGGTGGAGGAAAGAACGGAGCGGGAGCGTCGGCGTCGGGGGAGGCGAGCTGACACGCGCCGACCGTTGGCGACGGCGAGCTCTTCAACATTTGTTTTCTATCTTCGTTCTCCTTTTTGCAGATCTGAGTTGGTCATGACTGATGTCGGTCTTGGCAGAAACGGGCGGCTGTGGTGGCTGTTGGTGATGACTACGACTCCGTCGATGGGTATTTTCTTTCTTGTCCTTTCTAGCTGCTGCTGCCTGTGGTTTGCGGAGGAAAGTCCCTCCATGGGGAAGAGGAAGTCGACGGCGAAGAGGCGCCGCCGGCGGTAGGAATCTGGAAATTTTCCAGAATTGTTCTTCGGTTAGATCTGGAGAGAGGCGGATCCGATTTGTCGACGGGGAAGACCGATGAGGAGAAGCTCTGCTGGCTGGGTTTTCACCTTGATTTTCCTCTTTATTATGGCTGCTTGTTTCTTCTAGCTTTGTCGCCGATCCATTTTTTCCTTTTTGTCGAGAGCTCGGGCGGCTCTTCATAGGATTTGGCAGCTGCTGCCGTCGTCGCTTGTAGTTGGTCGAGCGAGAACAGATTTCTCTCCTCCTTTAGAAATCAGGCTGAAAGGATTCCAAAATCATTGCCCCACGGTGGGCGCCAAATTGTTTGAGCCTAAAATGTACTAGGCGGTTATGAGGCTCTGATCTGGACTCCCTCGTCTGATCTCCTCGGGAGGGGAAGAACCTGTGAGGCGGGGGGCGGTCCCCGGGATCTACGCTCCGACGCCCACGTTAGTACGATATAGTATGCGGTTTATGGTATGTAGAGAGAGAGAGAGTTTAGAGAGAGAGACCTTAGGGTAAGAGTGTGTGAAGGGAAGAAGAGGATCTTTAGTTTGGAGGGTTAAGCCTCCTTATATAGGGTTTGGGCTTCCTTGAGTGGGCTTGGGCCCAGGGCGACTTGCGGTGGGCTTGGGCCCGTTTATAGTCGTGTAGGCATATTAATCCATATCCCAACATCTTGCGATCTGATCGCTAATCGCGAGAGATGAGGTAGAGAGAAAGAAGGAAACTAGGGTTTCATTCGTTTTCGAGTGAATGGGTCGAATGAACGAGGCGGCTGGATGAACTAGGGTTAACTCAGCCTTTAGGAGGGAATATATACCTCGACCAAAACTACGACGTTTTGCGGGACGGGTAATCCGTCGGGCGGGTTATGGGGCGGATAGTTCTCGATCCGTCACCACCCGAGACCCATCGTTGACGGATACCGGTTTCACCGCGGCCCGTTGACGGGCTTCAAACCAGCAACCACCAGGCCCAAATTCGGGCGGGCTTCAGGCGGGTATCCGCTTGCGGACCCGGGCCTGCCATCCCTAGCTAGTTGTAGTGACACAAGCCATGATTACGCCGACAAAATCATCCAGTAGACCAGAGCTGAAAGTGTTAATCGTAAGAAACTTTAGTTGATTATGTCGTACGCTTTAGCCTAAACCAAAGTTATTTTAGTGTAAAGTTCATGTCATATTGAAGAATTAACTCAATTAACTATTAATTTCCACAATTCTGTGGTGAGATAATGTCAAAAGGGTTGTTCGACTAAAGAAATTTGGAAACATGAGAATTTGTCTAGCTTTTCACGTTTTACATAATCAAGGAATTAGCCTTTGGGGATTGAATGAAATCCCGCGTCTGGAAAGTTAACGGCTGCCTAACGGTTTCTGGATGGAAAGGGCTAGTCAGGAAATTGCTAGAAGTTCGAGGGCCAAACTAGAAAAATAAAAAAGTTCAAGGGCTATAAGCCTATAACAGGCAAAACATCATATCTGAGGGACCGAAAAAATGACACCTTATATAAAATCCATTTCGGTTCGAAATTCATGCAGCTTTGACTGCACAATCTGTAACGTTTAAGAAAGGAGGCGCGGACAACTCTCTTCTTCTTCGTCTGAGCGCCAATGGATCCATACGGACCGCCATTGACAGAGCCCTTAACCCCACAAGAGAAGCAGCTCATGAACGAAGTCATTTTCCTTCATTATCTCTGGCAGCAAGGTCCGCCCGCAACCCAATTCACCCACTTTCCTCACCCTAACCCTAATATCCATCCTCCTCCCAATCAATTGAGGAGGAATCTGGGTGCTTCGGCCTTCCCCAGCGTCGGTGCCGGACAGAGAAGCAAGCGCGCAAAACGGAATCCCCATGACCAACAACAAACTGGTTCTGGTCCCGAGTGGCCCGTCGACTCTCAGCCGCAACCTCCGCCTCCGACCGACTCACCCTGGCCTGCTTCGAAGCCGAACCCCGCCGGCGAAAATGGGGAAGTGTCTAAATCCGATAATGACGGGGCGGCGGCGAAGCTCGCGGCAATGCAATTGCAGCAGAAAGCTGCCGGGAGATTCAAGGAGTTCCTCGTCCGGAAAAGGGTTGATTGTGATCCCGGCTTGGATCGTGGCGAGGAAGGAGAAGAGGGCGAGCCGCTCGGTTCCGCGAGTGATGTTCAGGAGAGTGAGGAATTTAAGTTCCTGCTGAGTTTGTTTGTGGAAGACCATGAACTGAGGCAGCTCTATGAGAAAAACCAAGAAAATGGGGAGCTTTGTTGCATCGTATGTGGAGCAATGGGGGTTAACGCGAGGAGAGCGTTCAAGAGCTGCACTACCCTTGTTCACCACGCCATGCGGCTTACAAAGACGAAGCGGCAACGATCCCACCGAGCTTTTGGCCATGTTATTTTCAGGGTTTTTGGATGGGATCTCAGCAAGTATCCTGCAATTGTTGTCAAGGATGAACCTCTTGGTCGTTCTTTACAGAATTCGGGCGCCACCCAGGTAACATTTAGAAGTTTTAGTATGCATGTTTATGCCTTCAGAGAGTGCTTGCTTGGAATTCTGTACACAGCAGCCAGCAGGAGTATTTTTAAGGTTTCTTCTGAATGTAGCTGAATGTAGGATGGCAATTTGAATGAGCCAGTTTGATAACTTAGTTAGTTCTTGATTGCTTAAGTATATGTTTGCTTTTACCCGTAGGGAACCCAGCTGTCACATGTTTCTGATGCTCAGTGGCCTGCTTGGGATCCTCAAACCAGTTCAGTGAAGACGGCAAATTCTACCGACGAGCCTGTGATGCTTGCTGAGGTGCAGATTATGCAGAGGGCATTGGTTGAATGTAAAATGTTCTTTATGGAGACATCTAAGTCGGTCAGTGATGGTGACGACGAGGAAAGTGAAGATGATAATGAGCTAGACAACAAGGATGTTGATGAGTTGAGTTTCTTTATGAAATTGTTCACAGAGGACAGTGAGCTGAGCAACTATTATAAAAGTAATCATGAAGGTGGGGACTTTTGTTGTTTGGTCTGCTGTGCTATTGGGAAGAAGGGTTGGAGAAGGTTTAAAGGATGTCTGGGGCTTCTCAATCATGCTGTGGCTATATCAAAGACGAAGAAAAAAAGGGCCCACAGGGCGTTTGGTCAGGTTGTTTGCAAGGTCCTTGGTTGGAATTTCGACCGGCTTCCAATGATTGTGCCTAGTACAGAATGTCCACAAGAAGAGAGTATGGCAACGTCAAGCAATCTGCAGGTAAGAGTGCTTCTCTAACCTATTCTTCCCAATTTAGCTTCGCTAGGAAGTTGGCTTTCATTGCTGAATTCTTATAGGCAAATGTTGTTCATTGCAGTGTGATCCGAAGAACCATGCTCATTTCAATAGCGAAAGTTTCCATGATCCAGACAGCAAAGTGGAATATGTTTCTGCGAGGAATGGCGAATTAACTTGTGAATTAAATTCTAATGCTCATCAGAACCAGAGCATAGAGATGGCCAGCAAGGTAATTGCTTTCTGCAAGTTGAGGAAGACGTAACAGCTGAATATAGTTTTGTTCCAGCTTGGACCTTGTGTTTTTTCCCTTTACTCTCACTACTTATTGAGGAAGTCAGAGCTTAAGGAAAGATTGCTTTTGCTTTGCTGCTGCTAGACTTGTTTGGTTGAAGGCGATGCCACTGGTAACCTCGGCGGAGGGGACAGCCAGGATGCAGAAGCAAGCAATCCATCTGTAGGTGAGGAATTGAACATAATTATTCCATTGTATTTATGGTTTTGAGTTCACTGTTCATTTTCATATGCCATGTCTTCTGGTGTAGTCTATAGGTATATTTATCTCTATAATTCTTGAATTTTATACTTTTGTGATTCTAAACAATCCCTCCGCAAACTGATCTGAAGGAATGAGGTCTGGATGGAGATAAAATGAAGAAATTGGTTGGCAGATGACAGCTGAGACACTGATGGTGGGAAGATTCATGGATGCTTCTGTTTCTTCATCTAGAGCAGGCGCAGGCAGGTACGCAGCAGGATGAGAAAGCAAAAAGAGTCGAAGGTTGTAAATTATCAGTGGGATAATTGGTCTTTTAATGCAAAATCTACTTGTGCTGAACTGGATTCCCAAAACCATACATCACTCATGCCTGCATCTGCTTGAACCATCAGAGCATGCGATAAACTCCATGCTATGCTTCCTAGCTAAGAGGAATGGCTACCATCTTATACTCGTGCTTAACAGGATGCTGTAAAGTGAAGTTCCAAAGGGTGATTTCTATGTTCAATCTAGTTGGTGGAGTGCATAGCATAAACTACTTGGGAGAAGGTATACCAAGCAATGAACTAAGCGATTTTTATACAAAGTTATGGTGTTTTTATATCAGCTTTATGCTTCATTCCTATCCAAAATTGTACAGATCCATTTCATAACATGGACTTGACGCACAGTTCAGGTCGAGCGCATGATCGTTCAAGCATGAAGCATTGAGATAAAGAACTCAGAACTTGCTTGCAGTCACTGTAAACGATTATTACCGACTGAGTAGAACTCGGGATAGCACAAGCACGGATAACAAAGATTAAAGATTGCTGGATCTTCTGCACAGCATTAAGTTACAAGATTTCTTAATCACGGAATCGACAATTTATTTTGAGTCGACCAATTCTGCACAAAGTTCTTACATGTTTGTTGTTCATTTTGCATCCTTATTGTGATCGCTGACAAGCAAAGCTTCTTTCTTCGGGATGGAACCCCAAAATCACACGCCAAAAATCATTGTCCACAGGACAAAGCCAATTCATACAGAAAACTCTTCAGTAACCAAAAAATGCTGTGTATTGAGTCAAAGAATTAGGGGGAAAGAGAAGTTGATTCCCTAAATGCTACCACCGGAAAGAAAATCTCTGCTTTGGCCAACCTCTGGCAAAATTATTCAAGTTGGTTGGAGTTCTTCTCTCACAGAAGTAGTCTTTTAATGTCACTGAAGTTCGATCTAAGCGCAGCGAGAAATGCACCTGCAAAGAAAAACCATCACTCAGAAATTTTCCTAGTTTTAAGTACACCAAACATACTACTAGAGAATTGCACAGTGGCACGAACCTCCGACTTTGCCATCAAAAACCCGGTGATCAGCAGATAAAGTCAAGGTCATTTTGTTCACAACCGCGGCAATCAATGTTCCTGGCACAAAGAAAAGAGGGTTTCATTTAGATTTTGATTCTAAAATGGCTCCAAACAAGGTCTTGGGATTGGGAAGCAATCGCTCACCATCAGTACCAACCACTGGCTCGACTACTTTGTTCCCTCTGCCAATGGCCAGTATGCCCGCCTGCAAGTTTTCAAACGGACGAATCAATACAACATGTCCACGGGAGCATGGGAGCAAATGTCAGTCCATTGCAGAGATTCACAAACTACTAATAAAAAGGAACAAATGATATCTTAGGTTAGCTATTACAGTGCCGAAACATGGATAGGAACCAAGGACGTGTTGGAGGGAGAACCTGTGGAGGATTGATGATAGCAGCAAACTGGTCGACGGGATACATTCCCAAGTTTGAAATGCTGCACAATGATAATCGAGACGGTTTCAGAACGAAAGGAAATTTCTTTTTGTTTGTGTGTCCTTGAGTGGGAGTTAGGGGGAAAAGATGAAGAGATCTACTACTAATCCAACAGCGTCAATTACCTGAACGTCCCTCCCTGAAACTCATGTGGGGCAAGCTTCCCTGTCCGAGCTTTTTCAGCCAGTTGCTTGACCTGAAATCATTTGGTCGAGCATGAAAAAAGTTAAGTTTGAACTGAATCTGTTGTCGTTAAAGCCACTTTTCAGTTTGACATTTCAGGATTCCTATTAAACTAACGATAAGGGGGGAAAGCACAGTAAATAAAAATACAAGGCATTAGAAGTTCCTCAAAGGGAGCTCTTCTAACTGATGATGACCAACCATTCAAAAGCAAATCATCAGGTCTAGAAAATAGTTGGAACAAAAATTGTATTAAAAATAAATGAAAATATAGGACAAAAAGCGAATAAGAAGCAGCTGAAGCTGAAATCAACTTGGTAGACGGGCGATGAAATGAATTTTCATTGTCGATGGCAAGTTAGGAAGCTTTTGAGTAGAGTGAGTTTATGATAAGGTTTTGTAGTACTATTAGAAGAGGCAAAGGAAAAAGTCAACGAAGACCAAACAAACAACTTGGTAAAGAATAAATAGATTGGACATGTAGACAAGGCAATATGTGTCAACTTTGTTTTAAAAATACCTCCAACGAGATAGCTGAAATGGATTTCTGATCTGCATTTCTAATAATAGGAGTCATCAGCCCCTGCAAATTTATATAAAATCATAATTAGGGAAGATTATAGACACACTTCAAACACATAAAATTTTGAAAGCATATACCTTGTCAGTGGCAACTGCAATTGAGATATCAACAGAATCACAGGGAATGATCTCCCCATTCTCGTCATTCCAGTAAGCTGCATCACATTGATGCACCAACTTAGTATCAGAAACCAGGGCTCAAACTTTTCTCAAATATGCAACGGCAAATGCAAGCATTGGTATAAAAATATCAGCCATGATCTGAAAATCCCTAAGATCAATCCACCACAAAAGCCAAATCACTATTGCAGGTTCTCTTCGTTTGATATTATATTTGAAGAAAAACAGATAAAACAAGATATTGATGGTGGAAGAGGGATGGCACATTCCGAGAGCTAAGAGGACAGAGAACCTAGAATAATATCGATAGCCAGACAGACCCCAGGACAGCTAACGAAACAAATAAAAAAAAGTAGTCTAAATGATAACTCAGACTTGACTAGAACTTCGATGAAAGAGAAGATACTTCAGTTTAGCCAGTCATCTCCCTAAATACAAAACATTAGCTGTATGCTCCTTTAAACTTTGAGATCGTAAAACCCAGACATCCAATAAATTTATAACAAGCTCTCAATGATTGATGGAAGGTCATCAAAAACACAGATAAGGGTAATTGATCATCTAAAAATTTCAAGTTTAAGTTGACACCAACCGATTAAATATGGTTACTCTGTTTACACCATCTTAGAGATTAAAATGAGTTACAATGGTAGCTGGACAAATTAGGGATGAGGAAATCCATTCATTGATATAGTCTATTCTAGACTACAATCTAAAGTTAGAGGGAACTCATTACCATTAGCTTCTTGCACGTTCTTTAGAGCAACAGCAACGGCTTTGATGACAATATCATTCACCGAAACTTTGATATCATGCTTCTCTGTAGTCAAGAACACAGTGCATAATTTCCAATGAATAGATAGAAGATAAAAAGTAAGGATTACAATGAGAAAAGATATACATACCTTTTAGCTCCTTTCTGAAAGAGAGCAGAGGATCTAGAATGACATCTGATAGATACAGCTGCAAAATTAGACCAAAAACTATGCAGCAGCAACCGATACAAGTCATAACATGGAGAAGACACAACCTGTGCACAAGTATAAATGTGGGGTGGTCTGCTTTGATTCCAACAGCCTCTTCGCTATGATCTGAAAAGCAACCACGAAAATTACAACATAAGAAACGTTTCTTCCAACTATAGACAAGTATTGATATGACCAATTTAGCAGCCAGGAAAATATTTGGAAGCACACAAGCAAGTCTGCAATTGATCTATCCTCCATTCCCAAGCATACGGCAATGTAAGAAAAATTAAACCCATGCATGTGATTCCAAGAATTCATAAAAATAAAGAGGCCGTGTTTCCTATTTCAATATCTGATACTCCAGAGTTCACTTAGAACAGCCTATTCTACGTATATATGCGATCAATTCATATCAGAAGTAGCTGAGAACAACTGCAGAGAGAATAGAGAGCCATCTGTACATATAACTCTCATGATTCATATAAAAACATGTACAAGTGCGAATATGAGTGCATGCGCATTATCGACTGCCTATTATAGGTATTATACATGTTTAATATACACATACACATCTGTTTTCATCGTTCCCTTTTATAACTCCTTTATGGTGCACATCAGAGAGGTACTACTCCCCAGACTTTTCTCCTAGTTTCCGAAGCTGGTACTAGTAAGGAAGATATTGATATCACCTCCCTATTTCAAACAGACTCCCAGCTTAATGACCCCTTTTGGCCATCAACAAATATTAATGTATCTTTAGATGTAAGGATTCAATAGCACTAGCCTAAAAGGGCAGTTGCATATGCACCCAAAATAGAATGCTCCACAGAGCTTCCTCTGGGATCCCTAAGGCCCCCGGCATAGTTATCTCACTGTAACCTTCAAATGTAATAAGTCCCCAAATGAAAATGTGAACTACCTTGCGTATTTGAGAATTGGGTATGTCTTCGAAAGTATCTGAATGCTGTGTTGGGGATATGGAAGAAGGTTGATGGCTTTTCTGAGGTACTGGTGCAACTTTCTCCTTAGCTTGTGATTTGCTTTCAGATCCTTTTCCAGATCTTATTGCTTCCAAAACGTCTGTCTTAAGTAACGTACCACGAAAACCCGATGGATTCAATGATGATGCATCCAATCCATACTCTGAGATCAGCAACTTAGCAGATGGACTGATCCTTCTAATACTGGCTTGAGGTCTCTGAGTTTCATGTTTAGTAGCTGGAGCCGGTGATTTTCCTTCTTTGACCTCTGACCCAACAGCAACAGAGCTCTTTACAATATCAATATCACTGGAATCTTCAACCTTAACAAAAAATACAGAGTTGGAAATAGCAAGCAACTAAAGCCAAAATGATAGCACAAACCACAGAAAAAGAAAATACAATGCTGAAAGCATCAACGGTTCCCCAGGTAGGGAGTATGAGAAAGAAAAGAAACTTACTGTTATTGCAATAGGTTCTCCCACAGCAACATCTTTTGAACCTTCTGGAGCCACTATCTTAGCTAAATACCTGCAAATCAGCTTTTCAAAATAGGAATGTGAAACAGGACATTTGCTAAAATAAAAGATACACAAGTCCTCATCAGCTTTAAAAGGTTACATGTAATCAGATTTAGAAAAAACAACAGCGAAATGACTCCACCGAAAGCGACCTATGCATTTTTCTGGGTATAAGTTTCCTTAATCATGCCTAGAGGGTGATTTCTAAATCATAGTTGTTCTACCTAATCGAACAATAAATCAAGTCTGTAAACATTACTTGCTACAAAGAATTGTATCATCTAAAAGAGGTTCTATCCTATCTTTTATGGCTACCTGCTTGTTAAAATATTCAGCATCAGGACCCCCATGTATTGCTGCCTGGCTCCATATAAGAACTACCTCTCAAAAAAGTAGACGTGCATAAGTTGCAACAAGAAAAGAGTATTACCCTTCTTCGAGACTTTCAAACTCAAGAGTAGCTTTGTCTGTCTCTATCTCGCATATTATGTCGCCCACCTCTATCTGTCAAGATAGGAATGCGTTAAATTGTCTCGATGGATCAATATATCTATAAAGCATGGGATAGAAAAAAGAAGTACCCAGTATTTCTAACCTTATCGCCTTCCTTTTTCCACCACTTGGCAATGTTACCTTGGTTCTGCATCAGATAAACAATATTTAGCATTGTAGGAGACAAATGTGTTAATGCCAACAACCAGAACATTTATTCGCGAGTTCAATCGCACTAACCATTGTGGGAGATAGTGCTGGCATTCCAATAACAATATGAGGGGGAAGGTCTGATGTGTTCAACTGAACAGAACTTTTGTCATGTATTTTATCTTCAGTTTTAACATCCGGGTCAGATGCTTTGTCCTCTTTAACCTCTGAGCCACTCGCAACACTTCCAGGGGCATTTTGGATTTCATCTGCGTCCTCAACCTATTGAAGCATCAAAACCAGGTTAATATACTCGGTCTGCCGAACTATATTACATTACAAGAGAATTTAGCAAGAATGAATATGAAGCTAAACATCTCAAGTTCTTAATTCTTCTTCCCTGCATTAAAGCACAAAACAATGGTTTTCTGCAAGGATTATGAGGTTGCACAAACTTTTATGCTAGAGGTTATAATAAATTCTATCTTATAAAATGGACTGAATTGAGATTCATCAAACACCATATTGATAAGGAAGCTTCAGAGTCTCATAAAATGGGCTCTCTGAAGACCCACAATCACGAGAGAGAGAGTCGTCCAACTTACTGTTATAGCAATGGCCTGTCCGACCGGTACATCTTTTGAACCTTCAGGTACCAATATCTTAGCCAAATACCTGTGCCAACAAATACCCATCCATAAGGACAGTCACCGATAGGGCTTCCACTGCACAACTCCATTAATTCACCAACCAGATTATCGGGAAATACATTCGGAGAACATACGCAAGCAATTGAATCATACACAAAACAAAAAGCCTTCGAACGTTTTCACAGAGCACTGAATGTACTAGTGTCTCTGCATGATCATGCAGAGACCAGAATGCATATAAGAATCAGACAGAGACAAACACAAAGAATTGGAAGAAAAGACTCAGTACCCCTCTTCAAGGCTTTCAAATTCAAGAGTGGCCTTATCTGTCTCTATCTCACATAGTATGTCACCAACTTCTATCTGTTAGATGAGTTCCAAAGTCCAGAAATTAGAAAACAAGCAGAATACAACAAGCCTCACGAGCAGTATATCATAAAATCTTCAAATATTAATCACCTTATCCCCTTCTTTTTTATGCCATTTTGCTATGTTACCTTGAGTCTGCATATACCAACAGCCATAAGATCTTTGTGTACCATAAGAAAAGTAACACTAATATTATTTCTTATATATCTTACCATTGTAGGAGACAAAGCCGGCATCCCGATTACCATGTGTGCTGGAACCTCTGGAGCGATAGAGACCATGAAAAAAAGGGCAGACAGATCACTGGAGATATATGATTATGAGCAGCCTCCTTTCCAAAGATGGAGAACAGGACCAAGATTAAGATACATTTGTAGGGGGACATGGAAACTCAAGTAGAGAGTGAAGCTAGCAAAAGACGCTAGGATATTAACCTATATACTAAATATAACTCACTCTAGCTTAGTTGGAAGGTCCCTACTTTTTCCCATGCACGATACACAAGGCTGCGCATAGTTTCAACAGTTCCACATCATATGTTCAAAATTATGCTAAGAAATGTGATGAGAAAAGGCACATGTAAATTTGCAATAGTGCCAGTTTTTTCTCTACAGAATAGGTCATATAAGGGATTTTAAGTCATTCTGCGTGATGATCTGTTCTAATTCAGAGAATATATTACAAGTTGTAGACACCAACCCTTGAAGAATGTACTCTGGACTTGTCTAAATAACAGCCCATGAATATCTGGATCAACTTGACTGGAAATTGAGAAACCAAATGCTAACTCTTTTTCAGGCAAGACAATTCATTAAAAAAAAGTAAGGACAAGGTCAAGTCCAGTTTCTGTAAAATATTAGTGATGACAGCACCACAAGAACAACTCTTGATTATTCTGTTTATAAAAACATGAACTAGTGGCGCTCGTCAATATGGGCAAACTTTGAGAATGTTTCGAAGGATAATACCTGAAGAGAAATGCCGGACACGTCCGTGTAACTGGAGAGTGATGAGTTGATCAGGAAACAGACACATCCAAACTGATATAAACAAGAGTACTCATGATAACAGTTACCTTCACCTTCAAGAAACTATCATGTGCTCCCTTGATACTGGATAATGAAGAGGGCCTGGTGAGCACAATTATCCGTCATGAATAAGAACAAGTAAATAAAGAAAAGATGAGAAAAAGACAGGGAAGAGGAGGATGAAAACTGGACACCAAAATGGGCATAGTTGCATGTGCATTGAGTAGTAGCTTGAAATATACACCACTGCACATAGCCTAAATTTCATTTATCATTGCAAATACAACTGCCTGACTTGTCATCGAGTGTGCTAAGATAAGTAGTATATAACAACATTGCATTAACGACGTAAAGGAGCTTTGATCAAATACAACTAAAATCTTAAAGGAACTCTACATATGGCGACAGTGCTAAAACATGCAAATCATCAAAGTAGGATTGCAGTATAGCACATTAAAGAAGCAAGAGCCACCAACCTTAACAAAAGGCTGCTGCAATCTGCAAGGGAATTCTGGCAGCATGAAGACCTGTACAAAGAAGTCAATGAAGAAGCACAAAGTATTATATGAGCTGTAAAACAAGTGGGCAGGGCCTTAGCCAATAACACCGACAAAGCAAAGCACATAGAGCACTTGAAAATTTTATACAATGAAAGAGATTCTACACTGACAAAGGTGCAACAACAAGTTCAGGGCCCAGGAAAAGCTTAAAACCATATGTGGCTCACTGCTACTTGCCTAGCACTCTTTCTTCTCTCCATTTTCTTGACAAAGTATGCATGCACACTCCCGGACCCAAATGCAGCAAGAAGATCCCGCAAGGTAGGACAGAAAACCAGTATTGGGTTCACTTGTCCATATTTGGAACCAACGTTTGCTAAATTATCTCAGGCAAGCTTTGATGGCGCAAATCAAAAATTGGAAACGTTTCAGCACTTCAGGAGTTCTTAGTTTTCCATACAGGAGTGGAAGTTCCAGCATTCTCACCCCTCCGTTCTCATTTTTCCACACAGGAGTGGACGTTCCAGCGTTCCACCTATCCATGAAAGTAAAATTTCCCAAGACCGTCTAGAATTCCCAACATTCATATAGCAAAAGTGACCCAACGAAACTAAAGCTTGAAAAACACACCGAGATTATCACATTGATCATCGGTATGCAAGATGTTCTAAGCCGGATTCTGGAGGAAGTCGCGAAATTGACAAATACCCACCAGCCCCATGACCTCAAACTTACCAAATCAGATTCCAAGAGCTCACAGATAAGGAATCCACAATGACTCGATCGGAACAACAACGCACATAAAAACAACAGATAAGAGAACAGAAAAACTGAGGCTTACCGGGACAAGGATCTGGTGGAGGAGTAAGCGTAGTGGGAGAGAAAGCGAGCTCTAACAAGAGAGGACGCCCGTGACATCACCGGATGTCTGAGCCGTGAAAGCGCCATGCCTGAGAAGCTTCTGCTTCCTGCCTGCCTTCAGAGTTTTTCTTTTTCCTTCCCTTTTTTCTGGCTTTTCCCCCTTCAATTGCCTGGAATCTCCTGCTTTGCCGGGAAGACGGGGATGGAAGAAAGAAGAGTCTGATTCGGAGTAGCCGAGTAGCTCAGGCGAGGTGAATTGAGGGAGGCAAAGCCTGCTGTCGTTTCGTCGTTCTTTGACCCGCGAGGCAACAGAATTAGAAAATTCGCCCAAAATGCCAAATCCACCGCAATGAATTTCCTTTCCTATTCTACCCCTTTAAACCAACAATCACCACATAAAATTATGCCCTTAATAGTCATTTCACATACTCACTCATAAAATCATTATTAAACAGTCTACCAATCTAGGAATGGCAATTAGACAAGTGGACATTTAAATATGGATTTTGATCGGATAATTTATTATTGAACGAGAGTTGAGACAGAACAACCTATATTAGTATGTAATATGAAAGAAAAACCTTTTATATATATATATATATATATGGTGGCTATTTCGGTGCACTCACTAACCATATATATATATATATTTACTTTTTCATTACCAAAACCAATAAACAATGATAAATGTAATTAAATTATTCGAGAAATTAAAATTATCACCTATTTACAACATTATTGTAGCTAAAATATGAAGCTAAAACTTCTTAGTAAGTTGAGTAACATTACATGTATTTGTAGGCAAAACATGTTGAAAATGAGGCAATCAGGATAGATCAGATCGAGTAGAGTACTCATGTCTGCCCATACAAAGTAGTAAAACTTAAAAAACATATCGGATAAAAAGGATTACGTCGAAATCTTCATCCTTATCATACACTTCATCTTTTTCCCTCCAAATCAAAAGAAATCTCATTTTGTTGAGAATTTCGATTGTGAACTGGCTACTACATTCTAAAACATGAATCTAGTAACTGAACTAACATTCTAACAAGAGATGAAAGAAGGGAGAATCCATGAATATCAAATGTTGATTGTCTGTGGCTTCCTTTATTAACACTAAACAGGAGTTCATACAATTCAATACATAGTTGAATTGCAACAAACATCATCCCCAAATAAATCAGAAGCCTCAACAAAAAATTCAATTGCATTCAATCATTCTGATCCACGAGATCAGTCAATTACTACAAACACCAAAACACAGCTCGCGATCCATCCCGATCCCAGGCTACAACAGCGTGCCCAAAATTGATCCAGCATAGGATCGTCCTCTCAGCTTCGAGATGAACTTCAGAACAACGTTGGCAGCGTTGAGAGCAGCAAGGCTGCCGAAAGTCCGAATCGGATTGTGCCCCGATTGGTTCCCAGCCAAATCCGACATCCCCCTTATCACGATCACAGGTTGCCCATTTGACAAACACGTCTGCATCGACATGATCATGAGAGTTCATCAGAATGACGACGAGCTAAGGAAGGGGGAAGAGTATTGTTTGTTAAATGTTAATACATACCATGACAACAGCAGAGCTCTCCATGTCAGCGGAAGAAACCTTGAAAGTTTGGAATAGGAAGTCTCTGTAAGCCTTGTTGTCCACGAAGATGTTGGAGGTGGAGCCTCTCAGCCCGATTACCGCCTTCGGCTTCTCGTCGAGGCACGTCGTTGAATTCACGCACTGCTCTAGCTCCATCCCCTGTTTCAAACATTACTCTGTTTTTTTAACTTCCTACTCTGTTTTCGTTGGCGTTTGGATTAAGCCCATTTCCTTCTCTCTTTTTTTTAAAGTACAGGGGCCGAAATGAGAGACTACTTAAACCCAGGGGTGTTTTTGTGAAACGTGTTTGTTTCTGACCTGGACAGCTGCGGCGGCGAGATGAAGCCACCGGCGGGTAACGTTCATCCAGAGCACGGTCGCCGGAGTATTGGGCAGCAGCGAGGAAGACGAGTAGAGCTGCTCCTGGCTGTACCCGATTTGCCCCAACTGGTTCACTCCGTCTCCGACTGGCACATTGAAGTTCCCAATTTCCAGGTGAGCGATATCTTCCGGATCCAAATTCGCATCTGGGTTCTGCCAATTCCAGAGGCTAGTGTCGGCAATCTGAGCGGGAACAGAGACATCTCCAATATTCATGGAGTTGTTCAAGTTTCCCGATATCCCGAAATGGACGATTCCTGATATCACGAACGAGTCCACCATCTGCTGCGTCGCCGCCGCGGCGTTCACCATTCCGATCCCACATCGGACGTAGACGACTCGCTGGCCGTGGACAGTTCCAATCTGGAATCTTCGGCCTGTAAACAAAAAAAACCCAGATGACAAATTTTAACCCAATATTGAATGTGGGACGGGAATTGCCGAATTGGCGGTGGCAGAGACCTGAGAGATCGAGAAAAGGGAGTTTAGGGTCAGGAATGAAAGCTCCGGTGGAGAAGAAAGCAGTTTCTTCCGGCGGGTAGACAGTGATGAGACCCAGATAGGGGCCTCTCCGGTTAATCAGATTCAAAGCCCGCGCCTTTTGGTCCGGTGCCGGCCGGGATGTTGCAGCAGCAGAGGCGGAACAGAGTGCTAACCAGAAACAGAGCCAAAACAGGGGCAGTTTATGGAACCGTGGCGTCGGAGAGGACCGCATGGTCAATACCTGAGGTTAATGATGTTGTTTTGAATCGCTGCAAGAAGAGGAAACTAAATTCAGCCTGGTTTCTGGGACAGTAGTGGTAATAATTTCTTGTTATTCTTTTTTTTTTAAGTAGCAGCATTTTGTTGATTGTATCAGTTATCGTATCTTTTCTCAGTAGGAGTATGATTCACGTGGAAAATTCGATCCATCTGCAGCTACAAGTTGTGCTTGTGGATATAAAAATATCATATAGCTGTCAATATAATAATGGCAGCCCGATTTCTGGGACAGTAGCGTGGATTTTCTTTTTTTGTTCAGCAGAGTCTTGTTGATTGTACCAGTTATTAGATTTTTCCCAGCTGGGTATAAGCTTCTCGAGTTATGCACCTGATTCGTTCTCGAGAAATTCCGATTACATCACGGTTAAACCAATGCAGGAGTGTGGGAATCATTCTCCATTGATATCGCGCAATCGAATCGAAAAGAAGTATGAAGACCAAAGTTTACACTTGGTGAGATTAAAGGAAAAGCTACCTAAGATCACAGGTAAAATGAACCCTGACAACAAGAACAGCTTCAAAGAATGAAGAATCCTCCTCACCTGAAAATATATATTACCATTGCGGCCTTGCTGTAATGTTACATAAATACATTAGTGTATTGTGTAACAAGTCAGGTAAAAAATCACGAAAAGGAAGAAGAAAAGGAAAAGGAAAAACAGAAAAAACTCATATCCCCTTGGGCCAACTTCATGCCAAAACTAGATTCCCCTGCATTGTATTGTGTACAGAAACCAACTTCAGGGAGAACAGATCCTGCTCTTGAACCAGTAGTAATCTCTTTCATTTTTAGGGGACAAAAAATAGTAACAATGAAGCTTTAGCTTCTGTGGGAGGCTTCAATTTGAATAAGGAATCTATCTTCTCCCACCTCACCATTCTGTCATCTATGTTAATTGCTCTGTACTCTGTACCAACTTCAAAACTTACAAATGGCTTCCGCGAGAGATGGGATCAGATTCTCTCACCGGTTTTGTAGACTCTCGATCGCCTTTTTCCACTGCGACGCTCTCTGTTTCGCGTCTTCGAATGACAGTACCTTCTTCGGCTGGAACGAGAAAATGATAGAACACAGACATCCAAAATGGTAGAAGCATTGCTATGTGAGTGAGGTGTGAAACATGCAAAGGTTAAATTGGTTAGGGTCTTGGAGGAAGGAAAAGCCACAATTACCGTAAAGATCTTGAAATTTGAAGGGCTGATGACTTGGATGTTGAGGTCGTCAGAATTGTCAGACCAGATTATATTGCCCTTCACCACAAGCTTTGAAGGGTCTACATAGATCAGCTTCGGTTTGTTGGTGAGGATAAGCTGCACCTTCTTGCTTGTCAACTTCTGTAATTTCTTCACCATGGAGATCATAATTACAGACTCCCCAGGATCCAAAAACTGTTGCCTGATGATATTAACAACATCTAAGAATTACTATGCATGATAGCTTGAAACAGGAATATCAGGTTTTACTTTGAGGGGAAAGACAGAAAACCGACATCCTAATATTTATACCATTTAGAATCGAACGAGTCAATCGAGGCAAGACGTGTTATGTGACCAGATCCTTCAGCTAAATATGAAGCAGTAGGAACATTCCCATCATTTGGACCTGAGCAGTCACCAACATGTGCAGGATTCCATGAATCAGGCTCAACACCATCACCTGACTGTGCCTGAATAATTTCAAAGCCAAATGTAAAAGAAAATAACATTGGAAATAGCAAGTGTTGAGACCAAGAAAAATGCTTCCCGATTGAAATAACTTTTGACATAAAAGAAATCCAGAGGATCAAAAGGAATCCTTACAGTTGGGTCAGCAGCGAGTTCCGGAGGGGTTTGTGATCTTAAATTATCCCAGTCAACTCCTTTAAAGAAAGGATGCTTCTTGAGAGTTGCATAACCATCAGGGCCAGCACCTGGTCTTCTTACAGGTTCAGTGTCCTGCGTCATTAATTTAAAACATGCAGTTGGAGTTAGATTTCGTTTAGGAATCAGGTTTTTTCATAATTGTTGCTAAGTAATTGAAAGAAACCACGGTGATTAGCAAGTTATGGTGCCAAAAGTTCGTGTAGAGTAAGAATATACTTCATAAACAATTATTGATTAGACATCCGACTATAGCTAGGGTGAAGAAACAGCATAGCATATGCTATGCTAAGCAAATACAAGCCTGATTAAATATTCCTCCATATACTATCTGCCATGTTTATGTATTCACATCTAAAGAGAAAAGAAACACATTCATCCATGCAGAAAAATCATAATCAATAAGGATTTAACAGCATATTCTACAGACGCGTAGTATCTTACAACAGAATCCACAACTTACCAACAATCTATCTATGAGGTCTCTAGCTTCTTTTGAAAAATGATCAGGAAACCTTACATCCCTGGCTATAATTCTTTGAAATATAAGCCATTCACTTGCATCTCTGAACGGAGAAGTTCCTGAAAGCATCTGGTACAATGTGCATCCAAGTGCCCATAGGTCATTTCTGTTTTCATTCGGTCAAAAAAGAAAAATGGGTTGCCCATGTAAGCATCAACCAAAAAGGTTCGAAAGGATTATTCTAAGAAAGAACCATAACTCTAATGTGCTATCCGTCCACCTAATCTTTGCTTTTGGAAGTGAAAGAAGCTAAAAATGTAAACAATACTACAGAAAGGAATTTATTCAACTTACCCAAATGTTGCAGGGGAAGAATTGAGGACTTCTGGAGGTACATATGCAGCTGTGCCCACAAATGTACAAGCTTTATCGTCTGAAAAAGGTGGCAAAACCAAGCAAGTCAAGAGCTTGATTCCAGCCAACATAACTAGTTAAAATATCAGGATGTCATGATAGATACCAGAAGCTGCATTTGGAAGCACAGTAATGCGACTCTCTTGCATTGGTTTCACACTTCCAAAATCAGCAATTTTTATGTGTCCATCCGCTGTTAGAAGCAAGTTCTCCGGCTGCCATTAAAGGAACTTTTAGTCGACTTCAGATACCAAGAATCATGCATGCATCACCTGCCTTCAGATATTACCTTGATGTCTCGGTGTATTAACCCCATCTTATGTATGTATTCAAGAGCATCTACAACTTCAGCTGCATAGAATCGAGCTTCTTCCTCTGATCAACGGCGTTTCTGCAAACAGAAACTAGTCCCTTCAGTATTAAAATGTATAGAGACAAACTTTTTGTTTGTTGTTGTTATTAGTGATATAGGTTTATATTACGTGGTTAGTTACTACTTAAGAGTTTCGAACATGTGAGCTCCAGGTTCAAGGCTAGTGGTATTACAACTAGACCAATCCCTTGTTCGTAAACTTTTGGATGAAATTTTGCCATGCAAACCAAGCCAACTAATGGTGTAGCTGTGTCTAACAAAATTCACGTGGAAAAATATATAAACAGAATTCCAAATACTATCAACTTTAAGTGGAGTGAGAGACACGAGTTATCCCCTAGATGTACTTGGATATTTAGACTGCTAAAGTCCACAAGTAATTCGAAAAATACTAAAATAGTCACTTCATAGACACAAGTGGAAGATAAGGAAAGAATTTGTGAGGTGCTTATATGAACTTACCCTAGTTATTTGGTCAAAAAGTTCTCCACCTTCGCAGGATTCAAGTGCCATATCTATAAACATGTAAGAATAACATCAGAGGCAAAGAACGTGGAAGATAATCTAACAGAAAGCTAAAGAAGCGCATAGGATGACAAATCATGGATACATACACAAGGAAAATGTATCTTGAAAAGTAAAATACAGGCGAACAACTCCTGGATGATCCAATTGATCAAGCACTATTCTTTCCAACTTCACATAAGCTGTTTTATTTTCTTTTGTGATGAACTTTTTGTCCATGATCTTCAACGCATATACAATTCCAGAATCCTTCTTTTTGGCCCTCACCACCTGATAGAGGTGATATAAAATGGTATGACATTGATGTTAAAAATAGTCACAAACAATTCATTAAAGTGAAAATGTCCAGAAACTAAATAGCTTGAGAAATGCAAACAAGTTATATCCCTAAAAAGACGACGACTTCCATTTAAGCAATCTGTAAAAGAAGGATATCTGAAAGCTTAGACAGTCCCCCAGTGGGCATCTTATCATAATTTCCATCATGATCACTCAAAAGAACTATTAGATGCAAATTTCATGTTGCCAACAAGGCTGAACTTCGGAACACTAAACCAAATATGAACACATTACAGCCGCTCTGCAGGCCCCATTTCGGATGAAAATTCCTCTCAACCATGTAGATATTGCTTAGCACAGGATAAAGGTGACAAATAAATGCAAGCAGTGCAGACACATTTGGTATATCAAATGGCATCAGCGATTCAATCCTTAGGCAATGTGACGAGCAGAGGGGAGAATTAACAAGAATTCTAGTACCACCAGAGTTCCTGGTGACTGGAAAAGACAAGATTTTGAATCCATCCACAGCACTCACCAATCAAGACCCAACAGTTAATCTACCCCTCACCCAAAAACCAGAAACAGAAAATACAGAAGAATGAAAGAGAGGAACTTAAACAGTTCATACAGCCAGAAAAAGCTTAGGAGAAAAGAAACCACCTTTGAATAAGAACCAACGCCATAGATCTTGCCCAGCTCGAAATCCTGAATGGAGAAATTCTCCTGGGGTGCCCTAAAAGCAAAACTCTTAGATCTCGGTGGGTTCCCATTACTAGCACTATTGTTATTACCAGCAGAAGACGTTGAAGAGGTGGTGCTAGTAACAGAACCGCCGCCCCCGCCTGGAATCCTTAGCTTTGAATCAAAATCCTTCTCCATTGCCAACATCTCTTTCAACTATCTCGCTCTTTGTCTTTCTTTACCTCCCCAATCTCTATCTCCACATCATTATCATCAGCATTCCCACATCCCCTTTTCCCCTCGGCCCTATCTCTCTAAAACCCCACAAATAAAAGCAACGAAATTGCAGAAAACAAAGTAAAGCAGCCAACTTTCCTCGTCTTTTCCCTTCTGCTAAAAGAGAGAGCGGGGAAGAAATCAATGAACACCTCGGGCGCAGAGAATCCAAGTCAAAAGAAGAGACGAATCCTACGCCCAAACCAAGCCAAGCCCTCCAATTGGATCAGAATCAGATAAACGGAAACCCCAAACCCCCTCCTTTTATATATTCTCTGTTACAGAAGCAGAAATTAAAGGCGGGGTGGCAAAAAAAGTGAACAAAGATTCCTCCGGCCTATCTATACCATCATCATCACCAACTCAGCTTTTTCTCCAAGGAGAGTCAGCTGAGGGAACGAATGCAAAAAAGGAAACCAGAGGAGAAAGGGGAGGGATTCGAAACCCTAGATATTGGAGGAGGACTGGATTCGTAGACGTCCCTGCAAATGGGGATTGGATTCAGGGGGGGAGAAGATTATGGAGCGAAGATTTTTAAAGGAAAACCCACGTTTTGAGAAATGGATGGAAGGCAGAGGAAGAAATTGATGGTTCATTCACCAGTTCCCCTGCTTTTTTTTCCCTCAGCTTTTCCCAAAATTAAAAAAAAATGATATCCTTGATTTTTCTTGCTTTGCTTTATCTGGCTATTTGCTTTATTTCATTTTCTCCCTATCTTGCTATCCATTTATGATTAGGATATTTCGTTCGCCACGTCGGAATTGGATCTTTCTTAATTGTCTGGTGTTTCCCAAAACAAATGCCTACAACTAGACTGATGCTAACTCTAAAAAATCAAACATAGTTCTGTCCAATTAGCGACAAGAGAAAGTCGTATTAAGGGATGGTGTCGATATAGTACTAAGAAAGATAATGGGACGAGTTGAAGTCGATTTTTCTAAACCATTATCATCCTTATCTCGGAAAAACAACATCCATAACCATTTTATATTTATAGAGAGAAGATTTTACAACTTCATCCTTATCCCTGTGATTTTCGGATACCCGCTAGTAACACACTAACACTCACTTCGAATATTCAATATATCATACCTAAATTATAATCCACCTTAATAGTTTTGGTTATAACATCAAATAGAGCTAATAAATCGTAAATTCGACAAGATATAATCGTTGTTAATTCAGATTCAAAACATCTAAACCTACAACATCTATTAACCCATAAGACAATGACAATTTTAGCATTCAATCATTAATTTTATATATATATCGAGATATATTTTGTAGTAATATATTAGGTAGACAATGACAATTCTAAACCTAAAATCATATCCATCCCAATCGACATCATTTCCCCCTCGAATTTTATCATACCCAGTCGATACAGAGACTCTCAGTATAGATTGGGTATGGATCAAAGACAATCAGGTAGAGATTGGAGAGGGAGAACTTTCTGAAACAAAACTGCAAAGAACATATTGACGACTATGTATCTCTACTTTACACATTCAGCTTTCTGAAAAAGGGTCAAAACCAAGAAGAAGACGCTACATTCTACATTAACTCTCAAGAAAAAAAGGTATGGTGAGAAAACCAATGTACAAGTTGCGAAATCTACCCATGTTGATGCTAAAATCCACCCCTCAGACGAGAAATCTTCACCAGATGGGGATGAACAGCTCTAGAAACTGCAATTTACCAAGAATTTACCAAAGGCAGGCTGTCAAGAGTACTACTACTACTAGTTGTTGGCTACAAATCCCAACCATCTTTCCTCCCATCAAATTCCCACTTGCGATCTGATAAACTCCCATACATCTGGGTAAACCTCATGAGGCATCTACTCCTAATCCCATAGTGAACCTGTGTGTTCTTGCTGATTGCGGCGCCAGAGAACTTCGATGTATCTATCGCCCATGCCGGTCTCACATACTCAACAGTCTTTGCCGAGCTTGCATTGGCATACAAGTAATTCAACAGCACATCCTCACAGTTGAAATACCTGTCCACCAGCTCCCTCCCTACCTTGGCCTGCTCACCCCAGTACCTTCCGAAAGCTATCGTGCTATCGACAAAGGCTGCCCCGGTAAGTATCATGTTGTAACCTTTGCGACTCCTCGCATATTTTTCAGCCCGGTACTTGAGAGGATTCCCACTGATGAGACGGGGATAGAAACCGACGATTCGATCGGGATGCTGGCGCCAGACATTGAAACCACGTTCCACATCGTCACACGTCATCATAATATCGTCGTCAAGCTCAAGCACGCCTCGCGTTGTGATCATTTTATCCTTCTTGAAGCGGTTGTTCAGTGAGTTCTCTTTCTCTACCCTGATCCTAACAGGCACTGCAGAGTCCAGGTCGCTTTCCTTTGGAGGGATCCCTTTGTTCCACACCACAACAATCTCCTTCACTGAAGAACACCTCGAGTAATGCTTCACATACATCTTCAAGTTCCATAGCCGAGCATCGTATGTCATGGTTAGTAAAGTGAATTGAGAATAGTAACCATTTAAAGGATAGGCTTCTTCAGCTCCATTACCACCATAGACGTTCTTAACACCTGTGCACATTAATGCAACACCAGCTACAAATAACACAGCCAGAACCAATCTTCCCGCCCAAGTATTGTACTTTACCTTACCTCGAATTGAGGTAGGTACTCTGTTGACACGACTACAAAACCGCCTTACCTTTGATGAGAACAAATTTGACCTTTCCCAGACCAAAAGAGCATCGCTTCTCTTCCATGAATAGTGAGCACACCAGTTGAGTGGAATGATACATTTAACTGCTCCAAGCAGCAGGCCTAATACAATGACAACTGCAGCAGCGGCTGCAAGCGAGGCACAGCCAACCATAAAACGACGCCTCGGGTCTCCAGATGGTACCCTATCTCCATCCATAACCCCAATCCATTCCCCAGAGCTGAGCTGCTGGACATCAAGGTGATGGTGTCGAGCACCATTCCAAGCATTCCGCCCCTTTGTGGGCTCCTCAAAGCCCAAGGGCACCTCAACTTCTTTATAATCATCCTTGCTAAGAATTTCCACCTTGAAGGCCCGTACTCGTCGCCCATACGTTTCACCACAATCTTGACCAACGCGATAGAGGTTTCCATCATACACAAATGGTCTGCCGCCATTTCTTGCCCCCATACTGTTGTCGATGTTATATATGGGGTTCTTCTTGTGTGGTTTCCAAGGACCCAGAGGCGAGTTACTGTGCCAGATTTCCAGTTGTCCATTCTTCTCTGTCCCAAAACCACTGTGATCAGATGCAAAAATCCAATACTGTCCTTCATAATTAATGACGGCAGAATCAACTAAAGACTTTTTTATGAGGATCTTCTCCAATGTCCACTGCAATGGAAATTCAAGTGCTCGATAGAGACGAAGTTCTCCCTTCATGCTGCTCTCCGGTATCATATATACCTGGAATAAGATCAAGAAATAAGGCCTCATTGAATAATTAACATGAAGAACAGAGAAATATTGATGTATTACCAAGTATAATCCTTTTCAGGAATCATTGCAAAGGCTTGCAATACCATGACAGAAATAACTTGAGTTTAAAACAGCATATAACTTACTTGCCCATGATAATCAAACACATAAGGAAATGAGAGGTGCCAATCCTCGTCCAAGGCAATTCCCAACTGTTGCCATGTTGCCCCCTTATCAGTACTTTTTGCAACTCCAATATCTCCTTGCATGGTAAGTGGATTCTTTGTTTCATAGAAAAGAAAAAGTGTATCTCCCTGATTCAATGACACATTCATTAGTTCAAGATAACCTCCTTGTAACTTTCAACCAAAACAATTTGTTGAGTTATTATCCTGAGAACCTCATTTATCGTGTCAAACTGATGACAGCAATGACTAAACATACATGAACCCAATGAATATGTAAAAGGCAAAAATGGCAGGATAACCCTCTCTCCTGAAAAAACACAAATCTAGCTGCCTACAAGCTTGAAAGATGTACATAAAGCATCATAGGGAATCGCCTTCATTCAGAGTTAAATTTTCCAAAGTTAACACAGTTAACCCATCATCTCGTCTGGCAAAAATTAATAGCACCAGAAATACGAGACGGATGTAGGAAGACAGGGATGGTATGACCCACATTTTCCTCAAATTAGGTAGACTATATGAAACTTGGCCTTCCCAGTGAGACACCAGAATGCTAACTGCAGTAAAATAGCGACAAGGTGACTACCCTCAAGGGAAAGACCAGACCTATCTGCAGCCCCGCTTAAATTGTGAACTAAAGGTTCCTGATCTGAAGGCTCTTGATCCAATTATCTGGGGAACTAAAGACCAGTGGTATAACAGATTTAATAGCAACCCAAAAGTTTTACTGCTACATCGGGCTCCCTACCTCACATGCCGATTTTGATTATGCCATAACATACCAGTAATCTTTTGGTTGTCGAACACTTTACACCAGTGACACATGTGCTCCAAAATCACATTTCTAATAATTCAAACAACAAGAATATCTTACAGCATTAAGATCACTCAGAGCAACTTCAAAAATGTTGCAAAATGGGGAAAGCATATAATAGAATAAGTGAATCCGGAGATCACCTTAATAGGTGTAGGAATATTTTATGACACTAAAATTCCACTGGCCGAATAAAGTAAAAGTCAGAGCCAAATCCTAGCATGCACACAGATTAAACAATAGCAGATATGGAAGACAATGAGATTCCAGTCAAATTCAAGACACATAATAATAAACAAATAAATACCCCAACTCTGGATTAACCATTTAGCTCATCAATACTCTCGAGTTTGCCTAGGATTTCTTAGTCCTTTACACATGTGGATAGCGGTCAAACACGTCACATGTATGAAATCCTTACACATGAAGAAACCAAGAACATGGTTTCTAGAAGAGGGTTTTGAAATTAAGAGGAAGGTAATGGATAGGAGAAACCACCAAAACCGTCACAAATTACCTGCACATAGAGAAATGGATCAGCAACAAAGTTACTGGGGAAGCCAGCATCTGAGACCGAGGCACAGGTGACAACTGGGTTAGCTACTGGCCATGCCTTGCTCTCATTTTTCCACAAGTTGGCCTGCTCCCAAATTAAAATGCAGTACAGCAAGTTAGTACATATACATCAAGCTGAAATACTCAGCCCAATACAGATACAAGTAGAAGTCAACTGGAGATGGTGATGGCAACTTGTATGATGCGCATATTCATTTGCAATTTGTATGTAGTGAATAAACTCGATGAAGAATGGTGAACTGTACAGAAATATGTACGAACATCTAGAAAGAAAAAAAACACCAAATGGAAACGGGGGCAGAGGAAGTAGCAAGAAGCTAAGGACAAGCAGGCAGCCATTGCTAAAAACTCAAGAACAGGAAGAACTGACAAGCAACACCCAAGTCTCAAAGAGCAAAATCAAATCAAAATCAAATACATGTATGGCCACCCTAGGCACAAAGAATTTGAAGATGAAAGGAGAGAACAAGGTAAAGCAAAAAGAAACGGGACTCACAGTTTCAATTGGCTTGAGGGAGAAAGGGGTCTCGCCATAGAAGACCCCAACTGACCAAGAACCTTCACCATCTTCCAGGCAACCAAAAGAGTTCAAACCCACCACACCATTACGACCATAATAAGGGTTATTGAAGAAGAGCCAGCCATAGATCACCCCAATCAAGCCGTAGACAATCAAGCAGCCCAGCATGAAGAGGAACCCAGATGAGAAACCCGAAAGAAACCTGTGGTGGTGGTGGTGGTCCCACCTCCATTTACACCAACACTTCAAACTCATATCACAGCAGCTCCCCGCCGCCGACCCACCATTCCCTCCACCACCGCCGCCGCCGGCAGCGGCAGGCCCGCCTGCGGACCCACCGGAACCGACAACGACAGCCATAATTGACCTTGATCAAGGGGAAAAACAAAAAAAAATTTGAAGCTTGAAGGGCTATAATCTGGGTCAGAGAGACAAACTCCTGGTGAACGCCGAGAAAAACAAGAGAAGCGGCAAGGGCAACATTTTCATACAACGAGGAAAGGCGGATTTTTTTTTTTTTTTTGGGGCGATACCTCGCCCTTACCTGTCCTTTATATTAAATTAGTATCGTATAATAGGAAGGATAAGAAGGGACAGGAGGAAATTCCAAAGTGGAAGAAGCTTCGGGTTTGTGGGTCAGTGGGGAGGAGGAAGAAGCAAACAGAAACAGAGAGAGGGAGCAAAGGTTACGAAGCGGCGGGCGGAATTATTGATTTACCATCTCCCCTGCCTCTGGTTTTCTTCGCTTATTCGTTCTTGTTTGGCTGCCCAAAGAGGAGAATCTGCGTCTTGTACTACTGTTTTGGCGTTTTCATCTCTCTCTCTCTCTCTGGTTTCTCAGTCTTCCTCTCCTGCGAAAAAATTGAGAAGGAAAAGAAAGAAAGAGTAATGTTTTGTTTGGGAGGAGGAAGGAGAAGGAGAAAGGTGGCGGACGAGGAAGAGAGGTGGGTTGGGCCGCGGTGGCTTGACTGAAACCGGGCTGATGGGATTTTATAAATAAAGCCCACTACGCGTTAAAAAAAACATTCTGGAAGCTTGGCCCACCAGAAATGTCGACTTCCAAAATCAAATTGATGTTAACAACTCCACCAAGCCAATCCCTCCTGAAAATGTTTGTGGATTTTTATTCAATTGTTTGGTTGCCTTGCCATGTAGGTTTAATTAATTAACTATATCTTCTTCTCTTTTTGCCTTAGTTTAATTAATTAATGATAGCCTTTATAGTCCTTTCCGTAAAAAAAAATATAGCCTTTAGTGTGCTCTTTACGGCTGAAATCAATAGGATAATAGCTCGCTGAGTCAATCGATCCAAACAAAGTCTAATTCAAATTTGGCTAATTAATATTTGAATTTGTTTGCAAGTTGGCTTATTAAATCAAATTCGGCCCATTAGAAAATGAGTTTGTTCGCAAGTTGACTCATTAAGTAACAAATCAAATGTTGAACGAATTTTTATTGTCAAACCAATCGCGAACGACTCCAGCCCCTATCTCTAGTAACATTTTTTAGGCATAGTTAGAGACTTAGAGTCCAACCCTACTGTACCAATTAACCCCTAAACTACTCTCCTGTGCCGGCTGAGCAGATCGCGAAACGTGGACGGACCCTAGGTGTCTTGTAAAGTGTCATACAGTAACTTCCGTTCTTCTGCAATCCGAGTAGAAAGTGGAATGTGTTTGGAAAGGGTATGCATTAGGAATGGCAATGGGGCAGGTCCGGGGCGGGTTCTCTTGGTACCCAGACCCGCCTCGTGGCAGGTCGGGTCGAGGTCGGGTAATTTATCACGGGTCGCGGGTCGGGGCAGGTCGACCCAATGGGTATGCAATTTATATGAAAAACATTAGAAATATGCGTTCTTTTTATTATAAGACCAAGGAAACAAACAATATTATGATAAATGTAGTTAAATTATTGGATAAATTGAGGTTTTGTCTAATTTACAACTTTATTATAACTAAAAGGGTTAATACAATATATTAGCCACAACTATTATGAAGCGGGGAATTATAGCCACAACTATGAAAATTCAAATTATTAGCCATAACTATTGCTGCAGGTCAAGATATGGCTAACTGTCTGTTACTGTTATTGAATTTTTTACGGAGAAGGCCGATTAACGTTTGGCTAATAATTTGAATTTCAATAGTTGTGGCTATAATTCCCCGCTTCATAATAGTTGTGGCTAATATATTGTATTTACCCTAACTAAAATATGATGTAATAAAAGGAAAATCCTAAGTAGTTTGACTAAACTTACATGTAATTTAGACAATAACGGGTCGAGAATGGGACGGGTCAGGGCAGGTCGGGTCGATGAGAGTACCCATGCCCGCCCCGCCTACGGGGCGGGTCGGACCCGCCCCAAAACAGGCCAAACAGGTCGGGTAAAACGGGTCAGGTCGAAATTGTCATCCCTAATATGCATATCAATTGTTTACAGACATTCCGTACACACAATATAAATCGTGCCAACATCTCTATATTTCTATGATGTTATTAGTACGTGGTATAAGATTTGTTATTGAACTTTTTTTAAACAATTCGAATTATTGAAACCCAAGTGTTACTATCAGAATTTGCATTGAATGTCTATACAAATTTCCTGTGGAGCTAAAATCAAAGGCCAGCATTAGTAGTAGTAGGCTAGTAGCATGAAGGAGACGGACCCTGAGAAATGAGCTCCAACATTGTCAGCTTTCCTCTTCCCCTCAACGCCACGACCAAGAAAACGGCTTTGTCCCAGTTCCCTTCCGCCATTGCTTCTCCCCACCATTCCGCGGACGCTCTTCCGCGCCACTCTCTATCGCCAAGAGTTCACATCCCGCCTCATATCTACAAGCACCCTGCCGCCGTCCTCTTGGAGCTCTGTACTTCCGCCCAAGAGCTCAACCAAATCCTTCCTCTCGTTATCAAGCACGGCCTCTGCGGCGAACACCTCTTCCAGACCAAGCTCGTCAGCCTCTTCTGCAGCTATGGCCGCTTGAATGAGGCGGCTCGGGTGTTCGAGCGGATTGAGCACAAAGTGGATGCTTTTTACCACACTATGCTCAAAGGTTATGTCAATCACTCTTCTCTGGATGCTGCCTTTTCGTTTTTCTGTAGGATGAGGCACGATTGCGTTGCGCCCGTGGTGTACAATTTCGCGTATTTGTTGAAGCTCTGTGGGGATAATTCGGATCTTAAGAGGGGGAAGGAGATTCACGGGCAGTTGGTAGTTAGTGGGTTGTCGTGGAATTTGTTTGCCATGACCGGGGTTGTGAATTTGTATGGCAAGTGTAGGGAAATTGATGATGCTTACAGAATGTTTGAGAGAATGCCTGAGAGAGATTTGGTGTCTTGGAATACTATTGTTTCTGGGTATGCTCAGAATGGGGTGGCAAGGGTTGCGTTGGAGTTGGTTTCGAAGATGTTCGAGGAAGGGCATAGGCCGGATTCGATTACCATTGTGTCTAGTTTGCCTGCGGCTGCTGATGTTGGGTCGTTGCCGATTGGGAAGGCGATTCATGGTTACTCCATTCGGGCAGGATTTGAAGGTCTTGTGAATGTTTCTACAGCTCTTGTGGATATGTATTCAAAATGTAAGGATGTGAGAACGGCAAGGATGATTTTTGATGGGATGAACCGTAGGTCTGTGGTTTCCTGGAACTCGATGATGGATGGCTACGTAGAAAGTGGGGATCCTGAAGAAGCATTGGTTATATTTCAGAGGATGATGGATGGAGGGGTTCAACCAACTAATGTCACTGTTATGCAAGCTCTACATGCCTGTGCTGATTCGGGTAACCTTGAGCTGGGGATATATGTACACAGATTGGTGAATGAATTGAAACTTGGTTCGGATGTTTCTGTCATGAACTCCTTGATTTCCATGTATTCCAAGTGCAAGAGGGTCGACCTTGCTTCTGACGTGTTCGCGAAGTTGAAAAATAAAACATTGGTGTCATGGAATGCTATGATACTAGGTTATGCCCAGAATGGATGTGTCAACGAGGCTTTAAACTCTTTCTGCCAAATGCAGTCACAGAACATAAAGCCGGATTCATTCACAATGGTGAGTGTTATTCCCGCTCTTGCAGAGTTGTCGATTCCGCGACAAGCAAAGTGGATACATGGACTTGTCATAAGACGGTTTCTGGACAAAAATGTGTTTGTGATGACAGCTCTAGTGGACATGTATGCCAAATGTGGAGCTATTCATACCGCGAGAAGACTCTTTGACATGATGAACGCAAGGCACGTGATAACTTGGAATTCCATGATAGATGGGTATGGGGTCCATGGACATGGGCGTGCTGCTGTAAAATTGTTAATGGATATGCAGAAGGGAGATGTCAAGCCAAATCACATAACCTTCCTATGTGTTCTATCAGCTTGCAGCCACTCAGGTCTGGTGGATGAAGGTATGCAGTTTTTCAATAGCATGAAGAAAGATTATAGTCTAGAGCCTGCAATGGACCACTATGGAGCTGCCGTTGATCTTCTTGGTCGAGCTGGCCGGCTACATGATGCGTGGGACTTCATCAAAAAGATGCCTGTTGAGCCAGAGATTTCAGTTTATGGAGCAATGTTGGGAGCTTGCAAGATTCACAAGAGCGTCGATTATGCTGAGAAAGCTGCCGAAAAACTGTTTGAATTGAACCCAGAAGAAGGTGGCTACCATGTGCTTCTAGCTAACATTTACGCCTCTACGTCAATGTGGAAGAAACTAGCTGAAGTGAGAGGAATGATGCAGAAGAAAGGGCTGCAGAAAACTCCAGGGTGCAGTTTGGTGGAGCTGAGGAATGAAGTACACAGTTTCTATTCGGGGAGTACGGAGCATCCACAGTCCAGAAAAATCTATGCTTTCCTTGCGAAACTGGTTGGCAATATCAAAGCTGCTGGTTACGTGCCCGAGACCAATTCAATCCATGACGTCGAAGATCACGTGAAGGAGCAGTTACTGAACACTCACAGTGAGAAGTTGGCAATTGCCTTTGGGCTCCTAAAACAACCCGGGGCACAACGATCCACATCAGGAAGAACCTGAGAGTTTGTGGGGATTGTCATAGTGCGACGAAGTACATTTCTCTGGTAACAGAAAGGGAGATCATAGTCCGCGACATGCATAGGTTTCACCATTTCAAGAATGGATTATGTTCCTGTGGTGACTACTGGTGACCTCTCTAACCGACTGATAGTGTGACGAAGTACATTACTCTGGCAACAGGAAGGGAGATCATTATTCGCGACATGCATAGGTTTCATCATTTCAACAACAGAGTATGAGAAATTAGAAATGTCTGATGTTATTTGAAACCCAACAAGAGTAGATAATGCAATATGATACATTAATGGATACATTTGAGTACCTATCATCATCACAAAACAAAATTTTGGGGGAGATTAGAGCGATTAGCGAAACCCTGTGCGGGAAGAATTTAACAGAAAAACACCTATTAGGATAGGCTACTACACTGCAGCCTTCTTGCGCACGAATCTCTTCAGAGACGCAGGCAGTTCAGTTTCCTCGCCGAGTTTTCGCTTCCCTGCAAGTTTACCTGCCTCCTGCATTTCCTTCTCAATGAAAGGCTTCTTAGCTTTGTCAATCAGCACCTTTCTCTTCATCACCCTCTTGCTTGTCTTATTCCTACCTTTGGTCTTCTTCTTCAAAGCAATGTCTTTGACCGCTTCAACTGCAGCCTCCTTCTCCGCCTCCATCTCCTCCTTCGTGGGCTTCTCCCTCTTCTTGTATGGCCTTACTGTACCAATCTTGGAAGGATCCAACATGATCGTCTCCGGTGGGAGCTTGTCGAGTAGAGTGTGGATCTCCTTCTCTCTTCGTTGTTTACTAGTTTCAAACGGGTTGGCAACCCAAGTATCGAAGTTCGGTTCACCTGAACCTGGGATGAGGATAGATGACCATCCCATGGAGTGGCCCATCACCAGGACATCTTCATAAGGCCGGAAAGATACTTTTCCAATCTGGTACCCTTTAGCAATTGAATGACCCATGTAACGACTGTAGTTCTGGGATCCTGAGAAATCGCCTAAGACCTGAGCATATGAGCCAGTTCCTGCAGCTAGTAAACCTTTCTGACTGAAATCCAAGGTCTTAGCATGGTGCCCAGGTATTGTTTGAACCACTTCGAATTTCCTCAAGTCCCAAATTTTGATCTTCTTTTCTCTTCCACAGGTCGCCATGAGTTGGCCATTCGGGTGGAATGCTAGGGCTGAAATAGGACCGTGATGGCAGAGCATCTTGACTAAGGGAGCAGCACTGGTGGGCTTCCACATGCTTACCGTACCACCAGAGTGACCAACTGCAATGACACCATTGAAAGGGTTGACCTGCATCGTCTCGGTACGTCCCAATCCCGTACGGAAGTTACCTATCATCTCACCGGTGGTAACATCTTGGTAACGGAGTTGTCCAAATTTATTTACTGTTGCTAAGAGGAAATGGTTCTTCAAGAACTGTAGCCGTGACACTGCTCCATGTTCCTGGACACAAAGAAGCCAAGTTACATTCTGCTGCATCTTGGAAACCGATTCTATTTAAAGATGTGAATAGCTTCAATCCATTATTTTGCAAGACGCAGAACTCAAGAGTCAAGGGGGGTTACTTATGTAGGGGGAAATAACAAATAAAAAAAGAAAAATATAATGACGCAATAAATAATTATGAACTGACGATCAGAAGTTCAGAACTGAAATCAGTTGCCTTCCTATGATATTAAGGATACGGCCAGCATTTCAACATAAACTTGATGGAAGCCATCAGCAAGAAGTGTTACTGACCTTCAAACAATGAAGCTCAATTCCATCCCGGTTATAAATGTATGGGTACCTGAAAAAGGATAGAATCTTAGACATCTCCTTTCTACAAGGGAGTCTGACATGTGGAGTTAACAGCGTACTGAAACAGCATTGGCATGCCAGACACAATGAACTAATATCACAGAGTAGCACAAGAGAATGAGGGATCCATAAGTGGAAATTGAAGAAGCTTGATACAAGGAGGACAGTGTTTCATTACAATTTTCAAGTACTAAGCATGCTAATTCCCACTTGTGTTATATAAGATCCAACAAAACATAAGTATGAACAGGTGCATGCCTGATACCGGAAGACCAGAGGCGGCATTACTAATCATATAGCATGATAAGACCAGATTATTCCAGTTCAATGGTGAATAATCCTCTGAGCGTTAACAAGAATAGACAAATACATGTTACTGTCAATAGTATATGCAACAAGAGAGGGTACATACTTTTTCTGTGCAACTGCAAAGAATGTCTCATTGTGCAAAAACACGATATCTCGCACTGTTTCTTTTACCTGAAAGTGCAGAAATTTATTATTACCAGAAGAAGTATATGCTATTTGATTTTAGTAAGCAAGCTAGATTTGAGTGTTCAAAAGTCTGACTAGATAAAGCAAACTTGAACACTGAATCTTTTTTCTTTCTGAAATTGTAAGTTGATACACAAAACTTTTGTCACAGAGGGTAAAGAAAGTTAATAAGTGCTTAGGCATCCAGTATTAATTCTGAACAAAGTGACTAGTTTGGGATACAGTAACAGGCCATTATGAGGCAGCACAACAGTACCTGCATCTCTCTAATTAGCTCCATACTCTTCATGTCTACAATAGCCACATGCCCCTTACGTCCCGCAGTCGCCATGTATCGACCACTAGGGGTGAAATCCAGAGTGTAGGGGCCAAGATCTGCACATCACAATATTGTCAATCAGATAATTACTCCGGGTGAAGGCATCAAGTACTGCACTGAGTTAACAGCCAGAAGAGCGGCGGGCAAATTGCAGAAGTAGCAGAGCTTACAAATACAAACTCATACAATCCATTAACTTAATTCATGTTTCTGTCACCTAACGTACTATTCATCTAAAGCGCTATTAGGGGAATCCAAGAGGAGGCTCAAAAATGACAGCAAGGTGCCACTAGATCACACAGGTAAGAAGAAAATTGCAGAGAAGATTTTGGATGAAAGTGGAAAAGGGATATTGTGAATATCAATGTTCTAAGTGGAAAGGCCATTATAAACAAACCTTTCAACACTATATCATATTGATTCCTTGAGCTTAAAATATCAACTTCACGAGTAATCTGATCCTGTTTGATCCTCCATGTCTTTTCTATACCTTCAGCCTCCAGATAGCCACCCTCACTTGGCATAAGCCACTGACAAAAAACAAAATGTTGACATGGTTGAAATAAGAGCTGCATTTTTCCATCTACCAAATTCACATAAGCAAGATGAATTGCTTGAATTGAGTGAGTGAAGCGAGAACACAGTTTCACCATGATTACTGATAACAGCATGTTAGGAACATCATTGACAAAATATATGAGCAGAAGAGAACAGCATATATCTTGCTTCATCCTAAGAAATCCATTTAGGACTTTGTTTGATCTGAGGCAGAGAAGTAGGAAAGCAATCATTCAACAGTAACCAAACCTTCAAACTTAGAGAGGAATTCCAACCCTAACATATCTAGAACCAAACTACAAACATGTACTTCATTCTGCCTTTATTCTGACAGGCAGATCAGTTGATTGATTTTTTTTTATAATGCAGGCAGATCAGTTGATTGATTTAAGTCTATTGGGAATCAAAGGAGACCATCGCATACCTAAGTTATTAGCTGGAACAGAGAAGTGACAGACTAGTGTCGAGACTGACCTTTTCGAACTTCGCGGCAGCTTTTGCAGAGTTTCCATATAATTTTTCTCTAACGGTAAGCTGGCCTTTCAACTTTTTATCTTTTAAAGCCTGCAAAGTAAGAAGAATCAATATTATATAGCAAGCACGACGCTGGCAAATAAAACAATCTGAATCACAAGTGGATACCTCAAGATCAGCACCCTCTCCTCTAAGATACTTCTGCAATGTCGTATCAAACTCTGCAGATAATTCCTGCAATCAATAATAACAAATTTCAATCAGTTCTAGCTCAAGGCTATCAAACATTTACATACTTTAGTACCACAATACAGCAATGATGGTAGATTCAGACGAGTGGCTTCAACAGACTTGTATAGCTATATGCAATAATAACACCTAATTTTTCTACAATTTTCTCTCGTTCATTTTGCTACCTACGACAATTGGCTAATGCTCATAACTTCCAACGAGAAAACTGCAGTGTCATGATAAGTAAGACTCAGAATATAACAGAAGAAAGATGTAACCCCCATTATGAGCAAATCCTCTTGACTGTGAATAGATACCTCACAGCAGATAACAGGCTTTCCTAGGAAGTGACATTTCGTGTTCATAGATACCTGTTCCGTAGGAGGCACATCCTTTGCCGAGCCACCAGTTTCTTCTTCCAAACCCATCTTGCTACTAGCAGTCAAGATGAAAATAAATCTAAAAACAGCAGAAGGTAGAAAATAAAGTTTCAAATTAAGAGAAGCAAGGGAGATCCGATTCAACCAAAGCAAGGAAACAGAAACATCAGAGTGCTGCACTGAAAAACTTGTAATAAACAATGATAACAGAACCAGCAAAAAGGAGAAGGAACAACGAAACAAGCTGTAAGCAACAGTGAACCATTATTGCCCTCCACCCAAAACCAGTTCAGGAAGCATTAGAAAACCCATTAGAAATGCCAGGCACAACCAACCATGACTAATCTATCTCCCAAGTATGAACAGGCCACGAAAGAAGCTGGTTAACACAAATTGGTCTAACTACCGAATGCAGTGACATTATTCCCAAGTTGCAGCCTTCCAATTTTTCTATTCATTCTTTCTTTTGCTTGAAAGGAGTAGACGATGAATAGTCCTTACCAGAAGAAAAGTCGAAACCACAAGCAGCAAACGTTGCAACTTCACGAGTGTAATCTTTTGGATATTCGAGCGAGATGAGAGCAGAAACACAGACAGCTCCAAGCCCAAAACCGCACCACACCAACTTGCCCCGGTCTCCAACTCCACTGAGAAGAGCAGGGAACGGCTGAAAGCAAAAAAGGAACTAGCAAGCTAGATGAGGCTGTTCTGATAGTGATAGAATTAGGGTTAGGGTTACTCTTTCAAAAAGTTGGATGACGTTACCTGTATATGACAAAATGAGAGAGCTACGGGGAAGAATGTCGATCGGAGACGAACAGAGAGGCGGAAGGAAATCCCTTCAGCGTTGCGGCAGAAAGTCCTCAACGAAGAGAGGTTTTCTCAGGGTTTTAGGCCCATCGCGTCGTTCATATTTTGCCGAAGATTGGGCTTCTGGGTGTAATCAATTGGGCTTCTCCAGTTTTTATCCCCTTGACCTTAAACGGTATAAGCAGATGATAACCGATGTTGACTGGCAAAATTGCAAAATTGGTCACTCGAAGTGCTACAAAATTTCACGTTTGATCACTTGAATTGGTTTATTCCATTCGTAGTCACTTAAATTAGTTGAACAGTCCAAGTTCGGTCATTCTCCGTTAACCTCCGTCAAACTCCGTTAGTGTCGTCAGTTAATTGCTTACGTGTCTATCAAAGATGTCTAGTCACCCAATTTTAACCCAGGAAAAAACAGAAATTGACCCGCCACGTCAGAAAAACCTGACACCTCATATATACACAACCCAACCCAACCCACCCAACCTTAAAAAAAACCATTAGCCCACCCAGAAAAATCTGCCTCATCTGCCTTCTGCTTATAATCTACCTTCCGCCATGGCTCTGTTTCCTCCATCTCCCTCCCTCATCTTCTCTCAACACGACTCCAACAAGGGCGACGATTACGGCAAGATCCATCTCTTCTCTCGACTTTCGTCTCCAAGCAGCTCCTCTTTCGCCGACTATGCCAGCAGCCAATTCTGCTCGACCAAGGCAAAAAGGTCAGATACTCGATTACCCCGACCTCCCTTGTCAACAATTAATATCTATCAATTAGTCTTCCAATCCATGTCTAGGTTGTTCTTTAGGGCAATTCAACTTCAATTTATTGGTTGGTTGGTTCGCCGGTTTAATATGTCTGTTGTTGTAGAGTTGGGTGGTGGAGGCAGGGAGGGGGAAGATATCGATAATGGTGGAAGCCAGGGATCTGGCGATCACATGGGGCGACACTCCCGCGTACTGGAGGTGGGAGACGGACGCGAATTCAAGGTTCGCTGAAGGGGAACTGGCAGCGCTCGAACTCGTGTGGTGGTTGGAAATCCGTGCCAAGATCCAGACCCGGATGCTATCGCCGGGAACCACGTACGTGGCCTACCTGGTGTTCAAATTGATGGGTGGGCACATCGGGTTCGCGGGGCAAACCCGTGAAATTCGCGGGTTGGGTTTGTGGATGACGAAGCCCCGGGCAAGGAATCTGTCACGAATCTGGATCCGGCGGCAGGGGCTGCAGCAGGGAGATCGAGGGGAAATCCCTCCGGCGGCGGCGGCGGAAGCAAGGTATAGAGGAAGAAGAAGAAGGGTGGATGGGTCACGGGTTCGATTTGGTCCGGGTATCTTATGTGTCTGGGTTATAATAAAGTGACAAATAGATTTTTTTTTTTGAAAAAATTGGTTGACTAGGCATCTCTGTTAGCCACATCAGCTGTTAACTGACGACACTAACGGAGTCTGACGGAGGTTAACGACCTTGTTATAAGAATCGAACCGGATCAACGGCCGGACCAGTAGAACCGTCAAACCCGTTACGATAGCGGTCCAGTTCATTGTTTGAATGGTTATTGATAGACCAAACGGTTTTTCACGATTCAACATAAAATCAGATGAACCGCCACGGTTTAACTGGTCCACTAGTTCACTATTTTAACATAAAAAGAATATTTTAACATAAACTAAGACCATCAAATCATAATTCTTAATTTTATATATGCTTCCTCAATCTTATTGTCGATTTTACATTGTCTACTACCAACTAGAACCGTAATTTTTAATTTGAATTAAAAAATGTGGTTTCTTTTGTGGGATGGTTGGAATGATTTATTAGATATTTTCGTGATGATATGAATTTAAACTTGTTTATGGTCAATGATAATTTCATTTTTAAATTAGTGTAATGTACAAGTCTTATATGTTATATATCATTAACGGTTCACCAACGATTTTGTAACGGTGAACCCTAAACCACTAACTTTTCCGGTTCAACTTCCGGTCCGGTTCTGAAAACAGAGGTTAACGGAGAGTGACCAAACTTGGACTGTTCAACTAATTTAAGTGACTACGAATGGAATAAACCAATTCGAGTGACCAAACGTGAAATTTTACAACAATTCGAGTGACCAAACTTGCAATTAATCCGATGTTGACTTGTTAAGTGACAATTTTTTTACCCAATTTTTTTGTGTTGTTTTAATATGATCAAACTTTTCCCCATTTCGCTTAATTTTTTACTCTTTTCTATCTTGGTCTATCTCAATATGTATTTTTATCTGTCCAAATTTGCCTATATTAACTCACATATCATTAGGGATGGCAATTTCGACCTGAACCGTTTTACCCGACCTGTTTGACCTGTTTTGGGGCGGGTCCGACCCACCCCGTAGGTGGGGCGGGGCGGGCATGGGTACTCTCATAGACCCGACCTGCCATGACCCGCCCCATTCTCGACCCGTTCTTGCCTAAATTACACTTAATTTTAGTCAAATTACTTAGGATTTTCCTTTTACTAAATCAAATTTTAGCTGCAATAAAGTTGTAAATTAGTGAAAATCTCAATTTCTCCAATAATTTAACTATATTTATCATAATATTGTTTGTTTCCATGGTCTTATAATAAAAATAACGAACATTTCTAATATTTTTTATATAAATTGCTTACCCATTGGGTCGACCTGCCCCGACCCGTGACCCGTAATAAATTACCCGACCTGAACCCGACCTGCCACGGGGCGGGTTTGGGTACCAAGAAACCCGCCCCGGACCTGCCCCATTGCTATTCCTACATATCATCCACGATACTTTAGATAAGTACAAGACTTCGTATTTCAACTGATTAGACTCAATTAATCTATCTTCCATTTTTATTTTTCATTTATGAAATATTTCCCCCCGTGTTTTCTCATTAAAAATATAAACAATTTATTAAAAAAATAATAATATAAGAATTGATCGGAATTACCTGCGCGATTATATTTATACCCGCCTGTACTCAAAACAAAACAGCCTATAATGCATAATCGGAATTACCGAATACGACGACCATGCTCACTATTTGTCCGAGTCGACTATCGCATCTGCAGTCTACCGGCTCATTGCCACGGAAACGGTCACTCGGCAATTGGGAATATCCATTTCCGGCCGGCCGCCGGCCGGAGCCAGCCAATTTCGTTTCAGAGCAGAAAGCCCCCTTTTTTTTCAGTTCCCCCATAAATACCCTCTAAAACCTTTAATATGCAAAGAATCAAATCAAAGCTTTCCCTATAAACTACCCAAATCAAAATGACGACGAGGAGCTCCAATTTCCTTGTAAATATCCCATTTGCCCTGTTCTTCTTTCTAGCTCTGACATCTCTTCTCCCAAATCAATCCCGCGGCAGACTAATTAGTCGCGCGGTATTGCCACCCGATGAAACCGACTTCTCCGCCATGAATAATCCGATCAACATTACGGACTATGGTACCGATCGCTTTGGAAATATTTCATCCATGGATGGTGGTGATGGAACACTCGCCGTCAATGCTACGAGCCCTGGAGCAGTACCGCAGGTTAAAACTCATCAAGTAGTGCCGGAAACCGGATTCAAGAATTATTCAGACAATGCCTCCGCCGCCGACCGCCATTGATTACGCTTTGATTCTTCTCTTCTCCCAGAGCGGACGTCCGGTGGAGACGGACGGCAGTGGGTTTTTTGACCCAAACCCCCTTCTATATTAGTGCGGCAAATAAAACCAAAGTCTTGGCTCATCTTGTTTACTAAAATCTTTGTTTGTGTATGATTTTGAGCTCGGTTAATCAATTAGTTCGCGAGATAGGCTCGAACTAGGGTACTATATCATTTAGTTCATAAATTTGGATTATTCATATCATGATATGTAATTGCTATTAGTATCATGATATGTAATCACTTGCTCAGATTCTTAAACAAATGAATCATCAACCTAAGTTATTCTCTATTTTTGCCCGTAAATTGCTAATTGAGATGGCTATATCGGCGAGCCAGCTCGTCGCGCAAAACAAACTTGCGGACGAGATGAACTCCACAAGCCACCAAATTGAGTTGACTCAAGAATCAGGAGCTTTACGAATCGAACAAGGCTTTACTCAATATCAACTCGTTTGTAAACGAACTAAGTATTAAATGATTTTTTTCCGAACCAAACGCCGAGCGATATAACAGCATTTGCAGCTCTATTTCTATTACAACTCAAAAAATGAGATAAATAACCCCATTCACCCTCCCCCTAATTTTCCCTCCTCTTTTACCAATAGTCTAACATAGCATGGTCATGAAACCGTATTGTACCGGCGGTTCAACCACGACTTTTATCATATAATATCATAACACTGACTTTTCCGGTACGATATCCGGTACGGGTTTCATGACCATTATCGTAAGGCATTGCAATTTGGGCTTATTAGGCCCCTCCTGAATTTTATGGGCTTCCGGCCCGTGAAGCTGTAAACAATAACATGGCCTCTGCCGAGGACAGAACGCTTCCCCCCAAATAATCGACGGGAAGAAAGAAAGATGCTCCCGTTCTCGGCTCCTCGGCCGGAGTCGATTCACCACCGCCTCCACGATTTCGCCAAGCTGGCGCTCGTCAAGATCTTCGCCCACCCCTACGCCACCGTAATCCTGCCCTAACTCCATCTCGCTTCACCAATTATACGCCCACCGGCGGCCACAATAGCTGACAATTTCTCGGTTCCGTGTTTTTTTTCTTCCTGTGCAAGGTTTGCGACTTGTATTGCGGAGGAGGACTGGACCCCGAGGCATGGGCCGGCATTCAAATCGGCCGCTATGTCGGCGTCGGTACGTCGGAGCTTTGTTCTGTCACGGCGGCTCCAAGAAAATATTCTTCTTCTCCTTTAGTTCTCTCCAAGAAAGTAGAAACTGCGATGCTGACTGTAATCTTTTTCTTTTGCTTTTTGGGTTGTTGTGCAGAAGTGCCGGCTTCTGGATTGAGTGAAATAGAAGAAAATTGGGAGAGCCATAGGAAAGACTACTCTGCAGAGTTCTTCGAAGCGGATCCTTGCTCGGTGAGCTGCTCCCCGAGCTTCTTAATTTGTCAATTTTAGTTTTCGTAGCTGAACATTCTGTTCAGAGATTTCATTGGAAGCTTTCCCCGGTTCTAGTTGTGAGGAGATAGCTAGAGAATTGGAACTTGCCTGATAGTTGTATTGGGTTTGACAGGAAAGTTTTGAAACCCAGCTCAAAGAGAAGGCTGGTCAGGTGGATTTTGTTTGCTGCTTGCAGAATTTGCAGGTTTTTCAACCATCCTTGATTTAAGTTCTGTCTTGCTTGTATTTTGATCTGTTTTCTTTTGGAAGCTAGTTGAGATGGGGTTCAGAATTCAGATCATTTCTATTTGTCCTACTGCAGCTCTGCTTTGAAACTGAGGAGAGTGCTAGGAGATTGTTGCACAGTGTCTCATCTTTGCTTAAACCAGGGGGTTATTTTTTGGGTATTACTCCTGACTCATCTACCATATGGTATGAATACTTATCATTTACTAGATCAATGGGTTCCACTTGTGCGTTGTGTTCCCCGATGTATTTCTTTGTTCATAAAGTGTGTTCACCGATTTAAACGTTGTTTTGCTCTTATGCAGAAGTCTAATCGTGTCCATTGTTTGACGAGAATTTCGCTATGCAGGGCAAAGTACCAGAAGAATGTTGAGGCATACCACAATAGAAGCGCAAGTATGAAGCTAAATATAGTTCCCAATTGCATACGGTCTGAGAATTATATGATCACGTTTGAGGTTGAGGAGGAAAAGTATGTAATTTTAACAAATTTTTCCCTTGCTTGTTCTGAATATCAAAGATTAGTGGTTGTGATTTGTTTCTACTGTTCTGTTACTATTGTTGTGTGAAAACTCAGGTTCCCTTTATTTGGAAAGAAGTACCAGCTAAAATTTGCTCATGATGCCGTGGCTGAAACCTATTGCTTGGTTCATTTTCCAAGCTTGATCAGGTTGGTGTGTTTCTGAATGGTCTTTGTTTAATTAATAGTGAATCTCCTTTAACAAAGTTCGCAGATACTGTTCTCATTGATTATTGTCGCTTGTACACTACAATGGCTGAAAGTCACTGTGTTTTGATGAATGACTGAACGTTCTGTACCCTAGATTGGCTCGGGAAGCTGGTCTGGAGTATGTAGAAATTCAGAATTTGACAGAGTTTTATGACGACAACAGGTATCACAATGACACCTTTCATTCTCCATTACATGGAACAATTAAGGGTACAGACAAGCATTGTATAAGTTGGAAAATACTTTTTCAACATCAATAATAATGTCGATTTTGTTTCTCTCCAATGTTTGAAGAATGCAGTTTGCCGACATGCTGATGAATGCTGGTCCAAATCTCTTGGATTCAAAAGGAAGACTCGTTACTAGGTCATTTGATGTGCTTGGTACGAGTTTCACATTTTTACTGTGCATTTCATCCTAACTGCTACTTGGTGCGACTTACATACCTACTGTTGGTGCTGTTTGGGCAGGCCTTTATTCGACGTTCATTTTTCAAAAGCCTGATCCGGATGCCGGTCCTCCTCTAGCCACTCCGCTGCTGGAAAACAATTACAGTCAAGAAGAGGATAGTTCTTCCCGTTTAACTTTAAGTCAAACGGCTGCTAGATGGATAGCCGATGAGAAGACCGCTCCAGTTATGGTACAAACACCAGCACCAACAGAGGCCCCTCTTGGACTTGGGAAGATCAGCGAGCAGAAAGGGATTTTGGGTCCAGGACCTCCAGATTTACGCTTTGCGGAGGCTGTTTGACCATAGTTCACAGATCGACATTGTTCATTAGAGTAGATGTCTTCTTAATCGCAGGATTACTTGTTCTAGATTAGTTCGCAGACTCGGTGTAGTTAGAAGCTAGAACCTGAAGTTTGCTGGGAGTAATTTGGCGGGTTTGACGGAGCTGATTATTGCATATGGTAGAGCTATCAGTAATGTCATGATTTTGTTGATGAAAATATAACGGTCGAAGCAAGGACGCCCTTCTAGCGTCGTACTTTCTAAAGGTCGAGACTTTTCTGTTCAAAATGATTGAATCTCATAAGGTGAGTAAAACTAAAGCATAGAGTGCAGTCAACAATTGCTAACCAAAATCAAAGCATAAATAGTTAAATACACAAAAGCTAAATCAATGTCCCAAGATCACGAACACAACTCCACACTGCGGTCCATGAGTCTTTAACCAAGTAACAGAATAATGTGACCTATATTATCTATCAATTATGCAATAACCTAACATGACCCGTATGCAGCTACGACGCAGCTGCCCTTTCTATCTTCATCCCTCATCGTCATCTTACTCTATAAATTACTTCTGTAACAGCTGCAGAATCAAGGGTTTGAGCACATGGTAGTGCTGCATTGCATTGACAAGTATTCTGGCGGTCACCATCCGAGTAGGATGGACAATATTATCAGTGGATTTTCCATTTGCCCTCCAGTGCGATGGATATGTCTCTCAAACATGCAGCAGCAGTCAACGGGTAGCTAGAAACTGCAAATAGAGCAATCGAATCAGTGAGGAGAGCATTGAAATCAGAGAGGAAGAAAAGCAACAAAAGATCACAACATACCTGCTACAAGATCATCAAGGTAATCGCTATCGATTTTACCGTGGGCCATGGTGCCAACCTGCAGCAAAAAGTATCAACATCACAGCATGGCTGAAGAACCAAGCGCCATCAAAATCACACGAAGCTTGAAATGTACCACAAAAATGAGGTCATTGTCCTTGTTGACTCCAGTAATGTACTCCTCTATGGGGACTGCCTTATCCGAAACAAATGAGAGACCTGGACTAGCAGGGGAAGCAGTGTAAGGATGCATGTTTAAGAAAAAACAGATAGAAGCATTTGCAAAAATAAACTCCCTTGCCTACCTATTTTAATGGAGTTAACAGGAAAGTACTGAGTTACTGGATTCTGAACCAACCGTAACAATTTCCCACCTTTCCCTTTGGCTTTGATGCTCAATTTCTGTAACAACTGAGCTGCACAAGTGATACTTCCCAAGAGTTAAAACAACTGGACAAATTTGATGAAGATGATTCACATTATTCAAAACCAATTGAAATTTAATACTCACCCATCATATCACAGAATTCCTCCAACGTTCTAGGAATTCGAGCATTAGGTTCAACTTTAATCAAAATCCCTTCATCTGTCTTGATGTACACTGCCTTTAACTTACCAGCCATACGGAGCCGGCTATCCATAATTCCGACGAGAGCCTAAAATACATAGAGAATAAACAGAGTTTCATGCATCGTTTTGGGCCAGAAAAGAAGACAAATTAAACACACCGGTGCCTGTACATAATTTGTGCTAAAAGAATGACAAACCTCGTGAACAATATCAGGTCTGTACTTGTAAGGATCCATGTTCTTCTTCCGCAAATAGTCGGAATGCTCATTTGCGTTTAAAATCCGATACCTCTGCAAGTAGGCAACTCTAGTGTGAGAAGGCATAACTAACCAGGACCTTCTAACACAAATATGATTAACTAGTAGCAGCATCTATTCTTATGCTTTAAAAACTGCCAACTTACGTTCTGCAAGCAGCTATCCTGTGATGGTATATATGAGGCTAAAACGAAATACTTTCTATACACGATGATATAGATTGAACCATTATGATAACAGAAAAGAGCTTACTCGTCCAACATTAGCAAGAACCAAGGAAGCCTTCTCAAGAACAAAAATCACCCCAGCTTTGGAGTCTGGATTGGATGGTGCCAATGCAATCCCTGGGAGATCCATTGCCACCTCTTCTACTCCCAAACCCAATGCCTTCTTCCCGTGCCCGGAAGAAATTCCGGTAGGGTTTGGCTCATCACTTGCTTGTTCCAAGCACAAAACCTTTATCTTCTCTTCTCCCCCCTTGATTCCTTCTCCATTCTTTCGTTTCATCTCCCTTCTTTACTCTCACCTTCTCTTTCACAAGTTACAGCACAGAACCCTAACAAGGTTTGGCAAATTGTTAACCCCCTCTGAAAATAAACATAAAAGGGAGCAACTGAACAACAAAGCCTCCATTACAGAGAATTGTAATTCATCCCTAAGCATAAACCTTCCGGATTCCATCCTATAATGCCACTGATGACAACCATAAAACTGAAGTCAACCAACCGAAAACCAACAAACAAGAAGAATAAGAATTCAATAGACACATATTGGATGAAATAAGCAATATAATACGAGGCAAATTCATGAAACCCTACAACTGGAATTGAATGTTCAGCTACAAGAACCATCGTTCGGACTCATTCCGAGCTACACCAGACTAGTATTTATGCTATGAATAATCATCCTATTCCTAGCAGCTTGAGGTCTTGCCTGTGTAATAGTATACAGAAGCTAAAGGATATCGGAAACGTCTGTTTACCGGAAACGACGAGAAGAAGCTTGCGGCACCGGCGACCAGTGACTCCGTCGCAGAGAGGTTTTGTCAGGGTTTTTGGTCCACCGGGAGCCAGCCAACTGCAGTCTTTTTTTTTTTTTTTTGCTGATTTGTCTAGCTGTTGGGCTTTTCTAACAAAATACGCCACACGTTGGGCTTTGAAACAGACTTTATAGTTGGGCCGACCCGCCCAGCTACTGTCTTCGTATAAATAAAATAAAAGGGCTAAATTACACGTTTGGTCACTCAAATTATACAAATCTTTCACGTTTGCCACCCGAATTACTTTTCTTTCTTATTCGCCACTAACTTTACGAATCGTTTCACGGTTGGTCACCGGCCGTTACACTCCGTTAAATTTGTCCTACATGGCAGTCAACTATAAAGTTTGACCGTTAACTAGATGACGTGGAAATTAAAAAAAATAAAAATAAAATAAAATTTTCTTTCCACCTCATCATTAACCCCTTATTAAGAATGCTTCAGAACCCAGCCCAGGATATCGTCGTCTTCCCCGTCCTCTGTTCCCACCTCGTTGCTCCTCTTTATCCTCTCCTCCATTTTCCTCTCTATGAACTTCAGAATCGCCGATCGCGACTGTCGCCCGAGGGGAAGAAACAAGAAATTAAGTAAAGGGAAATGATAGATAATGAAAAGGAAGGTGAAAGAAAGGTAAAAACGAACCTGCAAGGCACACCGGTAAGCAGTTCCAGGAAAATTCAGGGGAGCTGAGACAACCCCTTTCATGAAGGTGACATACTCCTTCTTCAGCTGCTCTGTTTCTGCTTCACCAGGATCCAAGCTCATGATGTGCTTCGCCATCAGATTGAAAGTGAACTGCCCAAGTCCAAGAATTTGAATCTTAAGAAAAAACAGAGCCCGAAGCAGGGTGGAAAAGATTGAAAAAACAGAGCAAGAAATCGATCTACCTTCTTGGCTTCGTCCTGGGCAGAGAAAGTGGAATTGTGGTTCCAGGAAGAGAGCACAAGCAGGGTGTGGTGGTGGATTTCTTTGAGGAGATGCGTTCGCAGCCTGGCGTGGCTAAGGAAGTTGAGCGAGATGATTCTCGTGTTCTTGTGCATATCTCCCACCAAAACCAGCATCGACCATTTCCCCAGAATCCCGCCGATGCTCTTCGAGTAGCTGCATTCGAACAGCTTCCCTTCGTTCTGGAGTATGAATCGGTTCAGCTCTGCGTCCGCCGACAACATCTCCTTTTTCTTTCTCGTCACGTTCGACAGCATTGAGAGCAAATTCAGCACCGTGATGATGCAGTGTGAGCCCATCTTCTGTGGGATTGTCGGCCTCTCATCTAGTTTTTGGTAGCCGCGGAGCAAGGCCATTAGGACGAAGAGCATTCAGATACTTCTCCCTTGACTATTTGACCTGCGCTCTGCACAGGATGTTCTCAAAAATAAATTGATAAATTAATATTGAAAAGTAAGGGCCCATTTTTGTAATTTATTAAATTTTATTATGATAAATTATATAGATAAAATAAGTGCAATGATGAGGTGGAAAGAAACTTTTATTTATTTTTATTTTTTTAATTTCCACGTCATCTAGTTAACGGTCAAACTTTATAGTTGACTGCCACGTAGGACAAACTTAACGGAGTGTAACGGTCGGTGACCAACCGTGAAACGATTCGTAAAGTTAGTGGCGAATAAGAAAGAAAAGTAATTCGGGTGGCAAACGTGAAAGATTTGTATACTTTGAGTGACTAAACGTGTAATTTAGCCAAAATAAAAGCTCGAAAATCTTCCGCTTTGAATTCCAAAGGTGCAAAGTGTTCCTCGTCTACGGCAAACTTGGAAGTTGCGTTGTGAGTGACAAACTCCTCTCTCTGAATTCGACCGACGAGGTGCTGCCAGCGCAACGACCACATCATGCCTGGTCGAGGCAACAAATCTCATCATGCGAGTTGCTGCCATACTAGTTTTGACAACATTTTCCAAGAGCTCCAACATTTATCGAAATTTTGATTTACGAATTCATGATGACTACTTTTCCTATAAAAATGTACTCAGTGAGTAACTTTTGTGTGGATAGTCAACTTCAACTCGCTTATTTGTTACTCAATATGTACATATATATCATTTAAGTTCAACTTCGACAATTAATAAACTTATTATTGATTACTTTTATTAGTATTAGTACCTAACGTTTAACAAACACAAAGTGGCTCTTGAACACATCTATACGTCTAAACCAAACTGATTATCAAAAGTGTGAGTAGATGAAGATGGGTTTAAGATGGCAGGTTGGGAATGGCCAATCGGTCTCCCTCCTTCATTCTAACTGGATTCCTAGGTACCAATTAGACCCCCCATGCTATAATCCACGGGTCTTGCCTGAGTGGGGTGATCCCTTGGTAACGGAGGTTATTTGTGAGGGGGGAGGGAGGTGGTCTGATGAGAAGCTTAGTCAATGGTTTGACCCACCCACCTGTAGGGCTATTGAAGTTATTCCTCTCCCGAGATGGGATGTGCCTGATAAGCTTATCTGGCATTTTACGGCTAATGGGGTGTTTTCGGCAAAGTCGACTTACCATTTGGCTGTAGACTTGGACAGGAGGAGGGGTGGATGGCGGTCCTCGGTTAGCTGGATGGATAAGCCGAGTTGGATTAGAGCGTGGGAGGCGAAGATCCCTCCGAAGTTGAAAGTTTTTGTTTGGAAAATTCTTAATCGGGCTCTGCCGACTACAGAGGCGCTTATTGAGAAAAAGGTCCAGGTGCTACCTCGGTGTCCAGTTTGTTGGGATGGCCCGGAGACGATGGAGCACTTGTTCCTTTATTGTCCGGTGGCACGGGCTCTCTGGGACTATTGAGGACTGGAATACTTGGGGAGGGTTTGCCTCGGCACACTTTTCCTTTGTTTCTTAAACGTCTGTTGGCGCTGATTCATCAACCGTCCATGGTTATGGCTGTTGTTGCCATCCTTTGGAGGATCTGGCGATCTCGGAATTGGGTAGTCTTTGAAGGCAAGTAATTTGGGATCCCGGCTCTCATGCGCTAGTTTAACCAACAGTATGAGGAATGTGTGGGTCTACCTGCGGACCAAGCTCCTAGGGTGCCGAACCCGGTGATGCAATCTCCAGCTCAAATGGGTGATTCCCAGATAGTTTGCATGTGGGACGGGGTAACGAAGGGTGGGTCGCATTCGGCTGGTGGGATGGTTCTTTTGGACCCAGCGCGGACACTCCTTCTGGATAGAGGGGTTCAATTTTCTCAAATGGATGATCCTACGGTGGTGGAATTGCTTGTGCTCAGGGAAGCTATTGTTTGGTGTATAGAGCTAGGCTTGTTGGAGGTCCGGTTTGAGGGCGATGCGAAGGTGATTATCAACAAAATTAATCAAGCCGACATAAGAGATAGTCGGTTGGGTGCTGTTCTAGAAGAGATTGGCCATCATTTTCGTATTCAGCCTGGCTTTAGTGTGCGTTTTGTAGGTCGGGAGAACAATAGGATAACTCATTTGGTAGCTAAAAAAGCCCTTTCTTTGTACCCGACTATGAGTCGCTTCTTTGATTTCTAGACCTGGCTAATTTCTAGGGTGTAATTACCTATTTTTTATCCATATATGATATCTTTTGAAAAAAAAAGTCCATTTTCTAAAAAATTTGGAACCAAAATCAAACTTATAGTAAAAGGAAAAAACAAAAAGATCTTTGAACTCATCGAATAAAAACAAATAAATTGACAAAAATTATTTGTGGACAATATAATATTAAACAAGTCTGTGCTGCTCTGGACTCTGGTGCTTTCCATGCGGTGATTGTGATTCTCTTCAATTTCTCCATCTCATCTCAGCCCCCAAACTCAGCTGAAACCACACCGCCGAGAAACCATTAACCATGGGCGACAAAGCAATTCCTGATGGCGCTTCTTCCACCACCACCACCATCACTCCCTTCCCTTTCTTCCCCAACTTCCGCTTCGACGTCCCCAACTTCCACTTCGACTTCCCCAACCCGTTTCGCCGGGATACCCAACAACCCCGCCGCCAAATCGCCGCCTCCGATGACCGTACGCCGCCCGCCGACGGCGACAAGCCTGATGCCGTCAAGTTCGCGGACCGGAAACCTCCGCCGACGAATTCACCTCTTCAGCTGGAAGTCGACGAGACTTCCCACCCACTGCTCAATTACTCGGTACGTCAATTTTCCCACCAATCCATCCCCTGCCGTGTTAGTTCCAGGTTTCGTGTTTGGTTGGTGAAAGAACTTTGAAGCTCGGATTGTCAAAAGTTAAAGAATGGAAATTTTGTGTGGATAAATTGGTAAATAGGACAGGATGGGAGGGAGATAAACGTAAATTTAGATTCCGACTCTGGGCCGGGCTCCGATTCTTCGTTCTTTCCCTGTTGAGGGGAGATAGGGGAAGGTAATAGGAAGTTAAAGAGTTCGCAAGTTATCGATAAACCCAGAAAACCCTCTTCCGGACTAATTCTCTAACTTCAACTCTTCGAACATCGCTCGAACAACAATGGCGGAAAAGAAGGGTGGAAGCATGGCGGTGACTGGGAAAGACCAACAAGATAGCGAAATCACTAAACCTGTCCTTGTAAGGGTACCCAATGCCCGTCCGGCTGTTTCTCCTATGGAGGTTCAGGTTTCGGAGAACACTAAGAAAACCCACAACCCCGTCATTATTTGGCAGGTTCGTTTGTTTGATTGCTGCTCTTAAGCTTCCTCTTTGATGTGTGTTTGTGATGGAAAGAAGCTTGAATGGAATGTGGTGCTTGCAAATTGGAGCGAATTTTGAGTTAAAGCTTAGGGCTTGGTGGTTTGTTTAGGTCAAAGTGAGGCTTGATTTTGTCCTCTGAGATGCTTGTGTGGTTTCTAAGACAGGTGGGTCTTTTATACTATTGAGTTCATGCTTAACTTCCATGTCCTTGGCAGTCTGGTGCTTTTGAAAGGAACTCCAAGGAAGTTTTCTTAGCTTAGAGATATTTTGATGGCATGCCTTGTTTGTGCTGTAGTAGCAGAGACTACAGCCTACTGGATCTTCATTCTTCATGGTGTGTTTTTGGAGGTTATTGAACCACAGGCCAAAACCGTCAAGCTGGGAGCTTGAATGGCCAAAAGCTGATAGTTTTCTGATGATGTAGGCTGTTCAGTAGACTTGATTAGGACTATTTTTCTCTTTCTTTCTAATTGCTCAATGCATCAAGCTGCAAATCATGGGTGCAAGTATTGGTAACTCTTAGTGTATCCGGTTTTGGTAGGGTTGACCAGATTGTCCTCTTATAAGTACTTAATCTATCAGTGAAGCGCATGAGAGAATGAATTATATGGAGGTATAGCCTGCAAATTGAGGTGGCGCAAGCCTTGGAAAGTATAAGGGGCTCTAGAATTGTCTTGTTCTTGCTACAGATTATACGTGAACAGTAGACTGGGTAGTCAGGCTTAGAAACTGCTTGAAGTGTAGATAGAAATATGGCGGCGCTAAACCTCATAAAACCTTGCAGTGTATAGTTCTTCAACTGTCCTCTTAAGTATGTTGAGAGCCATAGAACTCCGTGAGAAACTCAACCGTTTCCACCCCTCTTGATGCTTTTGCCTTCATATCTGCTAAATTGTGTACACGCAATATGTATCTTTATCCTTTGTCATGCTAATAGATAGAATGGAAGACTTCCATGTAATTACTGACTTAAGCCTCCTGTTCACGAGGGAAGCCAATCTTTCACTAAGTTCAGGTTTGCAAGTCTGTTGTTCTCTACTTTCTGCTTTGGGAAATACCAGCTTATGTATGGCTTGCAGGTCTATGCACTTGGAGGGTTCATCGTTCTGCAGTGGGTATGGGCAAGGTGGAACGAAAGGAAGGAAAGAGCGAAAAAGAGGTCATCGGCGGAGGAGAATCAAACTCCAGACGACCATTCACCGGCTGAAGGCGAGGAATGATTGAAGGAGCTGAGGGAGGAGCTGCGGTGTGTAAAGCAAATATCATACATATCACAGAAATCCCTCTTCTCTTTTTTCTCAGTAGCTCTCTGGGTTGTATTTATGGAGACATGGAAGTTCTTACTTTCAAATGACATCTTCCTTTTAAGGCCACAAACTCTCTTTGGAAAGTGAAGACTGGCAAGGTTCAGGATTTTCTGTACAGCTTAGCTCCCTCGTGGTTGTACCATAACTAAATTCCGGCTAATGTTTAAATTTTATCAAATCGATCATTTACGCTTTCACCGACTAACGAAACGATCATTTTGCTAATCTTTGAGAATGTTGTTTACCCAGTGATAAAGTCGTCAACTTGATTAAACGATGATGGTTCAATCGTTTTTCTAATACTAAAATAATTCTGATCGATTCTTAGGGGTGTGCAATGGTCTAGTTCGGAACCGGACCGTACCGAGCCAAATCGAAGTTTGGACCGCATCAGATCAAGTACAATATTGTTCGTTCCTTGGTCTAGAGTTTTACAATTAGTGAAAAAATGATAGACCGACCTTATATTTGGACCGGGTCGAATCGGATCAAATGGACCGAAACGCAATGATTGTCCGGTCTCATGAGTTTTGTCCCTTCCGGACTGGACCGAACCGGTGCACACGATTCCAAACCAACCCAAACGATTTTTCACACTTTCAGTGACCATAAGTGATATTTTCCCATATGCATTGTCTCGTTTTTTTTCTCACCACCTCTGTTTCCAGTTTCTACAGTTCCGTTTGCATCTCTTTTTAAACGGATCCGTTACAGCCCGTCACTGGCTGGCATCAACCCTAACGTTTCTCACTCCTTTGCTCACTCCGCCACCCCTCCGTCACCTTGACCCTAACGTCGTCATCTCTCCCTCTCTCTCTCCCCTGCCGTCTTTTCCAAATCTCATGGCCACCGACGATTTCCCATTAATCGACGATCCGCACGCTCCTCCGCCTCCTCACGCACCCGCCGACGTCCACCCCGACTCCGAGTCCGTCCACGGTGGAGATTATTACCCGACCTACCCCGACTCCGACCAGGAAAAGTCCGGATCCGGAGCTCCAACAACTCCGTCGTCGAAACGGAGCCACCACCACCACCAGCCGCCGTCGTCGCAGCAGCAGCAATTCTATTACAACAACAACAGCAGCAGCAGCAAAAGGCAGAAAGCGAACGGCAACGGCGCGGAACCGGAATCGACCGCTAACACCGCCGCGACGCCGGATTACCGTGCGGATTACCGCAAGGACAGGGAGGAATGGAGCGACACGGCGATCTCGTGCCTGCTGGACGCCTACACGGTGAAGTACAGCCAGCTGAACCGCGGGAACCTGCGGGGGAGGGATTGGGAGGAGGTGGCGGAGTCGGTGAGCGAGAGGGGCGGGAGCGGTAACAGGAAGAGCGTGGAGCAGTGCAAGAACAAGATCGATAATCTGAAGAAGAGGTATAAAGTGGAGCTGCAGAGGATCAGCGGTGGTGGGTTTGGAGGTAATGTGGCTAGCAATTGGCATTGGTTCAAGCAGATTGGAGCCATCATCGGGAGTTCATCTTCTGGTTCTAAAGCCGTCTCCGCTGGTGGCGGTGGAGCTGTTGCAGAGAGTAGTGAACCCAGTCCCATCGCAGTGGCGGTTCCTGTTGTGAATGGCGGCACGTTGACGACCGTCAGGCAGACTAAAAGGTAAGCCTTTGGTGACTCTCTGTTCTGTGTGTTCCATTTTTTTGGCTACTTCTTCTGACTAACGGTAGCAAAGCGTCGTGTAGCTAGACAGAGTTGGTTTTGGGTGTACAAAGATGTTCAGCTCATTTTATCAGTTTGTTATTATGCTGGTGTACTGCCTTATCGTTAACGTTGGTAGAATCAACTGTGGTCATTGAATGTTAACTGATATGAACTCCAGAATCTAGACTAGTTGATCATGGTTTTGTATTATTGGGTAATATATGACAGAGTGGGTATCTGGGTTGAATGGTTGAATAATGCAGTAGTCTATGGCTGCTAGTTGGCGGTTTGGCAATTCTGTGAATCAACTTTAGCATCACCTAATTGTTGTTTGCTAATGATACCAAAGGTTGGGCGATCGTATAACCATATTCATATCTTTTCTTACCCAGGCAAACCCCGACCAGTTCTGCCTTAGCAAACAACTTGAAACCTAAATCAATGCCGAATTTGAAATGGCGCAGAGTTGTGTTCAAAATCAGCGGTGCTGCTCTGGCAGGTAACTGCCAGAATATTGATCCGAAGGTGTGTTAGTGTTGTCTAGTTGCTCCATTATCACCTATTTACCTTCCTCCAAGGGAATGCAAGTTAAAATGGTTTCTCTTGGAACCAGGTTGCAATGCAGATAGCAAGTGAAGTGTCAACAGTTTGTCGCCTTGGACTTGAGGTGTTGCCTTGACTCCCTATGTTTTTGTGAATTTCTCTTGACTTCTGTGACTGAATTATAGCGTACATTGAATGTCTGCAGGTGGCAATTGTTGTTGGTGGTCGTAACTTCTTTTGTGGAGATTCATGGATATCTGCCACTGGCTTGGACAGACCTACAGCATACCAGATTGGGTAAGCTTTTGAGTCATACAATTTCCTGCAATCTCCATTCTTTGGGAATAATTTGTTCACTTTGTTGAAATTCCACTCTCTGGCCTTCCTCCATTATGGTCGACCAGTTTAACCACATCACTCTTCTTGTGTCAGATTTAGATTGCCATTCCTTCCGCTTAAGTGAACTTGTGATTCCCTTAAACTTTCCATGTTGCTCGGATGTTGACGTTCAACTATCTCATGCATTGCTGTGAATCAATTTTCGTCACTTCGCCTAGTTGTCTGATCAGTTTGCTTGCTACGGTAATCAGCATGATGGCAACTGTCATGAATTCTGTATTGCTGCAATCAGCTTTAGAGAAACTGGGAATTCAGACTCGCGTGCAAAGTGCATTTTCAATGCCAGAGCTCGCTGAGCCTTATAGCAGGCAACGAGCTATCCGACATCTTGAGAAAGGGAGAGTGGTCATATTTGGTGGGGTGGGTGCTGGGGCTGGCAACCCTTTGTTTACAACCGACACAGCAGCAGCCCTAAGAGCTTCTGAGAGTATTGCCCTCATTTAAACTTCATATTTCCACTTCCTACACATTCCGATTCACCAAAGAGTTGCCGAATTCACACAATTTTCATCCTTTCATCAGTCAATGCAGATGCTCTGCTCAAAGGCACTAACGTAAATGGCATTGATGATTGGCAAACCAGTAATAGCAATATGATACTGGATCACATATCATTCAGAGACGTGGTCTCTGGGGGTGCTACCTCGATGGACATGATGGCGATTACCTACTGCGAAGAGAATGGAATCCCAGGTACATCATTACCCCCTTCTACTTGATTCTCTAATTCGCAGCTTCACTTCTCTGTTGCAACTCCCATATCTTTCACTGCACTACCTTCCTGATGGACTTCCCTCTCTCTTTTCCCCGTTTCCTTAATAGTTGTGGTCTTCAACATGCTGGAGCCTGGAAATATATCAAGAGCGCTATGTGGTGAACAGGTTGGGACTTTAATTGATCAAACAGGAAGGATCAGTCAATAACTGCCATCTATCATAAACCGCGCATTTTATACATTTCCGAGCTTCTTATTTGTGTGTACATACCCGAATTTGTTGTTCAAAGCAGGAAAACAACAAAGATGTGTAAACATAATGTGATAAGGACTGTGTAAACATGTCCTCCCCATTGTGATGTAGCTAGATGATCTATATTCGTGTCTACCCATTCTTCCAGACTCGTGTAAAATAATTACGAGTCTCTTCGCCTCGATGTTAGCCTTGCAGTTGGTCTAGTTGACTGAATCTTCTGTGTATTTGCTAATTCTAATTATGGTGTGATGTGTGCTATTTATAGTTTTGTCCAGTTCGGTTCATACACTGGTCTGATGCATTCCAGTGCAATCGTGATTCGTGAATGAAGTTGTCTATATTCCTTTTCGCAATAGCATCTCTGCGATTATCGCTTGCGCGTGCCAATAACCACGTGGTTGTCCAAGGTTAAGCCTTCTAGGTTGTAAGAGTCGTCAAACTCGCAAGATCGAGCTGCACCATTGTTCTATCAAACACTGATGCTGCAGTGTTGGAACCAGCAGTGTCGCAAAGTTGCTCCAAGGCTTTGGTTTTGTTCTCCATGGAATCACACCAGCCGTGGGCTTAACGAACACTTCTCTTGAACAAACTAATCTACTTTTATTACTCATCTCTGTTAAATAAAACCTTATTCTCCATAGCGCAGCCTTTATTGGTACAAAACTCGGCCTAATCCTTAAAAATGTATATGCTACTAACCTGCTATAGCCTATAAGTGTGGTATCTCGAAAATGAAAAAGAATTGAGTTTCTCTATAGCCATTTCAGCCTCGTGTACCTATACAATGGTTTTGAGTCGTTCCGTTGAATCGACTGCTGAGGGCGGAGCTCATCCTGAACGGCAAAAGAAAGGCGAAATGAAGACTGTCACCTACCGGTCAAGCTCACCAGACCTCACTAACAACAGCACGGTGTCACCGTTCACCCCTCCCTGACTCGGCATTATAGCTTACGGCTTACATGTATCCAAAGCCAACAATCGTCGGGACACAGGGGCAACACCTCTTGTCACCAACTTCGGCCTATGCTCGCAATTGGCAACCCACCATTTCCTGTCCAAGCTTTCTTGAAATCTTCCTAGTCAGTGTTGATGATCGAGGCTGGGAGTGAGAACGGTGGACCTGAGATAAATGGGTTGTTCGTCTCTGGATCTGCAGGAAAGAAGGATCGAACAACCCCAGCCATTCAATCCGTTTGGAAATAGCTATCGTATATAGAAAGCCTATCAAAGGCATCATAGTTTGCTTTCAGTCCAACGAACTGACTGCCAAGCTGAGCACAACCAGCATCGGGCCATTTGCATCCTCCCTCGCGCGTACTTTGTGGGCACAAAGTTTGACATATCCGGCTGATAGGATTGCTAGCAGAAGAAACATTCTCGTCTGCCACCATCGAAATTGAAACCGACAGATCCGACCCGTCATTTTGGCCGTTTGATTCTCCACTTGTTAGCCTATCCTCCAATGGCCTACTGGTCTCAATGTCCGTACCACCACCACTGGCGAAATGAACGTTGCACCCCAGGGACTGTATGGCTCGCCTGATGGCTGCACTTTCCTTGCTGGCTCTCTTGGCCAAGGCCATAGATGAGCTACTCAGCTGCTTCTCATGCCGCAACTCCACTGACAATGATTCAAAGGCACTGGTCATTTCAGCAGCTTTCTTCTCTGCTATTTCTTTTGCCTGTTAGGAGAAACATGTCAAAGTCCGACTGACTGACGGGGAGTAATATAAATGAGCAGCAAAAAGTAGTAATCACTACCTTATGTAGTTCATTAAATCGGAGAGACATTTCTCTGCAGCGATCTTCAAGCTCATCACCAGCTTGTGCTTCTGATGGGCAGGCCCATCGAAGATGGAATTGAGGCCACAAGGTAGGAGCTAAAGCTGCTGCCGGAGGCAACAAGGGACCATCATGTTTCAGTTGATCATAAAATAAGTTGTAGTGACCATGAGACCTTCCTTGTGAGGAGCGTACATCAGCCAGATAAGCCCACATGCACCCACATGCTTCAGCAATACTAATTTGCTGCCGTTCCCTTTCACTGTAGTAAATTGCGAATAATAAATAAGAGAGGGAGGAGGACAACTTAAAACCATTATCATCTCAAAGGTCCCTTTTACTAAATGCAGTACACATTATCTCCAATCCAACTGAAAGAGGGACTTAGCATGCTTTATACAAACTCATTGACTTGCTACCGGTTAAAGTATGAATCAAGTGTTGGGCAGCTATGATAGTCATGCTTTTTATCAATTTGGGTGGGTGCGACAGAAAACTGAGAAAAAGTGCAGTTACTAGATAGAAAAGTCAAAACTGCTATTAAACATAGCATGTCTACTGAAATACAGTATCCGAACTGCACGGAGACTAGAGTAGTTTCAGGGTCTATTGGAATATCATGGACGGAGATTCTAATTCATAGTTCACCTTCCCAGCAGAAGAAAACAGAGAAAAGCTCGTAGTTTCCACAAAAAAATACCGATAGAATAGTTACCTATTACAGAAGAAGTTCCCGAAACGGCAAGACATCATGCAATCCAATAAATCAACCAGGAAAGCCTAAATGATAAAAAAAACACCAACATTTCCAGTGAGATAAAAGATATCCATAACACAAGAAAAGGTGGAAGTTCTTTTAGTAAGCAGACAATCATTGTTATTTAGGGAAGGAGAGCAGATACCGATGAGAACTCAAAAGCAAAAGGATAGATCCGTAGTAGCTGAGAAACACAGTCGACCCACTGCAAGCAACAATCAACATATAATCAGTTAAGTATAAGAACTTCCAGAAGAGCATAAGTAGTTGATAATCTACAGTCTAAGCATTCTCAACCTTGCTTTTCCTGTTTCCCACATGCATATTACAGTGGGTGCTTCGAACTTGGTAAAAGATTACCAGAAAACAGTCAAGGGCTTTCACAACTTTGTGTGAAGTTGAGAGAAGCAAAATCTGATCCCAAAATTTGACAATGAAATTATGTTGGTTCCGATCATTCTATGTCTCCTCTCCACTCTGTTAGGAAAGAGAACCCACTAAAACAACTGACCATTTGGCAACAGACAGCACATTACACGTATAAGTGAGGATAGAGCATATCTAATGACAGGTTCTTCTGGTTGGGGCAATGGATATCGGGTCTTTGCAGCCACACTTGTGGACTGGAAGCCTTATGAATCAAGGCAGACCATTCAAATGGTACTAGCATCAAATGGCTAAGAACATTAACACCAAACATAGATGACAACTCTTCTCATAAATTCAGACCTACAGAGAGCAATGAAATGGTCACCTGTAAAAATATTGGAGAACAGTTGTTCTGTGCATGAGAAGCACTGGGAGCTGGACTCGATCCCACTGATTGCCGACTGGGGGAGGGTGGAAAACTCCCAACAGAAGCTTGTCGTGTTAATTCAAATGACATCTTGCTGCTTCCAGATACAGTTGGAATTCCAATACGGTCTGCAAATGGATGACCAAATGCAAGCCAATCCTTTTCAATAAGCACCTGCATTTCCATACCATAAATTCACATCTAGATAAGTAATTCTAGGCAAGATGAGAACCTCAAAATTAAAAAGATTGAATGCCGCAAATACATGCACGGTGCCTTGAGCTACCAGGCAAGACATCGGTTTAAAAAGACTGTGTTCCATTTGCACAGCAACATTATATAAATACAAGGATAAAGCAGAAGTGGAAAATAAAAGGATAACAATATAGCATATAGGGAAATCACCTGAAACCCAGAAAAAGTTCGGTAGTATGGATCAAGCAATAAGTTAGCAAGTGCAACCAGCTGAGTAGTTCTGTCCCATCCATCACTGCACGTACAATCATAAATTATACAAATGCAAGAACAAACTTGAACATAGAGATTAGCAAGGGTAATACAGAACAAATTTGCAAAAAAAAAAAAAAAAAAATTAAAGAACAAATTTGGAGCAGCAAGTACATATAGCAGTTCAAAAGTTTAACAGATTGATAAGTAGAAATGGCAAAAATATAAAATACCCCTACAGTCCGTTAAAAAGATATTAGGAGATAGCCATGATTGATTAACCTGCAATGTACAAGAACAGATGCTGATTCTAAAGCAACATGTCCCGCAATCCAGGCAGCACCAGTCAGGACACTCTGTACATGAGTCAGCCAACCACTGTCCCCAAAGGCAGATACAGAAGCAGACATACTACTGAGATTGCCTCCACCCCATGTCCAACCGCCATGCCTCTGCATGAGAAACATCATATTCTACATGTTACTGGTGGATCAAAGTAAGCAAATCCAGCTAGTGTGGTAAATATGACCCAGAAAATTATTTACCAGAGCTTTCTTTTTTAGTAATATTCACCAGAGTCTTCTGCTGCCTAATCTCACTATTTTGGGTTAATATATAAGATTAGTCAGGGATCAGTTAAGAACCGCTGAAAACCTAACTAAGAAATGAAGACACAACGAGAGAGGACGGACACATTTCATGTCAGCGGATCATTAACTTCAGCAAAAGCAACACACGTTCTCTGAAATTTGGAGCAAAGCAAGTATGCAAAATAAGAGGCGACCTTCGACATTTGACACACTCAATCCAGAGCCAAATCAATAGCTGCAGCACTTGAGTTACTCATTAATCCAGCAAATAAGGCAAGGTGAGAGACTTTAATCTAGGACTAACTAATGTTTTAATGGCTTCAAAAATACTAAGATGCAAGCTCTCCTACTTGATATCAGATCATTTCAAATCATCAAGTCATAAACCTAAAAGCATTACTGTTCTTATCAGATCCTCCACTTGACCCAACAAGACCTATCCAACATTTTGTCATGTTAAAATCCCCTTGGGAGTCTATTCAAAAGACTAACCAGAAAAGACGACATTCCATCTGATGAAGTAGTGCCATGAGTATCCAGGTAGTCTCTCAACCGAGAAAGGCTCTCCCTCATTGCATGTATGTTGTCAATCCCCAGAAAGACGACCTGATGACAAGTTGGACAGAGTTTAGACTACATCACAGCAAAGCTAATAAAAATTAACCATACAAATTGTTGTCAAACCTCGGACTGAAAATAGTTGGACGATGACTCTGAGCCACCACCCATTGCACCGTTAGCTAGAGCATTTTTTCTTGGACGTGCATCAGCAATGTACAACTTCCTGGAAATTGAACAGAAAATACAGACTCACACAACAAAATCAAAATTGTATGCAAACACCCAATTTACATGTGATCATAGTATTCTAACATAAAATAGTACTCAAGCAGCCACAATATATCTGAACATGAAGTACCATACCAAGTAACGTGAAACTCCTTTTTCCCTTTGTTTTTTCCCAACATTGGTGTAAACATTATAGATGAATAATTGTTGAAAGAAGAACGAACACAGATATTGATAACAAACGAACCTCCTCCCACGAGCCCCACCGGGCTGAGTACAAAGTGCAGCAACAAGTTTTTCATCCGCATTGCTGGTCAACAAACATAAGCCAAGTTAACTGCTAACGCATAAGCTCTCTAGAAAAGCTGCTAAGTACTTCAATATCTAAAAGAAATGAACTTTTAACATAAACCATAGGTTAAATTTATTTCATTAAAGGCCATGCATTATCAATTTAGCTCCAATCTCATTTCTAAGATTCTTGCTAATGAGCAATCAAGCGGACATTACACCTTACCTCCTCAGATTCATCATAAGGCCAACTAAAGGCTGGGATGACCGAGCAAGGACTGCCCCAGAGACTGCAACAGAATAAAAATAAACTTGCATCCCATTATTGCAACAAAAAAAGGAACTTGCATCCACTGAGATCATGCAAGAAAAAACATAAGATCTGATGACGTCTTACCTGGATGACACCATGAAATTACGGGCAAGCGACCCCTAGCACGGAAGGTGGATGCCTGGATCACCTCGTCGTCACTAAAATTCAATTTAAACCCAATGAACTATCAATACAATAAACATCAATTTGGTAACCAAAATAGTAGGACCTGCAATAAATGATGTTAGTTTCACTTCTGCCTAGCACCTTGAGCAGTTGAGCTGCAAAACAGAAATCATTCTACCTGATGGATTTTGGAAGAACCAAAGCAAATGGGTATGTTTGGCACATTGAGTAGCTGGAATTCACATTACTGATCCGCCAGAGCTCATTAGATTTCATATAAGACTCTTTCTCAATCATATTCATCGTTGCACTATAAGAACCTTTTCCAAGGAGTCGAAAATACTCATTCAGCAGCCGCACTTTTGGATTTGCGTTACTGAACTTTGATGAGCCACTGGAAAATGCAAAAAGATCCCAGATTCTCAGAGGCTTCGAACTTCTCTGTAGGGCATCATATATAAGACGCCTCTGCAAAATAATAAAGGTCAACAAATAATTGTACCGCTATGTTTGGGAAATACAAAGGTTATTGATTATTGTAATACTATGTATAGATGGGTAGTAAGTGAAGGTAACTGAAGGGAAGGGGAAGTAAAGGGAAAGTTTTCTAATACAATGTTTCGGTTCAACCATGTGCAGGTATCAACTTGATTCTACTCTCAAAATGTATCACATTCCCTATCCGGCAGCACAGTTTAGAATTTAAGACAGCTTAATCCATATTTCTTCTATAAATTATACAATTACATATTCGTCAATGAAAATAGTATAATTACACGGCAATACTTTCAACAGGATTCATCTGTATTATCGAAATTTCTCCAGCAATGGTTGGCATAATTTGTACAAGCATATAGCATGGACATGCAAAAATGAATAATTTGATTTCATAGCAAAGATAAGACATCATGCAAACACTCAAATCAAGATGGCAGGCCATATATCAAATGCTGGGCATAAACATTTCACCTGCTTTGTTCTAGGGCGAAAACCAAAGACTACAATTCTCAAATCTTTGCCTGAGAAAAGCAGAAAAAATAGTGTTATTATCTTAAATTTGGAAGAACTATTATAAAAACATTATCCTGCTCCAACGCACAATATAAAACAGAAATAGAGATGGCAAGGTCTCCAAACTTGGAAATCCTACACTACTTAGACTCATTGACCTACAGTTTAAGCTGAGAAAATGCTTCTAGCCTAGACAAGATTTCGACGACATTTCAGGAAGCAAAACAAAGAACATTTTCTCAAAGCAACCTGTACATCTTATTACTAAAGTACTAAACAAAGTAATTTACAATTAGACATGTCTTCTTACAGCAGGATCACAGATTCTTGGATAGGAAGTAAAACACACTGAACAACTAGCAACAACCTTAAAATAACCCTTTGACATGCATACAATTCGTATCCAACAGAACTATGGACACACAAAAACTGATCATAAAAAAATGGTATTCAGCTCAAAGAAAATATGACATCTATTCCACTTTCTACAACCCAAAATATGAGCTTCAAACTGCACAAGAATACAAGGAGTTCTGCAGCTCAAATTTTCAAATCAACTTCCACACCAAGGGTAGTGCACTCAAATTTTATACAGATCGATGCAAGGCCCATAAAAAACGCACCAATAACCTGGAGGAGCCGTCTTGAAGTAGACTTGTCAGATTGCCGTGGAGCTGTTTGGTTCTTTGCAACCTGAAGATGATCCGAAAAACATTATGTTGTCTTCTAACAGGGAAGTCATAACTCATTACTCATATAGAAGGTATAGAAGGTTCAGGATGGAGCACAAAATGAAAACTAAAAATTCAGAGAAATACTATTATCTGATTATTTCACTTGCATTTACCTATCTTTGCCCTCACAACAATCCCGATACCGGTAGAAGTAAAGCAAATCAACGAACAAGTAGATTGATATAAGCCAGTAACAATGTTCTTATCTGGAAACTACACAGCATGATTCATTATGAGAAATATAAAGCCAGATGGTAAATATGGAATCTAATGCATAATGTCACACCCAGGCCAAATGGAGTAAGAGTTTTCCACGAATGAAACCCTATTAAAGTTGAAGAATTAACTTTTCCTCATACTATTAAGACCAGCATTGATCTATTGCATAAGTGATGTTAGTACAAGTTTTGACAAGAAACATACGAAGTTAAAGATAAATGTTGCTTACCAATTTGCTCAACTTTTCAATTGTTGCCAGTGGTATTGTGCCAAGTGCCACAGTATTTTGAGTCCCCTCACTCTGTGAATAAATAAAATAGGAATGAGATCCATATACCATTGCATACAACAGTTGCAGACCTGCATCATACTTGTTTCTTGACGCAGCTACTTTAGTCGCCTTGGAATTGTTAAATGTACTTTAATAACGAAATGGGTTAAAACTAGCTGGCCTGGAAAGAATTTTCACTGGCCAATGTGAGAAAGAAATGCACAAAACTCACCAGAAACATAAGACGAAAATTTGTCACTACCACTGTGCCTGCCTCGTCTGTATTAACAAGAACGACACCATGTCCCTGGAAAGAAAACATTCACAGCAGGAAAAAAGGAACTTGTACTTACTTCGACCACAAAGCTAAAGCTCAAATAAGGATCACTAAATTACAACATAGCAGGTTAACATTTTCCAAGCACTAACCACATGCAAAAGTAAAAGAAAAGAGCACATTTCATATCCCTGCCACTTCCCACGGACTGATATCAGATAGGGAATCAATAAAACAAACGTCTGGAAACTCGTTTCAACAATGACCAGCTATGAAATACAAAACTGATAATACATTATCCCCAGTCCATCTGAGCATAAGTCAAAGACATAAGAGCAGAGACAAATCAAACCAACAGAAACACTGTCCTCAACTTTTCCCTGGCCTTTTTTATAGATTAGTCAAAGTCAAGAGAGAAATGCATATTCATGGAATGCACCCATCATCGAAATATCTGGACGTGAAACTCAAATAAGAAGAGCATGACATGTACGGCCCAAAGTATCTGGCGTACCCAACTCAAAGCAGAAAGCAAAACCTTTTTTCAGAATCGGTCAGTACTCAACAGATTTCCTCTTTCTCGTCATACTACTGTCACTGTTATATAAGAATCCATGTCCTCTTAGTTAATCCCCTAAGGCCTTAGCCAACAAGCAGCCATCAACAACATCATCCTATGCAATCAGTAGCTTTCTCTCAGACTAATCGCTAATCTCAAACTGCTTATAGATACCAAATCCCTAACAACAAGGATTGCTGACAGTGAGCTGGACTCAACACAGCCTATTCTATCCACCCCTCTCTCTGCCAACTTATAATGGCGAGAAAAATAAACCATAAAGTTGATTGTTTATCAATCTGTGCTTCATGATTACCTCCCTCCCCTTTTGTTTATTTCCTCTCCTCATCTTCTATCTCAACCGCTAGCTGTTCACTAGCATTTGAATCGACTGTCTCGATCCAAAGTCAGCAATTTTGCCCATAAAGGCTGCTAAATTTCCAGCTTAAGATCCAAGAAGCTTAATCAAAACCCATTCTCCATCATCACGGCATCACCAGAACAAGCTTTCAACTAAACAAGCACACAGTTGAATAGCGAACCCAGTTCTTAAAACTCTTCCTCACTGACAAGAACAGGGCAAATTGATACATCACGCAAACAACGAAAGATCGTTGCCCTCAGGAAAGGTGAGAATCAAGAAAAACGAGCATCTAATCAGGCAGAATGCAGCCGTCTTCCGATAATTGATATCCCTCCCCCAATTGCAAGAAAAGAAGCGTGTTACCTCAGCTAGGACGCGTTCTCCTTCAAGCAAACACTTGTAATTGCCGTGACGCGGGAGCGAAACAGAGCGGGAGACCGACTGGTGCTGCTACAGCAGAACGAAGACGAAAACAAACAAAATTATTCAGCAATTGAGGAAGCCATTAAAAGAGAATGCGGGTTCTGAGAGCGGGGAAGGGCGAAGAGGAGGACCTCAAGCTTGAGCCAATCGAGGGCATCGTCCCAGCCGGCGGAAGACTCCATCTTTTCGGAGTCAGAGATGTCTCCTCCACGGTACGATGTCGATCGGCGCGTCCTGGAAGCGGCCATGCAAGCAAGAGAAAGCAAAGCGGAGGAAGGGGGGAAAAGCCCAGAAGATACAGACAAAGAGAGAAGGAGAGGGAGAGCCAAACGGGTCGGTTGAAAGTTGTAACCTTGTTGGAGAAGCAGAGCAAAAACTGAAAAAAGGGACACGAAGGCTTGGCTCCTTCCTTGGGGCGGCGAGTCGTTTTATCGGAATCAATATTCCCTTGTGAGAAAGGGAAATTTTTGGAAGAAAGTTTCAAGAAAGAAAGTCCTTTTTACTTGTCAATTTTTTTTAGTAAATGGAATGGATAATGTGATCCAACTTTTTCACAAATAAAACTTCGAATAGTTTGTTAATTTACATGCATTAGAGGTAGAATGCTTTCACTTAGTACCAAAGATAAGAGATCAATCATTCAATAAATGATGAAGGCGATCCAAAAGTAGTTGTTGAGCTATGGAGTATAAAATAATGTATATGCAAATTGAAGATAATGTATTCTATGGTACTTGACCTCACACCTTACTATTGATATTTACCTTACTCCTTACTCGAGTGATCAAATGAAAAATCTCAAATCAATCCACCAAACGTTGTATCGTGTTAAAATAATTCATCAAGCTGCATCGACATACATCCATCAAGGAGGGCCATCATTACAGTCCCAGCTTTCCACTTTTCCTTCTTACATCGATCAATTTGTTCATTTGTTTTGTGAATTCGTCTCCCTCTAATGTGTTACATTCTAATCCGTGTAAAGCAACGGTTTTGTGGGTTCACCGCAAAAATTAAAATATTATGTATTACACTTGATCAACTCTTAACCCTATTTCTTACCCGTAGCAAGTTGACTTGCATCTTCTAGTAAAAATATGGATGGACAGAAAAAGAATGACAAGTTTATATATCATGATACACTTGCAATAATTTTGTTATGGACTCAAACCTATATGACCATTTTGATCAAATTACCACGAAAATCTTGTAATTCTCTTTCATGCTAATCAACCCATATGTTCCATGAACCATTACAGGGTAGGAATCATGAACATTGTCCATGCGGTATAGCTATCAAAGTGTTGTCCGTTTCATGACGAAAAAGACTCTCATATCGATGGTGCGATTATTTGCCTTTCTCTTATATTATAATGTACTACTATAGTTGTCTATAAATGTTTCCAATTGGTATCTAGCTGTTGACTTTTGAGAATATGTTCTAAAAGAAATTCAATCCATATGTTCATATTCCGCTAGGAAGGGTTTCATTCTCCTCCTATCTTCCTTATCTACTTCAGGGAAATAAATGATGGTTATGTGCTTTAGCAATCCATGATCATCAGCGTAAAATTTTGGTGACCTTCAATAGCAGATTTCCAAACAGAACTAAACAATTTCTTTCATCTCACTATGACACTAACTTTGACCAAAACTCAAGTACCTAATCATGATCAATCCAAAACCACAAAAATACAAAAGGATCTGCCAGTGAAAGCTCCATTCCAGAATGGGAAGCAGACAGGCGAACCTGAAAACAAATAGAAGCTGACAATGAAGGTCAATTCTTGCCACCAGATATACCTAAACTTTATTTCCCCTTGAGGCAACCATTTTGTGGCAGCCTGAAACAGCTGGGAAGAGATGAGAATTTTCACAGTAGTCTTCAGTATACCTGGTTTCAGTCTCGAAAGCCCAGCCGCGAAAATCCTCGCTTAAGATAAGGGAAAGAAGAGAGCACACCATGATCAAATACACTGTCAAGAGAAGAGCCGCATCCCCTGTTACCAGGAGGAGTTGCTGCATGCTAAAATGTAGGGGATGTGAGAAACTTCAGCAGCATAACATGGGTGCTATATCATCTTCAGTTACTACGTAATACCAGTTAGCTCATTCCAAAAACCCAGCCATATCTATACATGAATGGAAGACCATATATGGTACATTTTTACAGTTTATAATATAGACAGCCACTGCTGGAAAACAAGATTACACAAACCATCGCGTTAAAAGCTTAATCGGTGAGGCTAGACTAAACTAACCAGATGAAGGGGATACAGGAGTCGCCACCCTTTACGATTGCAGAAAGAGGAAAAAATTTCGCTCACAAATGAGGATGGTGCCTCAAACTATGCCGTCCATCTTGCTAAGAATGTGCTCTGATGTGGGGAAACTTCTAAGCAAGGATAAATCTCATCCAAAACCATAGACATTTTGTATGTTACAAAGGATGAGTCTGATGGAACTGCCCAGTTCTGCAATAATCGCCGGTGTAGAAGTATGAAAAGACACTACTCGCCGAGCTCCAAATACTCATCAAACGTTCTGCTAGTAGCACACTCCCTAGGAGCTTTCGCGTCAGGTTCCCGGCCAGATCTCCAGAGGTAATTCAGACCAACTAGAAGCTCTGCAATAGTGGCTTCAGTCTTCTCTTGATTAGCATAGAAAAGAGTTTGAACCAGGAAAACGTTTGTCCTAGAAACAAAGTTCTGTTGCTCGAAACTCCTCTCGGATTGCCATCTAATCATGTTATGAGCAAGAGGGGCCAACCATTCCAATATTGAAGATATAGCCCCAGTCCACTCACTCCCAAGTACACTGTCATACTCAGCTAGCGCCAAACTCTTGGCATATGGCTTCAACTTTTGCCTTAGCATGATTCTTACACTTGCTGGTAGCATGCTGTACAAATCGTCTCGGGCATCATGGCTAATCAAATGAGGAGATGCTGCTAGCTTCTCAATAACAATAATAACATTAGCATAGTGGAGTGCTAAAGCAGTGGCACTTAGGGTTTCAGGAAGAGCAACCACAAATTTGGTACTAAATATCGACTGACCAGTAGAAGCCAAGCTCACATGATGGAAGTGATTACCATTACTTTCACGTGCAGCATCAAGAATTCTGGAATGAAGATCCGGAATGTGACAATTGACAACAGGTGAACTGTTTGTGGCTATGCATCCCTTGAAAGGACCAACTTGAGTCAGCCGACTATGCTTTGAATGCGATCGATTTGCCTGTGCTGCCGGCGATTGAGGAGTTTGCCACAGCTTGCTGATTTCATAGAGTGGCCCCGACTTTGAAGTCGGCTTTCCAAGTGGACCTGAAAAGAATTTCAAGCCCTTCTTCTTTTCAGTACTAGGTGCAGGCTTTGTCGGCAAGCCACCACCAATAGGACCCGAGTGGAAATCATTCCTCTTATTCGCTTTAGGAAGAGGACCAGATTTCCCAGCATACATGCCAAGGGGACCAGAAGAGAATCTTGGGATATTTCTACTTTCAGACTGAGGCACAGATGATTGCAATATAGTAGAAACCGACTGGCTGCGATAAATGTAATCAGAATCCACAACTCGTCCAGGTCTCTGATCCACCGTAGTATTAGAACCAAAAACATGATTGATCCTGCGGAATATAGTGAATATCGATCTTGCTAGAAGGCCAACTGTATAATCATATGTCCTATTCCAAAGTGACATTTCCCTAAGACCTTTCACTTCATGTTGCTTCCACAAAAGCTTCTTGTGATAGTCAGGAAAACTATCTGGTATTGGTTCGCTGCACTTCATTCTTCTTACTGTCTGTTCAAGCTCCACAAGTAACTCCATCTCCTGGTACAATGAACCATTGATTGAAATGAAGCGCTCCATCTTTTTAACCTTCTTATCCATTTTCTTCAATGAAAACTCCCATCCGTATTGATCAATATCGATCTTTACCAGTTCTTGGAAAGCCGTTTCAAAGCTCTTTAGAGTAGGATCGCCACACTTCTTACATAGCCGGGCCACCGACTTGGCCACATGAACCACAGTCTCCATCAGCTCGGCGCATATCAACCTAATGATATAATCTTCATCCTCAGAGACTAGTTTCTTAATACCCACAGAATTCGTAATCTCCTCCCTCAACCTAGAAATCTGCTTATCACTCAAAGCATGCCATAGATGAACTACTTTGGACATTAAGCTTGAAACTTCCAGGGCCAAAACTCCCAGAGAAACTTTATCTCGACCATTATCATGCTTCCGAGGAATCTTCCACAAGCTGCGAAACCAAGACTCGGCCACCATCTTTTCCCCCACTAAATCTGACAAAAATTCACAGGAAGAAGGAAACAATAAGCAACACTCTGGGTGTATCTCTATTTTCCCCCAACAGTCAGCAATCAGCATCTATACATAAACCAAACTGGAAGAAGACAAAAAGATTACAACTTTAAAACCGCAGTAAAACATTTGCTGCTGTTTGCCATCACAGAAAACAGCAAGTCAACTCACCCAGGCTGTATCAGCCAAGAAGTTCAGGAACTACCTTTTTTCAATACCAATGAAGCCCTTAATTAGAGAAAGAAATCATTCCACTCAAGGAAAGTCCGAATCTTCAATGCAACTTTCATTGATGAAAGTAAAGAAAGCATTCAAGAACTTGATCTCCTTAAACATTCAAACATCAACAATATTCCCCATTTTAGCATTGGCAATCACAACAATTACTGACCAGCCAGCCAGCCAGCTAGCTGAAGAATCGAAAAGAATCCCAAAAAAGCTGTGAACAAGTAACAAACAGAGATATAGGGTTTCATGAATGAATAAGTAAAATAAACAAAAGCAAAAGCAAATCCCAGACAAATCACCACCACAATCCCCAAAACCAAACAATCCCACAGCTGCATTAGCCATAAGAAAACCCCATCGCACCAAAATCCATAACCAAGCTAGAACAGTCAAGAGACAGAAAGCAGCACAAGCACACAGAGGAAACCGTGGCGGCGGCGGCCAGGAAACAGTAAATGGGAAGGAGAGAGAAGCTTACGAGATCACATGAAGAGGAGCAGGAAGTGGGGATAAGAGGGGAAAGGGAACCCAGAAGAGGGAAAAACGAAAAGGAAATAACTGGGAATTTTTAGTGAGAGAAAGGGAAGTAACTAGGAAAGAGCAGTTGGGAGAAGACTCGCTAGAACCACATGGAGAGAGAGATATGGAGAAGAAAGGGAAAGGAGACGCCTTTCTGAAATATGGAAGACAAGAAACCCAGAAAACGAGTGAATTAAGATTTGCATAGTTGGACTTTCAGAAAGAGGAAAACACGTAATAATGATTAAATTGTTAGCTTGTAATAAAATAAGACTAAGAAGACCCCCAACCGAACAAATTATGGAAATCACTCATAACTCATGAGTACTTTTTATTTTCTTGTCAATTTGAACATTCTTAATCATCAATCGTTTGACTACATTGTGTAATTTCACTGGGCCTGAGTTTAGTTTTGGATAACTACAAGCTTTGTGCTAGCCCTTTGGATGGATGTTGTATGGATTGTTTGTGTTATTTTTTTCAATACTTTAGAAATTATATCCTGACATTCGATTGGAATAAAAAATATTGGATACTGGTTTCAAATCGATATGCGATCTTAGTATTAGTAGAACCAACATTTAAACAGTGGTGTTTATACAAATTTCATTCTAGCTTTATAGTTTGAAGCATAAACGCGCTAATTATCGTTCTCATTCGCTCAATTTCTCACTAATAATGGAGTGTTTGAGTCAGTTGTATAAACTGAAACAATTCATCACAAACAATACATGTTCCTCTCATGCATCTAGCATCTTTATATTGAGTATTCGAATAGGAACCCTTCAATTTGCCACATTTCTATACTAAGGTGTTTTCATTTGATGATGTTTTATGAACCTAGGCTTAACGAGGATCGGGGAGATTGGTTCAAAATTCGAACGAGTCCGATTTAGAGCATGCACAATAGCTAGAAATTGTTACGATTTAGACCACATGTTGACAAAGTCAGGACTCAACCCCCAAAAGCTGGTGCTATGTCGCGGGTTAGGTCTCAATCATAACGTTACCATCGAGTGAACCACATGTTTTCCATTTTGTCATGGCTTGTGTCAGTAACCAAGACATGGGACATGGTGAATGACATCAACCAATTTTTGTACAAATTAGAGAAAACTATAGTTTAAAATGGGGGGTTGGAATTTTGTGAGAGAAACACCTTTGTGAGGATGTTATAAAGCGAATACGCCACAATTAGGTGCAAAACGCTCACAACTGGAATTTAAAGATCTCGAAGACAGAGGTTCCATTGGTTGAAAATCCCTATATGTGATTGGATTGAAGACATTGCATACTTGACATATTCGAAGTCGTATAATAGATAGGCTATCATGAACTTGGATTCAAAATGAAGTCATCGTGGTCTTCCATTCTTTCATAAATGAAGAGAAAATGTTTGTAGTTAAACTAAAGCCAAGTAAAACCATTTCAAAGGTCACATTGTCACTCTGTTACGCTCATATACGAGCTCGCATAATCACTCAGTTATAAGTCTTAGACTTTGTGATATGTGAAAGGAAGAAGAGATAACTGAAGATCAAGATGTAAATCCATCGATGGAATTAGGTTTGCACTTTCTGATTGGGGGAATGAAGTTTTTGCTTCAAAACGAAAGGAGAGAGATTGGGAGGCAAAAATGAGGTTCTCGTTAATGATTTACTCGCTTTCAATGAGAGTTTGAATGAAACGATGTCATTTGTCTAAGAGGTCAGAGACAGACATTTTGACTCGATCGTTGATTTTTTCGATTTTGATCGACTTTCGACTCTTAGACAAAATGGCTTGTTGGGAGTTGTTTTAGTGACCGGTTTTGATTCGACCTGGTCCAACCGGCTGGCCGGAAAACGGCTTAACAACTATGGTTGAAACCTTGAAAGTAAGTATAGTCAGGGATAGGGGTCGTTTGGTTTGGTTTGGTTTGGTATTGGAAAAGGATACAAAATTGAAAATACCCCGCGGAACCCTGGACTGGAAGTCTGGAACTTCATAGCTCCATTTCCCCCGTTTTTGCATTCCCCCCCGCCGGCCGCCGCCACCTCTAGGGGAAAACTGAAACAAGGGATGGGAACAGAAGGATGGCCAAAGGAGATGATGCTGTGGCGAGGAAGAAGAACAAATCTAGAAGGAAGAAGATGGATAATGACACTTCTTCTTCAGCTGTATCAGTTCGTGTCGTGTTGCTTCCATCCTTGCCGCCAAAAAACGCCGGCTCTCCGGGAAGCGCCGCCAGTGTCAGGTTACATAGTTCGCTCTTCCAGAAATAGCGATTTCATCGAACGATTTTGCTGAAGTTTAAATTTTTTTCCTGGGTTTTGTATGAACCCAGAGAAGCTCGTTGAGCGAGTGATCTCAGTTGGCCATGAATGCTTCGTGTGTTATTAATGTCAGTGATCTCTGTCGCGTTCTTGCATTAGTTACTTGGGAACTTTGGGAGCTGGAAGCTGTATAAGTTAGAAGAATCAGTTTGAATCAGTTTTTTCCATGGTTGTTAATGTGTTTTTCTTTGGGGTGGGCTACTACTTCCTATCTCTGACTTTGGACTGTTTACATCTACAACTTAGCTTTTAGATTGAAAAGACTCAAACTTTGCAAAAATCTACGCTTTCAAGCTTGGAATCGTTGTTCATTACTTGGAAGAGATGTCTTTCAAGTCTCTCCCATTTAGCTCGCTTCGATGGTTTATGTTGGTTTTCCATCTTCACTATCTACCCTTCAAATTGAAAAATAAATTTGCCAATCAAGCTGCCAGGTATCTGAATGTGCTTTAGCCTTCCAACTCCAGATGACCCCTTCAATGAGTTGAGTTTCTGGAATGTTATTGCAGTGGGAAAGACATACTGGAGAGAAGTGGCTCTTCTTGTACTATCGAGCAAATTGCCTGGATGGTTTCGATTGCTGCTGATTCCATCACGAGTAAGGAAAAAGGACTGTCATTCACCAGCCCGTTTCTTCTTTTTCAGTTTTTCTTGTGCCATCCCAGGGAAAGGCCATACAGGTAAGCTGTCTCTTAATTTGTTTCAAAATAAGTCAATCTTTTTGATTGGGCACCTTCATATGTGCCATCAAATCATCAAATGAGGCATAGAGTATGCAATGTTATTGTTATTTGTTTTGTTTGCCACTGAAATTGGTGTCATAAGCTAGTACTAAACAGTGCATCTGCTGCTCTTAAAACTGATGTAATTGGGGTACCAACTACTGCATAACCAATTCAAATGTAAAAAGTGATTACGTATTTATGTCATTGTCATGTGTTTGCTAGCTATTCCAGATGAATGCATTCTTTTATTGTTGCAGTAACTTTTAATTTATCCTGACTTTGGTGTCCATGTTTCCTCTAAACTATGTCACGACGATCGGTCTGCAAGCCTCTGAAACCACTCGGCATTCATACAGTCAGTTTACATCCTGGTGTTTCCCTTGAACATCAGATGAACGGGTAGGACAAAATCACTGTACCTCACTCTTTACGTTATTCCTTTGTCTTGTGTGTATATGGAAGTTGCATATGGTGCTTTGACACATCTTTTATGTTACCATCCGAGTTGAAAATAGAATCAAGGTCAAGTGGTCCTGTCTATTGACTCTGAGTAAACCTTTTTACTTTTGCATAGTTTGAAGAGTTGTGAACCTGAGTTTCTTGTATCTACACCTGAGAGACTCCTGGAGCTTGTTTCCTTGAAGGCTATCAACATATCTGATGTCTCCTTTCTGGTAAGTTGTCATTTAAATTTAATTCTGCGACTGTGTCTGGAAAGAAATATATTCTATAGTTTCTGTATGCAAATTGCATGTTGGACTTGATTACTTGAACAATGGGATGCTTCAAACCATCTCTACTCCTGAAAACATATGTGTAACCTAACACTATAAATCTTGTTCTTAGAGAAAACACGGAATAAAGTTAGTGGGAACGGTTAGTTCTATGTTTGAACATTGAAACATGCCTACATTTTTTCCCTAAACTCTCATTATCTGTATTACATGGACCATGTGGTGATCAATGTATAGTTGTCACAGTAATGCAGTCTCCCTAAATTGATGTTTGTTGTGTTATCGTGTTCATGCTCCTCAAGTATTTTTGTAGTACAATCATAATGCTAGGCTGTTATTGCAACCTGGCCATGCTAGTTTCCTGATCTTTCTTCTTCTTGCGGATAGGTTGTCGATGGGGCTAGAGTTTCTTTCCAAAGATGGAAGCACCGAGGGTGCACATTCAATCAGGAAACTGATTTCTGCAAGCTCTCGTGTTGTGGTGTTCGGTAGTCGTAATTCCTCTCCAGCCACTCAAAAGCTTTTTCCAGGACCAGTTTCTAGATTGTCACTTGACAATCTATCCGCCATCAGAGTGCATGCATTGGGCAAAACCTAAAGCTGTCCCCTTCTGCACCAGAAAAAAAACTTGTGAAGGTATGTACAGTGTTGCATATTAGATTACCCTCGTTGAATCTAGGAAGTACGTGTGTCTTTTTATCTGTTGCCTTCTACATCCTCAAATATATATGTCTATCTGTTGGTTACTTAAATAACTGGGATAATTGCATGGTGCGTTGAAATAATAGGACGATTCGAACTCTACTTCATATGACAATTTAAGATGGGACCAAACAGAAGCTTTTTTTCTTCCTGTGATGGACTTGCTTTGTCGAACAATGTTTTGGCCTGAAAACTCATATATTACTAGTGTTAACCAAATAACTGAATAAGCATTTGAGTGCTATCATTCTGAAGCGTAGAGAAATTTTCTAACGTCACTTTGCGCATAAATTTGATCTCAATCGGTCATCGTGTTCTGTATTCTACCTTCTTCCAGTGTTCTCAGGACTGCAATCCTAGTCCTAGTTCAATCTGATGCACATTTAGACACTGGATTGTTGATAATTCTTTGATCACATGTTCTCTGCAGATTCTTCCCGTGCTTGAAGCCTTGTGAGACTGAAACTATCATCATCATCATCATCTACATCACCATTATCTGGAAGTGTTCATGTCAATCCTACTTACCCTCCCGTTCTTTTGGTCATAAGGATCCCTTCTCCAGAAGCAGCAATGGCAGAAAGCATTCTTTTTCCCCTGGCCTGGGTGGATGGTTATGGCAATGGGTCGGGTCGGGGCGGATAGTGCATATTCGTTACCCTACCCAAAGTACTTCGGGTTTTACCCATACCCATACCCACATGTTAAACGGGTAGAAAATCAAAACCATGCCCATACCCGTTCGGGTTTCGGGTATCCACGGTTATCCATGGATATTAATTTCTCTTCATAACTCCAACCAATATGTTAACATTCACACGTATTCTTATATTAAGTAAGAGAAAAAGTACGACAAGAATTCACTAGAATGAAGAAAATTAACTAAAACAAAACAATTTCATGAAAATGTTATATTTTATATGCTAAATATAAAATATGTTAGAGAAAAATAATGATTATTTCTAGACAAAATACATATGCATGTGTATAATCGGGTGAGTTCGGATCGGATAGTGAGAAATCCATGCCCACCCATTACCCGCAATATTCGGGTTCGGGTTTTACCCGTACCCACTAAATGTCCTTCGGGTTCGAGTTTTACCCTACCCGACTAGGCCGGATTCGGGCGGATATCCACGATTACAGATATTTTTGTCATCCCTAAATGGTTACAGACTTGCAGCTAGTCTGCAGGAAAGCACTAGTGATATGGATTGAAAGAGTATGATATTGATACCTGAATTGTGCTGAAGGGTTTTTCCACAGAAGCTTCCTTAGGTGACCGGAGTAGCAATGATTAGCTGTGTGGAAAAACTCAAAAAGAGATAATAACTTCATCTGTTTATGGGGACCGTTCTCTTGGTGACAGGCAACTGTTTTTGGGTGTGGTACGAGAACCCTGTCGTTGTTGCTGTAACAAGAAGAGACCTCCATTAATTCTTTCTTGTTTGACGTTGTCCTGAAGTTCCTTAAAAGAGGACCAGCAAGCTTCGGACACGGAATTTCTGCAGATGTTTGGTGTAGGATTAGGACTCATAAGATACCATGATTTGTTGTTATAGTGGTTTGTGGATCATTGTTTTGGCTTTTTTTTAACTGTTGTGCTTTATCTTCGTGAACCCTAGGAAAGCAAGGGAGAAGCAAAGGAAAACTGTACCATAGGCTCTCGACTAGAAAAAATCTTCTATCAGAGTCTAAATCGGTATACCATTTTTAGCGGTGTGAAACAATTGACCCATGATTTCAGCACAACATTATAGGGTGCTAGAAGTTTTATAAATGGGTAGTAACAATTGACCCATGATTTCAGCACAAGATTATAGGGTGCTAGAAGTTTTATAGATGGCTAGTAGACATCGAATACCGGCGATAGTGAACGAGTACGTTCACGACAAAAATATCTCGTTTTTTTTGTTATGAAAATTAACATAAACCTCATTCAAACTGCTAGTATGTATATAATTTATAATTGAAACTCTCTAAAAAAAAACTCGAGTTATTACGATGAACTGATTCTTCACAGGGTATCAAACTCTTCTGTGACCTAGAAGTCTTCTACTTCGAATTCTGATGACCCCATTTTGGTCCAAGCCTTGAATGTCATTTGGATTCATGGATCAATCCATCAATCCACTTGATCGAATCCATGAATCCACCAACACCAATCCACCAATTCATCAATCCAATTCACCTGCCACCTCTATTCGGAACTGTGCAAACTTTAAGCAGTACCAAAACTCCGAGTTATTGGGATCACAAATAACCCCTTACAAACTATACACACAATAAACGTTTTCCAATACTCTATTTATTTGATTAGAGCTGTGACCACTAGCTCAGTCCCCATTTCCCTCCCACACGTTTCCTAAACGTAGCTCCAAAGCCAAAAAGACTAGAGAAAAATACACACAATCATTACCATTACCAGCTAGCCCGCAACCTCAAAGCTTTCATATTTACATGCACACACACACACATATATATAAGTAGAGGCAGCCAAGTGGATCGTGTGCTTCGACATCATGGATCCGGCAGTGGCGGTGGTGGTGTTGGTGCTGCAGCTGGTGGTCAAACTATGCTTGGCCATGTCGATAATGCTGTTCTTGGAGAAGCTTTACATAGCAGCTGTGGTTGCTTCTGTCAAAATCATTCGGCTGCTCAGAAAGCTGCCAGCAGCACGGATGTACAATGGTACATCGTTTCATGCTTTGCGAGGTCATGATCATGGAGATGATCGCCTTCATGATCATGGAGATGAGAGTGGGATTATGGTTGATGATTTGGAAGCTAATCATCACCATCCCATGGTCCTTGTCCAAATCCCCATGTTCAACGAGAAACAGGTAACTAACTCGGCTAGCTAACCAGGACGATAAGTTAGGGCTGTAAATAAGCCGTGACGTACATACGTACTTTGCGTTCAGGTCATTAATAAGCAAGTTGAGTTCGAACTTGATTTGCTTATTGGACGTTTGTTTGTAGGATTTTAGAAAATGAAGGAGTTAGGTAAAACCTTGGATTTTATGGATGAAGGATTATGTGGGATTTTGTTACTTTAGATTTGAGTTGGATTTTGAAACATGCATGTTTGCTTGTTGGATTTCATATTGGATTTGTGTCCATGGGATTTATCAATTATGGGCTGAATTTACATTTGTGTCCTTAATGATTTGTGTCCTTAATGTTCAATGTAGGAAATATTGAAAAGAGATGGGGATAGACCCGTCATTTACCATCATGGATTTTAGCCTCCCACAAAATTCCAACTAAATAGGTGGGATTTTATAATCCGTGGACCCCACGGATTTTGACCTCAAAATAATCCCACATCATGGGGCCCACACACCGTAATCCAACACCACTTTAACACCAAACATGGACTTTGTGCATAATCCCATGGGTGTGAGATTTTGATCCAAAATTCATGATGAAAATCCTACGAGCAACCGACCTCAAAATCTTGCCTTGTGTTGCTCGAGCCAGGCTCATAAATGAGTCCTCGCGAGCACTACACGACCTCTAATCGAGCTCTACACGGGTGATCAATTAGCTTGCGAGTTCAGCTCGAGATACGGTATATGATATCATGTACGTAGTTCCTAATTTTTAATTGCTGAGCAATCTATGATGCATAATCTCTCTTTTAAATTGTAAATGCCCTATATCATTTCCCAATGGTCAAATTCTCTTAAGCATCGAATATGTCGTGAGCTACGTAATTTAACAAACCTATGAATTATCAATAAGCCAATGGTAAGCTATTAATCGTTTCGCTCCTTAAGTTGCTAGTTTGATCAGGTATACGTAACTCGCTAATCGTACCCGCCAAACGCGCCCCCGCGCATAGCTGGCTCATGGATCGAGCTCACAAGCCACTGAGACACGAGCCAGCTCCCGAGCCTTGCGAGTCGAAGAAAACTTAGCTTCATGCTCGACTCGTTTACTAACTAACCACACTATAGTGTCTAACGGAGTTTTTACCAAATCGAACACACGTGAGCAATTCGACTCATTTGCAGAGCCTTTTTTTATGTACACTAGACTTGCATATATGGTTTGTGATTGACGATAACTATGATGCGCTTTGACTTAACCGAGACGCAGGTGTATGAGCTCTCGATTGGAGCCGCTTGTGGGCTATCATGGCCTTCTGATCGCCTCATCGTCCAAGTCCTCGACGACTCCACCGACCCCGCCATCAAGGTAAATATATATAGCTATATAAAGCCCAAACTACGATCAGTTTCCGTTTGATGATTTAACGAGTTGAGAATCGAAATGGCAGAGGTTGGTGAAAACAGAGTGCAGAAGATGGGAAAGCAAAGGCGTAAACATCAAGTACGAAGCGAGGGAGAATCGAAATGGGTACAAAGCTGGGAACCTGAAACGAGGAATGAAGCACAGCTACGTCAAGCAGTGTGAGTACGTCGCCATTTTCGACGCCGACTTCCAGCCCGAACCGAACTTCCTCCGCCTGACCGTTCCTTCGCTCCTGCGCGATCCTGACATTGCCCTCGTCCAGTCTCGTTGGAGCTTCGGTATGTTAGTATATGTATTGCAATTTCATCACATACCAACAACATGTCCACTCAAAGCTCTGGTACCATATTAAGTTGATTCCAATAACTCGAGTTGTTGGGAGAGATCCCATGACAGATCTTATGCCACATTATGTCCCTCAAAACGAAAGCCACTATATAAGGATGTGAAGTTTGCACATGTTCGAATACCATGTGTTTAACAAAAGGAGTAATCGAGCTGTTGTGAGAGGTTTGATAATGAATCTTCTATCACATGCTAACACTAGCTATCAAGATGAAACACATGTACTAAACAATGATGTCGTAGACCAATTGGTCTCAATAACTCCAGTTGTTGAGAGAGGTCCATGAATGGTATTTAAACACTTCCTTACACACATCTGTCAATCCAAAGCCAACTCATGGGTTTGAAGTTTGCAAAGATCTATCATACCATGCGTTTTTAAGACAGTGGTTAATATTTGGGGTCGTGAGGAGTTGGACACGCGACCTTAAGGACAAATCAACTATGATACCATCTCCAAACCAACGGATCTTCATAAATCGAGTCATTGAGAGAGGTCCATGTATATTTAACCACTTCCTTGCACCTGCAGTGAATGCAGATGAATGCTTGATGACGAGAATGCAAGAGATGTCACTGGACTACCACTTCAACATTGAGCAACAAGCAGGCTCTTCCACCTACGCCTTCTTTGGATTCAACGGTACCACGTTTATCATCAATATCTGACTTCTTGAAAATTCTGTAGCAACATGGTGCGCTATTCCATCAGTAGCATGCACACTGTTAACACATATCATGTGAAAATAGGGACGGCTGGAGTATGGAGGATATCGGCTCTAAACGAAGTGGGAGGCTGGAAAGACCGGACCACGGTAGAGGACATGGATCTAGCGGTAAGAGCAGGTCTCAAAGGTTGGAAGTTCCTCTATCTAGGGGACGTAAAGGTGAAGAACGAGCTTCCCAGCACCTTCAAAGCCTATAGGAATCAACAACACAGATGGTCTTGCGGTCCTGCAAATCTCTTTCGGAAAATGGGTCCACAGATCCTCACCGCCAAGGTCTCTCTAGCCATTAGCTTTCATCTTCTTCCCCCTCGCATGCCCCTTTTACTGTGTTTCCATATCTGTTTTTTTTTACTCGATGGTCCCTCCAATGACCGATGAATGTTGTTGCTGCAGAGGGTATCAGTCTGGAAGAAGTTCCATCTAGTCTATAGCTTCTTCCTCGTCAGGAAGATCGTCAGCCACCTCCTCACTTTCTCCTTCTACTGCATCATTATGCCGGCCACCATCCTGCTCCCAGAGGTCCACATTCCGAAGTGGGCATCCGTCTATCTCCCCACAATCGTCACCTTGCTCCATGTCGTCGGGACTCCCACCAGGTCGATCCACCTGGTGGGGTTCTGGGTTCTGTTCGAGAACGTCATGTCCCTGCATCGGACCAAGGCGATGCTCATGGGGTTGCTGGAGTTTGGGAGGGTGAACGAATGGGTCGTCACTGAAAAACTAGGCGATGCTCTCAGGATCGACGTCGCTAATGCGAAAATGCAGAACCTGCATCAAGCTGCCAAACCTAAGAAGAAACCACGTCTTGAATTCCATTGGGCAGAGCTTGGAGTAGCAATTTACCTCTTCGTATGTGGATGCTACGACTATGCATTTGGAAAGAACCGCTACTTCATATTTCTTTTCATGCAATCCATCGCATTCTTTATCGCGGGATGTGGATACGTTGGCACTTTCATTCCCAATTCGTAATGACGAACAAAAAATGTAACGAGTAGTGAATAAATGAGACATTCAATATACAAAACGTTAAATATATAGTTTTACGAGCTACCAAACGAGTCCGCCTTACTCTCTCTACCAACAAACGGTAAGCTGTAACCAAATCCAATTGTACATGAAGTGGCCCGCACGCTAGACCATTGTGTTTGTTTTCTTTGGCCCATTAAGTAATTTGGATCGACAGCCCATCTCCGTCTTTGCTTAGTGTATTGGACTATTAGTCCTTCTAGCCCATTTTGAAGATTGATTAATGGATCCCATAAAATAAAATCAGGTAAATGTCAGATTTGGTCACTGAGATTACTAAATCGTATCGTGTTTAGTCACTAGAAAAATTTAATATTAATTTTGGTCACTCGAATTACTGAAACAAGTCACATTTGGCCACTCTCCTGTAGCCTCGGTCTAACTCCGGTCACTCGAATTATTGAAACATGTCACATTTAGTCACTCGAATTACTGAAACACGTCACATTTAGAGTTGAGAGTGACTAAATGTGACGTGTTTCAGTAATTAGAGTGATCAAAATTAATATTAAATTTTTTTAGTGACTAAACATGACACAATTTAGTAATCTCAGTAATCAAATGTAACATTTACCCAATAAAATCCCTTCCCATTACGTTTTAGTTTTCACTCTTCGGAACAGTTAAAAACTAATTTAAATATCGAAAAATAAAAACTTTTCTTTTGTCTTTTGAGTGGGTTAATCTCAAATCTTCTTCGACAAGTTTTCCGTCTTCGGTCGGGTCGGGTGCGTTTTCTTTTTTGGTCGCCGCTCGCTGTCGTTTGAACTTTGGCGAATACCCAAAAATACCCATCTTCGCTTTTCAGCTTTTCCCACGTCTTCCCGTCACATCACCAAGCCCCTTTTCGTAATTCCACCTAGTTCAAAAGAATCCCCAAATAATATCCGCCTGTACTGTTGTCAACCGCCCAATCGTTTCGGTTTCCCTCTAAATTTCCCCGGACTTTGGCCCACCCGATTTCCTATTCGGATCCCCGAGAAATTTTAGCCCTCGGATTCACAATCCAACGGTCCGTATCGCTCGGCCGAGTTGTTAACCCTAATTTCTTTCTCTTCTTCCTCAGTGGTTTCCATCCATCATAAACCCTAGCGCCACCATCTCCTTCCCCCCAACCTACCGCTTCGCCTCCTTTCCCTTCTCTTGGTTTCCAACAACCTCGCAGCCGCAGCTAGCTGCCCATGACCACGTTGGTGACTATTTTTTGGACGGCTTCGTGAAACTTGGTTCTCGATCTGCCCATCTCTGGAGGAGCCATAAGAAGAAAAAAAAAAGGATCTGCCTTTTTCTCTCTTTGTAAAGAGAAATTGGAAACGGAAGTTCTGGGTTCGACTGTTGTGTTGATACGCGCCTGTAGAATTTGTTTGTATAACGAGTCGAAGGTTTTTTTTCTTTTTGGGTTTAGGGGCGGTTCCGTTGTCGGTGAATTGGTCGTGTTTTAGGATTCTAGATTTAGGTTAGAGAATTGGGGGGGTTCGAAATTTGGGCTCTTTGGACCTTCTTCATGTCGGAGTAACTCAGGTGGTTCGAGTCGGTTTCTGACGGGGATGGAGTTTCTCCGACAGAATTTGGATAATGAGTCCGTGCACTAGGAGTGGTTCCGTTTTGGGATCAGGCAAAGTTCGCAGTCGGGAAATCGGAGGGAAAATTAGGAAACTGGGTCAGTCTGATCGGAGAGTGAGCTGGAGGCTCAGTGAGTTGAAGGCTGACAAGGTCGGCGCTTCAGGAATTGGGTTGAACCAGCGTAACCGAACAGCAATTATGCCGTCCGGGGAGATTCGCAGGGGGACGAGGGTGATTGGGATGGTTAAGGGTGCCGATTCGGTCCGGGTTCTCCGGTCCGGTCGGCGGTTGTCACCCCGATCCGGGGAGCGACAGGTCAGGAGGGTTAAAGACGACGAAGAAGACAAGTCGCTGCACCACAGTATCAAGAAGTACCCACACAAGTGCAAGGAAAATGGTGCCACCAATGATGATAAGCTAAAAAGGAAAGCTTCCGAAAGTGTTGTTCATATCAGTGAAATTGAAGCGCCCAGAAGGGTGAAGAGAGCTCGTATGGCAGTCAAGAAAGTCAAGAAGGTGAAGAAAGCGGCTTCCAAGTCCGACAAGGTTGCGGTGATAGAGGATCGGGTTGCCTTAATTGACAGGAGGTTTGGGATTGTTTACGCAAGGAAGAGGAAGAGAGGGAGTATCGAGAAGCAAGAAAGCTCTGGTAATAAGTTGTTTGGGATTCAATTCTCACGGAGGCAGGCAAGGAAGAAGGGAGCTGATTGTGTTGTTGAAGTTCAGACCTGTGCCTTCGTTGCTGTGGTACAGAATTCTGGTACTGTGGCAGCTTCTCTCCTGGCTTCAATCTTGAGGCACATCAAGAACGTTGGTGTGGATTTGTCTGAACTTGCTGGCTTCTTGTTCTCTGAGCCCCTCAACTGTACTTTTGCTTCAAATGGGATCCGGTTCTTGAAGGTAAGCTGTCTTCTTCTATCTTGGGATTCTTCTATTCTTCTCTTATGCATTTCACAATTGATGAATTGTGAATTCTGTGGTTTCCAAATTGTGGATTTTTTTTTGGCTATTTTGGCTTTTGCTTGGCTTTTCTCATGATTTCTAGGATTCGTTGTTATATATTGGTTTCTATAGATGCTGTTATGATGTTAATAGATTCAAGGTTAGTAAATTATTTTTGCTTGCGCCTTTTCCAGGATCCATCAGGTGCAAGTAGCGGAATTTGCAATTTTTTTGATTCTGTGACTTCGGTGCCATCTTTTGATTTGGACTTTTCTGTAATCCCTTCGTGGTTTATGGAAATGCATCTGAATTGGGTACTGAGGGTGTCTCGTGTGCCTTCAAATAAGCCTGCGGAGGAATGTGACGAAATGATGAGTGAAGATGAAGATGAAATAGATCAGTTATTTCTTAGTGTCAAGACTCCTCAAATTGAACTAGCATCTGGGGCTGATGTTTCCGAGAACAGGCCCATGTTGACTCCTTCAGTTAGACATTCGAGGTTGACTGTCAAAAGCACTCAGCCCAGAAATGGCCATTACAGCCGTGGTGTCCGGAAAAGTCGGAGCTCACGTAGGAGGAGAGCAAGAAATCCGTCTCTGCTCGGAGTGCAGGCAGCTAATGGCTTGATGGTGACTGGTTCTCTTGGTAGCCGGAAGAAGAGTCGTCCCCTCTCTTCTGTTGTGTCAAAGTACAAACTTAGGAATGCTTTGCCAGCTAGTTCCGTGACAGAATGTCCAAAAGAAGCAAGTTCTGCTGCAGTTGAGGGGAAAAATTGTACAACAGACAAGTCCGGCTGCTCTGCGGATCTGCTTGTTATTGAATCCGACAGATGTTACAAGGTGAAAGGGGCTACCATTGCTATCGAATCTTCTGATTCGAGAAAGTCTGTTATTGTAGTGAAGAAGGATGGTGAAACTAAATTGTCCTTCTTGCCTCAAAAATACATGAAGACTAGCTCTGTTAACCGAGTAACTCACAATGTCTTGTGGTCTGGGAATGAGAATTGGAAGCTAGAATTTCCTAGTCGGCAGGATTGGTCCAACTTCAAGGAGCTTTATAAGGAATGTGAAAATCTCAATGTACCACCTACAGCAACAACGGTTAAAGCTATTCCTGTTCCTGGAGTGCGCGAAGTGCCAGGCTATGAATCTAATTGTTCCGGTGTATTCTCCAGGCCAGATGCATATATTTCTGTGACCACTGATGAAGTGGCCAGAGCGCTAGAGAAAAGGAGTGCTAACTATGATATGGACTCTGAAGACGAGAGATGGCTAAAAGAATGTAGCCCTGAATCTGTTAAGGCAGCTGGGCGCCCACAGCTGCTTTCAGAGGACAAATTTGAGTTGATGATTGATGTGTTTGAGAAAGCTTCATACTGCACTTCTGACGAGGTGATTGATGAGAAAGCAGCTCTGAGTCTTGTTGCTGACTTGGCTGGGCAAGAGGTAGCCCAAACTGTGTATGGCTATTGGTTGAAAAAGAGGAAGCAGAAGCGAGTGCCGTTACTTCGTGTTTTCCAGGTAAAGATTTCATGTTCGACATATATTTTGTACAGACATATACACAGCCATTTTTTGTCTAGGAATTGCTTAGATTACTTCCATCGTTCTGTATTTCTCCTTCTCTGATGAGAATGAATGTCTCTTTTCTTTCTTTCAGATCCACCAAGTCAAGAAACCTCCGGTAGTTGGAAAGCTTGTCATACGCAAGAGACGGTCATTCAAAAGACAGGGTGGTCAATGTGGGAAAGGCAAGCAACTGGGTCTATTGCAAGGTAGGTGTTGCTAGACTTGCTGTTAGTTAAGTTTGAAGAAGGTCCCAGAGGAGTTTCCATAGGCATGAGAGTGGTCTGGAAAGAGATCTTAGAGTTGTCAAGATAAGCCAGTTAGTCTGTAATGCTAGCTCTATGCCGAGTTTCCTTCCTTGTTTATTAGGAATCACTTATGGAAAGCTTCAGTTGATAACCTGATATTTTCTTCTCCGATATCCATCTGTTGTACACTCTTTTTTCGATTGCTCTCTCTCGCTCGCTCTCTGGGCTGTAGTCTATGTAGTAGCTGTGCAAGTGCTCAGATTGGTGAGTCTCTTGTCTTCTAGCAGCCATGGCAGTCGAGCATGATGCTCTGGAGGAAAGGAACGCCATGCTTAAGCTGGAGGAAGCTAACAACTCGGCGAAGAGGTCCATTGAGTTGGCGATCGAGAAGCGACGCAGGGCCCAGTTGCTGATGGAGAATGCTAGTCTGCTGTGTTACAAGGCCACCATGGCACTTAGAATCGCCGAGGCCCTTTCTTCCTTCGATTCAGCGGAAGTTGCTAACACCGAGATGTTTGATGTGGGCAGCAGTAACGGTGGTGATGATTAAGTGAGCTCAGACGGAACCTTTTTTTTGAAGAAAGCCCCCCCACGGCCTTTGCGGATGAGAAATTTTTGTACAGATTTTTACCTTATTGTATATACTGTACTACTACTATTACTCTTTTGTAATAAACCTCACAACGAAAACTGGTAGTGTCATCCTACAAGCTACAAGTGGAAGAGGATTTAGCTCCCCTCTCATGAAAATAGGGGGGAAAACAGAGGACAAAATGAGAACAACGAAAAGTTTGGAAGGAGAAAATGACTGCCCTTATGCTTGGCTTGTTGCTTCTTTTTGTAGATTAAGCAGGAAATGGGTTATGCAATGTGATCTATTGTTTGCAGATTCCTACCCTCACTTATCGACGTTAAATAAATCCAGAAGCTAGCTTTAATTTAGCAAGGCTACTATTTGTGGCCATTATTGCTTGTTCTTAAGCGGTACATGCTCTGTTTCTGCAACTTGGTACATTCTGAGAAAAAAAATGAAAGAAAGGAAACAGAGCTTTGTGATTGTCAGGTAGTCAGGGTAATGCCGGCCATGGAGTTTTAAATTGCCTACAGCTGCAACACCGTCGAAGAACAACTTTGATTGTCCCTGATTGTTTACCATTATACCAAGTCAGTGCGGAGCACGCGTTAAAACTCTGCCGCTCGGAGCCTGAATCCCCTGTTCCCACAGAATATATATATATAAGTGCTGAATAGCTGGAGCAATTAACAGAGTAACTAGAGCGCGCCCTGCTGCAATTTTGCCATGGCGGGTATCGCTTCGGATAAGCTAGGGAGCAGCAGATCAATGGGGTCGACTTCGTTGAGGAGCAGAGGGAGTTTGCGGGATGCGGCAGGGGAATTCGAGTTTCAGAGAAGCACGACGGAGGACGACGAGGACGAGCTGAAGTGGGCGGCAATTGAGCGCCTCCCCACCTACGAAAGGCTGCGGAAGGCGATTCTGAAGCATGCCGCCGGCGACGGCGACGGCGGTGGTGGAGGGGAAGTTGGGTTGCAGGAGATTGACGTGGGGAAGCTGGGCGGAACAGAGAGGAAGGTACTGATTGAAAGTCTTCTCAAAGTCGCGGAAGAGGATAACGAGAAGCTGCTGCGTCGGATCCGGCACCGGACCGATGTCGTCGGGATTAAGATTCCGACGGTCGAGATTCGGTTCGAGGGACTTTCTGTTGAAGGCGATGGGTACGTCGGAACCAGGGCTCTGCCCACTCTGCTCAATTTCGTGGTGAACACTGTTCAGGTATGTAGTTAAATTTAGCCTTGTCTTCTCTGTCCACCGACGATTCTGAACTCGGTTTATAACTCAATTGCTGAATAAATAACAGGGGATTCTTGGGTTGTGTCGAGTTTTCCCAACAAAGAAAAGGGTGGTGAGGATTCTTCATAATATAAGCGGAATTGTAAAACCATCGAGGTAGTGTATATAGTTTTTTTCCAACTTTAAAAATTCGTTACTTTTTCCGAACTTGTGATGAATACTTCATTTGGGTTTTTTTCCTGGTTTTAGGATGACTCTGCTGTTGGGGCCTCCGGGATCAGGCAAAACTACTCTGTTGAAGGCGCTCTCCGGGAAACTGGACAAGAATTTAAGGGTCTCTATCTGGGTAGCCTTACTTAGTTCGGTAAGACATCCTTCCACCTTTCTTGGATGGGAAGCCCTAACGATTGCTCTACGTACAGGTGTCGGGAAGAGTGACATACTGCGGGCACGAATTCCATGAGTTCGTGCCTCAGAGAACTTGTGCTTATATCAGCCAGCAGGAATGTCACATTGGAGAAATGACTGTCAGGGAGACGTTGGAATTCTCTGGCCGCTGCTTGGGAGTTGGGACCAAGTACGATTTGTTGGCTGAGCTATCCAGAAGGGAGAAAGATGCGGGAATCAAGCCGGATCTAGACGTTGATGCATTCATGAAAGCCACATCCATTTCTGGACAGAAAAATCACCTCGTGGTAGATTATGTCCTCAAGGTACATAGGAATTATCTTAAGCAACGGTAATATGTATTGGGAATTAAATAGATTAGAATTGAGTTGTTTGCTTTTGTTTCAGCTTCTTGGGTTGGACATCTGCGCTGACATAATTGTCGGTAATGATATGATAAGGGGCATATCGGGTGGGCAAAAGAAGCGTGTCACCACAGGGGAGATGTTGGTTGGACCGACTAAAGTGTATCTGATGGACGAAATCTCAACCGGGTTGGATAGTTCAACAACTTACCAAATTGTTAGGTTTATGAAGCAAATGGTCCATATCATGGACGTCACCATGATCATCTCCCTGCTCCAGCCTGCACCCGAGACATACGAACTTTTTGACGACGTCATCCTTGTCTCGGAAAATCAGATTATTTACCAAGGTCCTAGGGAAAACGTTCTTGACTTCTTCGAAAATGTCGGTTTCAAGTGCCCTGAAAGGAAAGGAGTTGCAGACTTCTTGCAAGAGGTTACTTCCAAGAACGATCAGGCGCAGTACTGGTCTAGAATTGATGAACCCTATCGATACATCTCGGTACCTGATTTTGTGACATTCTTCAACTCGTTCTCGACAGGAAAGGAGCTTGCTGATGAGCTTGCAATGCCTTATGACAAATCTAGTGTTCATCCTGCTGCATTGGTGAAAGAGAGATATGGAATCTCCAACAAAAATCTCCTGAAGGCGTGCTTTCAGAGGGAGTTGTTGTTAATGAAGAGAAATTCTTTTCTTTATATCTTCAAGACGGCGCAACTAACCATCATGTCAATAATTTGCATGACCGTGTTCTTCAGGACTGAGATGAAGGCTGGTCACCTAGGGGACGGGAACAAGTTCTACGGTGCTTTGTTTTATTGCCTGATCAACATTATGTTCAATGGAGTTGCTGAACTGACCTTGACCACACATAGGCTTCCTGCATTTTACAAGCAGAGGGATTCCTTATTGTACCCAGCATGGGCATTTGCCTTGCCAATCTGGGTGCTTCGTATTCCAATCTCATTTGGAGAGTCATTCATATGGATAGCCTTGACTTATTACACTATTGGGTTTGCTCCATCAGCGGATAGATTTTTTAAGCAGTTTCTTGCATTCGTTTGTATAAATCAGATGGCTCAAGGTTTATTCCGCTCCATTGGGGCAGTAGCAAGATCGAAAATCGTAGCACCAGCCATTGGTATGTTCACGTTGCTAGTTGTGTTCATCCTTGGAGGATTCATTATTGCCAAAGGTTGTTTATTTCTCTAGTCCTTTTTATATCTATTGATGAACCTCACTAATTGTAATCAGCTCCATAATATAACTATAATACATGACACTAATTATCTAGTTTTTGCTTACAGATGACATCCAACCATGGCTGATCTGGGGCTACTATATTTCCCCAATGATGTACGGGCAGAATGCTATCGTTATAAATGAATTTCTCGACGAAAGATGGAGTGATGTAAGATCCTCCTTTCAAGATAAACTTTGAATATGATTATAGTAACATTGTTTATATTCTATAAGTTCTACTATTTTGGTCCTTCATTGTTCATGCGGTTTTCCTTGTTGCAGCCCAATCCCGACCATAGGATTCCAGAGGCAACAGTTGGAAAGGCGCTTCTCAAAATGAGAGGCATGTTTGTAGAGAACAAGTGGTACTGGATATCAATTGGGGCACTCATAGGCTTTTCTGTGGTTTATAACCTATGTTTTGTTCTCGCCTTAACATACTTGAACCGTAAGCCACTAATCGCTTCTCATTCCATTAGTAATTGTTACTTCGAGTCTTGGATATATTTCACTAGATGTTTGGAACTCTGTGCTTTCAGCTCTGGAAGATTCTAAATCCATAATCTTAGATGATAATCAAAATAAAAAATCATCCAAGACTGCAAAACTGAACTCAAGTTCCATTGAAATATCCTTGGCGACATCTTGTACACCGATGAAAGGTATGTTGGTGGTAGTTTTTATTGTTAAACTCACATTCATCATGTTATGCACCTTGTGGTAGTTTTAGTTCATGTATGTTTAAACTTAACAAAGATATAAACACTTGTATTTAGGCCCTGATGAAGTGTCTAGAAGAAAGGGAATGGTATTACCCTTCCAACCTTTGTCATTGGTATTTAAGAATGTGAACTACTATGTTGATATGCCTGCGGTAAGGAAACATTCCTGACTTTACTCATCTTTCTTTTTCAAACACTATCTAAGCCCAATTGGAAGTGTCTCTGTGCTAAAGTTTTTGTTATGATTCACTAACTAGGAAATGAAGTCTCAAGGAGTAGAAGAGGAAAGACTGCAACTGCTACATGATGTTAGTGGATCTTTTAGGCCAGGAGTTTTGACAGCATTAGTTGGGGTTAGTGGTGCAGGAAAGACCACTTTGATGGATGTTTTAGCGGGCAGGAAAACTGGAGGGTACACTGAAGGAATCATCAACATTTCTGGTTATCCTAAGAATCAAAGGACATTTGCTAGAATAAGTGGATACTGTGAACAAAATGATATCCATAGCCCTCGGATTACCGTTTACGAGTCTCTTCTACATTCAGCATGGTTGCGTCTTCCCAAAAGTGTCAATAAGAAAGATAGAATGGTAGTATTGCTTGATCTTATAAAACTTGTTCCTAACTCTTAAATAATTTTCTGGAGAGACTGTTGTTTCCAGATATACTGATCTCATTTCATGCTTGGTGTAGATGTTCATTGAGGAAGTTATGGAGTTGGTTGAGCTAGTCCTCTTGAGGAACTCAATAGTAGGACTCCCTGGAGTGAATGGTTTGTCAACTGAGCAGCGCAAGAGATTGACCATAGCCGTTGAGCTGGTTGCAAATCCTTCAATAATCTTTATGGACGAGCCAACATCTGGTCTTGATGCTCGAGCAGCTGCAATTGTCATGCGAACCGTTAGAAACACAGTGGATACAGGAAGAACTGTTGTTTGCACCATACATCAACCAAGCATTGACATCTTTGAATCTTTTGATGAGGTATACATTATGCATTTTTTATATAGTCATGGAATGCTTTCGTATTAGCTTGCCAACTCCGTCATCTTTCTCAAAGATGGGATGCGTTGGTTAAACTCTTCACTTTACACTTTTTCTGCAGTTGTTGTTGATGAAGAGAGGAGGACAAGTTATATATGCAGGCACCCTTGGACACCATTCTCACAAGATGGTAGAATATTTCGAGGTGAGTTCAACATTACCTTACCTTTCACTGTTGATTCAAACTGAATGGAAGAGAAACAATGAGCGATCCAAATTCATTTAATAAACTGAATTGTTATATTATTAGACCATCCAGGGGGTTCCCAAGATCCAAGAAGGCACAAATCCTGCTACATGGATGCTTGACATTAGCTCAGCTGCCATTGAAACTCAACTGAATGTGGACTTTGCTGAAATTTATTCATATTCTGAACTATACAAGTGAGCATTAATTTTACTGATCTTTGCCAACTCTCTTCCTAAATCCCACTTATCCTCTCCATTCACTAAAAAAGTCTCATCATTTGGTTACAGGAGGAACCAGGAGCTAATTGAAGCACTAAGCACTCCAGCACCAGGGTCAAGTGACCTTTATTTCCCTACACAATTTGCACAGGATTTCTTAACCCAATGCAGAGCTTGCTTCATAAAACTGCATCGATCTTACTGGCAAAATCCAGAGTACAATGTTACAAGATTATTCCTCACAATAGTTGTAGGTGTTCTCTTTGGACTTATCTTCTGGAAGAAGGGACAAAAGACGTAAGCATGAGAAATACTTAGCTCAGAATCACCGTGAACATCTTCATTAGTAAAATTCATAACCTTTTATTTTATGTTTTAACTGTGATTAATTAGGAAAACACAACAAGACCTATTCAACTTGCTTGGAGCTACCTATTCCTCCATAATGTTCCTTGGAGCATGTTCTTGTTCTGCAGTGTTGCCTATTGTTTCGGTCGAAAGGACAATCTTGTATAGGGAAAAAGCAGCAGGTATGTACTCAGAAGTGGCTTATGCAGTTGCCCAAGTCTCCATTGAAGCAGTCTACATCGCAGTCCAAACCTTCTTCTACAGTGTGATACTGTTCCTTATGATTGGCTACCCATGGCATCTGGGGAACTTCTTGTGGTTCTATTTCTTCATATTCATGTGTTTCCTATACTTCAATCTCTACGGGATGATGCTTATTGCACTCACTCCTAGCTACCAAATAGCTGCCATCGCCATGACGTTCTTCTTCACCACATGGAATCTCTTCAACGGCTTCCTTATTCTTCGAACGGTAACCCAAACAAGCAAAACCATAACTTAAACACTCATTGCTTGCCTGCCATTATAGGAGTAAGTTTTTTGTGTTTGTGTCTGACAGGATATCCCAATATGGTGGAGATGGTACTACTGGGCATCCCCAGTGGCTTGGACAATTTATGGCATGTTTGCATCCCAGCTGGGAAACGTTGACAGTTTAGTGGAAGTAGCCGGGCAAGGCAACATGCCTGTGAAGCAATTCTTGAAACAGTCGTTTGGATTTGAATATGACTTCCTTGGAGCTGTTGCAGCTGCCCACATTGGGTTTGTGCTCCTTTTCCTGTTTGTCTTTGCTTATAGCATTAAGTTTCTGAATTTCCAGAAGCGATGAACTGTCCAAACATGGGTAGAAAGGACATAAAAGAGATAAAAACATCATTTTTATTATATTTAGTTTATGTGGGTTGTATCTATGAAATATAGAGTTCTTGAGGCTTTTCAAGGCGAAATTGCGTATAACAAGTATAGGTGGCAAATGGATTGGACCAATGTATTGGTGGATTGGATTAGTAGATCCATGGATAAAATAAATTGAATCAAATGGATTGGTGGATTCATAGATTGGATATTATGAATTGGTGGATTGATCGATGAATCCAAATGTCATCCAAGTCTTGGACCAATATGTAAATTTTGAAAAGTTTAGGAACTAAAATGTCATATCATAAAATTTTTTAGGTCCAAAATGTTATTTTTAGTGACATTTATTGTATAACTTATAATTTTTAGGTACCAAATTGTAAAATATAAAAAGTATAGATACTTGTTGGGGGCATGGCCGCGGCCCGAAAGGGTCCAGCTGGCAGGGCCCAAGAGGGAGAAGTTGGGCAGGCTAGGCTAAGTAGTGGAGCATGGCCCAATATGCCCAAGGGAGCATGGGTGGAGTTGGCTCATTCATCAAAGAGGAGCACCAGGCCAAGTGGGGCTCAGGCTCTGACACCAGGCGCATACGACAAGGAGTTACAACGGGAAGGAGGGTACGGAGGAGGGACCACCTGACGTCATGCGCCTCGAATGGCTGGGTACGGTGTCAGGTGGTCGAGGCGCATGGGACCTGGTCGTACGACACATTTAATGCGGGTCTGACGACAGGCGGGAGACGGGGATGTCGTTCGGCCAGACCCGAGGTATAAAAGGGGAGTTGGTGAACCTCATTTACTCATGTTGGAACTTCTCTCTAAAATTACTATTCACTTCTCTCTAGAAAGGGTCTCTGACTTGGGCGTTGGAGTGCTAACGAGTCCCACCCCGGGCTCAGTTTAGCCGCGCAGCGTGCAGGGTGGAGCGCGCAAGGTCGGTCACGTGCGAAGGTTCGGGTCGCCTAGTTACCGGGCACGAACAATTGGCGCGCCAGGAAGGGGGCGCATAGCGTAACTACTGAGGAAGCAAGAGGTCATGGAGGCGCTAGGGGCAGGTGAAGGAGAAGGGGGACCGGCGGGGGCCGAGGCGTCCCAGGAGGCACATGTGTTGTCAGGAGAAGCGCACGCGGCGGTGGACGACGGGGCGCAGGAGGCGACCCAGTCCGAGGGCGTCACCCTCACGAAGGAGCATCTGCTCCACATAGTCGAGCAACAGGAGCAGGCGCTGGAGGCGCTCAGGAAAGAGGTGGAAGTGTTGAAAAGGGGTGCGGTGGCGGACCCCCCACTAGGAAAGAGAAGGGACTGAGAGGAAGAAGAGGAGGGGGCGTCTAGCGCACTAAGGCGCATGGAAGATCTAGGGCACCTGACGAAGCATATGGCCTCGGATTTTGACGAGCACAACGGATGGGCACACCGTCGACAGGGGAGAGCGTGGGGGGTGCGACAGCCCCTCGCGTGAAGCATATTGGCCGAGCAAGCAAACTCCGTCATCCCGGCGCTCCCTACTTACGACGGGGCGGCCGACCCAGAGGATCATTTGAACAACTACTTCACGAAGATGCAACTGTACAACAGCTCGGATGCCACCCTATGCCGCGCCTTTCCTTCTACGTTTACGGGCGTGGTATTGGATTGGTACCATCAGATAGAGGAGGGGCGGATTGATAGCTTTGAGCAGTTCGCGGCCCTTTTTCTTTCAAAGTTCGCCAGCCAGAAGCGGCGGAGCCTCACCATTAGCGCCTTGTTCAAGGTCAAGCAGCGGAAGGGCGAAGCGCTCAGGGACTTCTATGAGCGTTGGATGTCAGTGGCCATGGCGGTCAAGGACGTGAAGCCCCCGGTCCTAGGGTGCTGCCTGGACGAGTGCACCACGAGTGAAGAGTTGTGCCGAGCACTGTCTAAGAGGGACGTGACATCTACCGAAGATTTGGATCGGAGGGTGCAAAAGGTGATCATGTTGGAGGAAACCCTGGCCGCGAGAAGGCTGGAGAGGAGGGACGTGCGCCCAGAAGAGGGAGCGGTGGCCAGGGCGCCTCGCCCGCCGCCCGCCGCCACGCACCACCAGAGCACATTTTTCCCGGCGAACATGCGGCGCCCAGAGCCACCGCGCTTTCCTCCAAAGGGTGGGGGGAACTTCACCGAGCTGAATGACTCGCTGAAAAATGTCCTACAATTTGTGAAGGATAAAGGGTACCATATCCGCTGGCCGGGGCCAATGAGGGGGCGCCCGAACGAGCAGAACCTCGACAGGTATTGTGAGTTCCACCGAGAGAGGGGTCACCACACGGCTGACTGCTACCAGCTCAAGTCAGAGATCCAGGGGCTGGTGGATCGAGGAATGCTGAGCGAGTTCGTAAGAAAGGGGGAAGACAGGACACAGAGGGCCTTTGTAGTGCAGGAGGAGAAGAAGGGGGTGGAGCAAGAAGAGGCCCCGAATGAAGAAGGCCAGGCCCCCATGGAAAAAGAAAGGCTGCCCCCGCCCCCGTTCGACATAGAGCCAGAGGCGCACCCTGAGCGTGTGAGGCTCACAATCGAGGCCATCTCGGGCACGCTGGACCTAAGGCAGAAGCTTGACGAAGGCAGGCGCCTGAAATCGGCCACGGCGAGCGCCCACGCGGCGGTGCATATTCATTTTAACGAAGCTCCTGAAGAGGCGTGTCGGGTGCCCTCCGTGGAGGCGCTTGAAATCAGAGGGGTGGTGGCTGGATGTGAAGTGAAGAGGATGCTGGTGGACACGGGAAGCTCGATGGACGTGCTATTCAGATCCACGTTCGAGAAAATGCAACTATCCCCGAGCTTAGTCAGGTCGGCAGAGTCGGTCCTAATCGGGTTTTCGGGGGTGCCGGCAAGAGTGGTTGGGCATGTGCGGTTACCAGTGACGCTGGGAGACGAGGCGCATCATGTGACACACACGGTGGAATTCGGGATCGTGGATTGCCCCTCTCCATACAACGCAATCCTGGGGCGTCCGATGTTGGCACTCTTCAATGGGGTCGCGTCTTCGTGCCATCAAGTGTTGAAATTCATTACCCCGAAGGGAGTGGGAATGTCGCGGGGAGATGCCTCGCCAGAAGCGCGGCTCGCAAAAAGGGCGCGCATGTACAACATTGACGTACGACCGGAAGACACGCCTAGGACGGAGGCAGCCGACGCCGAGGTCCAAGTCCCTTTGGACGCGGAGCGCCCCGATCGGTGCGTGCGCATTTCAGCGCACACGAGTGGGGAGGCGGCCGAGGCGCTGGTGGAACTACTGAAGGAGTACGCCGACTTGTTCGCATGGAGCGCCAAGGAGATGCCAGGTGTGAGGCCCGAGATCGCATTACACCGGCTGTCGGTAGAGAAGGGCGCACGCCCTGTGCAGCAAAAAAGGAGGCCCCTCTCGGAGGAAAAGGAAGAAGCCCTGCGCAAGGAGGTAGGGAAGTTACTCGAGGCGGGGTTTATGGAGGAAGCAAGGTACATAACGTGGCTGTCGAACGTGGTGCTCGTCCCAAAGGCGACGGGAGACTGGAGGATGTGTGTGGACTACACGAATCTGAACCGGGTATGCCCCACGGACGCTTACCCCATGCCACGCATAGACCAGTTGGTAGATGCGACCGCATATCACGAGGCGCTGAGCTTCCTAGACATGTTCTCGGGGTACCATCAGATCCTCATGTGCGAGGGAGACAGAGACAAAACTGCGTTCGCGACTCCCTTCGGCAACTTCCGCTACAAGGTCATGTCATTCGGGTTGAAGAACGCCGGCACCACTTACCAACGCATGGTAAACACGGTGTTCCAGCGGCAAATTGGCCGAAACGTGGAGGCATACGTGGACGACCTGGTGGTGAAGAGCAAGAGGAAGAAGGATCACCTAAGCGATCTGCGCGAGACTTTCGAAACAATGCGCTCCCACACTCTGCGCCTTAATCCGTTGAAATGCGTATTCGGGGCGGAGGCTGGGAAGTTCTTGGGCTTCATGATCACTAAGAGGGGGATCGAAGCCAACCCAAGGCAGGTGGAGGCGATCAGGCACCTCAGCCCTCCGCGGACACCCAACGAAGTGCAGGTATTGAATGGGCGCCTGGCAGCGTAAGGGCGCTTCATTCCTAGGTCGGCCGACAAGGGCGCCCCCTTTTTCGGTGTCCTGAAGAAGGCCACGCGCTTCAAATGGACCGACGAGTGCGATAGAGCGTTTGAACAATTGAAGGACCTACTGGTGGCGCCCACGGTCATGACGGCGCCGCGAAAGGGCGAGACGTTGTATCTGTACATAGCGGTTTTCCGAGCCGCCGTGAGTGCCGTCCTTGTCTCCAGAGCGGGCCCGGACAAGGAGGAACGCCCGGTATATTACGTGAGCAAGGTAATGACGGGCCCAGAGACGCGCTACGCGCCCATCGAGAAGGCATCCCTGGCGGTGGTAGTGGCGGCCGAAAAGCTACGTCCTTACTTCCAAGCGCATACGGTGGTCGTTCTTACCAACCTACCGCTGAAGAGCACGCTAGGCTCCATGGACGTGGCGGGACGCATGGTGAATGGGCCGTGCAGCTAAGTGAATATGATGTTAAGTACGCGCCGCGACCCGCAATCAAGGCGCAGGTGCTGGCGGATTTTGCCGCAGAGGGCGTGGTGAGTGAAGGAAAGGGCATGGAAGCCGATTGGCGGGTGTACGTCGATGGGGCGGCAAGCCGAGTGGGCGCCGGCGCGGGCATAGTTGTTATCAACCCCATGGGCACAACCCATGAAGTGGCCCTCTGATTTTCGTCACTAAAAACGAACAACGCAGCGGAATACGAAGCGGTAATCGCCGGGTTGCGCACAACGCGCGAGTTGGGAGCACGAAGGGTTCAGGTCTACTCTGACTCCGCTTTGGTGGTGAATCAGCTAAATGGAGTTTTCGACGTGAAAGAAGAGGCGCTGGGCGCATACCTGAAAAGGTGGAGGAACAACGTGCGTGGTTCGAATAGGTCGAGTTTGTACACGTGCCGCGTGAGGAAAATGCCCATGCAGACGCCCTATCAAAACTAGCCACGGCCACCGATTTCGAAAGTGAGAGGTATGTGATAGTAACCAAGGAGCAATCCCAGGAAGAATATATGGTGGGGATTGTCGAAGAAGGAGAAGGGGAGGGGGAGAGTTGGATGACCCCGATCAAGGCGTACTTGCTCCACGGTGCAATCCCGGAGGACGGCAAGCTCGCGTGGCAAGTCAGGCGCAAAGCCGCCAGGTGTGTGATCTTGGAGGGACAGCTGTATAAGAGGTCGCACTCAGGGGCATACCTGAGATGCCTTACGAACGAAGAAGGCGCGAAGGCGATAATGGAAGTACACCAGGGCGCTTGCGGCATGCACGCGGGGGCGAGGAGCCTGGAAAAAGTCCTGCTGAGGCAAGGCTATTATTGGCCCACCATCAGGGCGGACGCGAAGAACCATGTGGAGAGCTGCCACCAATGCCAGATTCATGCTCACGACACTCACGTGCCCAAGGCTCCCATGCAGGGCAACGTGGGCGTTGGTTAAACTCTTCACTTTACACTTTTTCTGCAGTTGTTGTTGATGAAGAGAGGAGGACAAGTTATATATGCAGGCACCCTTGGACACCATTCTCACAAGATGGTAGAATATTTCGAGGTGAGTTCAACATTACCTTACCTTTCATTGTTGATTCAAACTGAATGGAAGAGAAACAATGAGCGATCCAAATTCATTTAATAAACTGAATTGTTATATTATTAGACCATCCAGGGGGTTCCCAAGATCCAAGAAGGCACAAATCCTGCTTCATGGATGCTTGACATTAGCTCAGTTGCCATTGAAACTCAACTGAATGTGGACTTTGCTGAAATTTATTCATATTCTGAACTATACAAGTGAGCATTAATTTTACTGATCTTTGCCAACTCTCTTCCTAAATCCCACTTATCCTCTCCATTCACTAAAAAAGTCTCATCATTTGGTTACAGGAGGAACCAGGAGCTAATTAAAGCACTAAGCACTCCAGCACCAGGGTCAAGTGACCTTTATTTCCCTACACAATTTGCACAGGATTTCTTAACCCAATGCAGAGCTTGCTTCATAAAACTGCATCGATCTTACTGGCAAAATCCAGAGTACAATGTTACAAGATTATTCCTCACAATAGTTGTAGGTGTTCTCTTTGGACTTATCTACGGTCATCTTCTTCCTTCCCCTTCTGATTCCTCTTTAATTCTTCTTCCTTGTCACTTCTCACCACTAAGCCTTCTGATTTCACGGGCTTCATCAATTCCCCCAAATATTACATGGATCCCCCGCCTGCTTCATCCATCTTTGGCAAATTAAACCTGGGTAGCCGCCGTCCATCTCCTCGTACTCCACTCAGCCAAAGTCGAGTCCTTTGCTACTCTAGCTGAAGAGATCTTGGCCACCGTCGAAGAGGCAGACCAGCTGCTGCCGGATGAGATTCATCTTCTCTGTCTCCTTCCTTCACCTCCCCTTTATTCGAAAATCTAGTGGGTAACGCCGAGGCAGTGGAGTGTCTGAAATCCCTGCTGCAACAGAAGCTTGAGAGCCGTGAAGAAGAGGACGCGCTCAAAATCCTGACTCGTCTCGTGGCCGCGCAATCATGCCGCTGAGGGAGAGCAACAGTCTCCATCGCAGATCGAGAAACTAAAACCTAATTGACGCTATCTCCTTGCAGATTTCCTCCCTGAAAAACCACCAGATCTGGGCGGTTTTCAAATATGCCACCGCCGGAAATCGACAATGAGCAGAGGGTACAAGCGAATCGCCGTCGATGTTGCGGCAAATCCTCCCTTCGTCAGTCGTTGCTACGTCTGAATCCCTGTGTATTGTCGGACCGCGGAGGCGAGCTGGACTGTATCGAGTGGTGAATGGACCAAGGCTGATGAGTGCGTTCGTCGATTGAGAGTCGCCGGTGATTTTAAGTTTAGGTGGAATGGAGGTGGGATTTCTGTGAAGAGGAAAAGAGAAGAATTGGGAAGGGCGGATGAGGAAAAGAATGGTAAAGTAGGGCTTTTTTTTAATAAATATAATTAATTTAGTTTTCCACCATGGCATGCCACATAGACCAAATAAAATGCAGCCACATTCAACCGTTTGCCCAGTCAGCCGTCTTTATAATTCCGTTACATTAATGGACGGAATGGCTATTTCTGTGTATTTTTTCAAATTTGGCTACATTTGTCACAAAGTGCAAAGTTATGGCTATGGAAGTGGATTTTGCCTATTATTTATCATTATCAAATTAACCAAAAAATAAAAGTATAAAAAATATGAAATATTTTTTTGAAAATGATAAATTTTATAAATTAACAAAAATTATCAAATTTTTATTTTTTTTGTTAATTTGAAAAAGATAAATAATGTAAATTAGGAAAATAATTTGAATTTGAATTTTTTAATAATTTTTAAGCTAATAAGGGAATGACATGACGTGTTTACTAACAATCAACTGTGTTGATACATTGCTTGAAACTTATTAAATCATTTTTAAACTTATTAAACCGTAAATTAATTATACATTGCTTGAAATTATACATTGCTTGAAAAATCAATCTTTCCAAACCCTAACAGCCTGTTTGGATTGACAAAAAAGTAAGGAATTGGAATTCCATTTCCAATTCCATTTCCATATATTATGTTTGGAATAATAAAAAGGTTGAGAATTGAATTCCAATGGGTCTAAAATATGGGAATTACAATTCCTATCAAAAGTGATAGGAATTGAGAGAATGAAGATGGAATTAGTGGGACCCATCAATACTTTTTATTATTTTGTTGACCCACTATCATTTTACTCTCTTTCTCTCTCATTCATATTTCATTTCTCAAAATAAAACAAACATATTACATTATTCATTATGGTTAAAAGTGCAATTCATTTCCATAGTTGTAGGAATTATACCAAACACTAGAATTGGAAATGGAATTCTATAAAAAATAAAAAATTGAATTCCATTTCCATTTCCATTTCTTCCGGAATTGTATCCAAACAGGCTGTAAAATGAAAAAGAGAAACATATAGGGTTAGGATTCCGGTTTAGCAAGTATTTGGTTGGTTGATGGTTACCCATTAGCACCCAACCTCTTCTCCTCAAAGAGGTCAAAGGTGTGGCTTTTTGGCCTTTTGCAGTTGCAGCTTGCGGTCGGACTCGGAGCTACTCCTTTCGTCTTCCGGTTCGGGCGAACGGCTCTCCTCTCTCTGTGTTTTCAACTTCCTTTGCGGGTAGAGAAAAACCTACCGGTGTACGCTGCACAAAAGGAAAGAAAGAAGTTTTTTTGACCTTCACCCCCTTTTTTTTTTAACCTTGTCCTTCACTTCAACACTTTCCCCCCTTCTTCTTCGCCACCAGATTCCCTCAACCCCACGTCCATCTCTGATCCTCGCGCTCTTGTTGCTCGATTGTGGTATTTGGGTTTTTTCCGTATTGAAATCCAGTTCCCAGAAGAGATTCCACTTTCAGGGTTGCTGCTTTTCCCTCGATCTCTCATTCTTGTCGCACTGTTTTCGGTCGAAGGTTTGCTTGCTACTGAGTTGGCCTGCTCTTCAAGTTCAAACCTTGGTACGTGTCTTAATTGCAGTAGAAACCATGGAAATTTGCGACCTTTTTTTGGGCAATTTGTTGCTATTACTTTTTTGCTTACTTTGCTGGATAGGGGAACGTCCATTGCCTTTTGAACTTGCTGCATTGTTTCTACTGCTGTTCGAGTAGTTGGCTTAGGCTGTGGAGTTCTATACTGTGTATAGAGAATAGACGAGCAGTGGATTTTTTGCCCCATGCTCTCCACATATGGATATGGTTCATTTGCTTGCTCTTACAAGCCTCACTAACCTGTTCATCGCGGTAACGTTTTGCAGGATTCGTTCTGGGTTAGTTAATTGTTCGGTATCCAGGCCGAGCTGGCTCTAGGTTGACCATTTCTGACTTGAAAATGTAATGAAATTAATGATCAAACATGGTTTCTTGATTGGGTGCTTTCTTTTGTGAGCTTCATCCTGTTATCCCTCAGCTTTCCTACTTACTTTAGGTTTGTGTTGTTGGGTATTGGACATTGGACATTGGACATCTCTTTGTCTCTTCACTTAATTTAGGTAAAGGATTGCTCTTTGATGTTATAACATCTTATTCGCTTAAGTGATTCTAATGTTTAGGTTAGTTTATGTTCTGTTTCTATTCTTCTGGTATAGCATGGTTTCTCTTCGGTATAGATCAGTGGATTAATTTTATGATTTATTTAACCTTCAGGATGGCTTCTTTATGGAAGGTTTCTTGTGTGTTTGAGGAAAGGATTTGGGAGCAGATTCTTGTCTGAGACGGTAACAATCATCCATTTCTGAAGAAGTTTGCAGATTGGTAACTGAATTTCTTGTGGCATAGAGGTGACATGCAACCACTCATTTAGATTTATAGAGAAGTTTGAGCAATTAGAAGATAGTCGGGATATGGAATGCAATAGGGGTGAGGCAGCTAGAGCTAAGGAGATTGCTGAGAAGAAATTTTTCGAAAAGGATCTTGTTGGAGCAAGAAAATTTGCACTCAAGGCCAAGAATTTGTACCCTGAGCTTGAGGGCATTACTCAAATGGTAGCAACTCTTGATGTCTATATTTCTTCGGAGAACAAAGTAAACGGAGAAGAAGATTGGTATGGGATACTTGGCACTAACCCACTAGCTGATGATGACATGGTACGTAAACAGTACCGGAAATTGGCCTTGATCCTTCACCCTGACAAAAATAAGTCAGTTGGAGCTGATGGCGCTTTTAAACTTATATCTATGGCATGGAGTACATTGTCTGACAAAACGAAGAGAGTAGCGTACGACCAGAATAGAAAGACTAACATTTTTCGGAAGGCCTCAAGTTCGGCTAAGGCTCCATATACTAAGTCTGAATCCAGTGGATTCAACACTTCCACCAAAGCAACTGAAAAGTCTAATAAGAGTGTTCCCCAAGCAGGCCATTATTCTTCTCCAGTTTCATCTCAGAAGTCAAAACAACCCAAGACTTTCTGGACTGTCTGCCATCAGTGCAGGATGCAGTATGAGTATCTTAGGATTTATCTGGATCATAATCTACTCTGTCCCAATTGTCATGAGCCGTTTATAGCTACTGAAAAAGCTCCCCCCTCATCAAATCGCTTTAAATTAAGTGCACAAGCGAACTTTTCCCAGCAATCAAAAAAGTCCAATCGACAAGCTTCTGGCAAAAATACAATGAAATCTAGTAATGCCAGTAGTTCATTTTCAAATGGGGGGATAAACTACCAGTGGACTCCATTCTCCTCTGGATCAGGTACTACATCTCACTTCTCTCAAGCTGCAACTGTTGTTCAGCAGGCTTATGAAAAGGTGAAGAGGGAACGAGAAGAGGCGCAGGCGGCTACAAGAAGAGAAGAGAGCCTTAAGAGGAAACATGTTTCCAAAAGAATGGGTGGTGGATATGCTGGAAAAAGAAGGAGAAGTGCAGAAGATGGTGGTTTGAACAAGGAGAAAGGATCTGTTACTGTTCAAATGGTTTCAACTTCTAGAAGAGGTGGCTCTACTGGTGTTGTTGGTGTCAGGAAGTGTTCTGACATGAGGGATGCCGCCCAGGTTGAGATTGAGTCCCTTTTGCTGGAGAAGGCCAGGACTGCCATCAGTAAGAAACTCTATGATCTGAATTCAGCTACTGTGAGTGAATTGTTCATGGAAACGGGAAATGATAGTGGGGAAGAAGATAATGTATTTGAAAAGTCTGTGGTAAATGGTGACGCAAATGAACCTTGCGCCCCTAGTGATCCACCCAATTCAGAAGCAGGGTTGTTTGGCAGTACTACTTCTCCTACTACTTCTGGTGCAAAAATAAATACGGAAATTTTAGATTCAATGTTTATCGATGTGCCAGATGCAGACTTCTACAATTTTGACAACAATAGAACTGAAACGTGTTTTGGTGAAAACCAAGTATGGGCAGCCTATGGTTACAATGAAGGGTTCCCTCGGTATTATGCCATGATCCATGCTGTGATTTCCTTGGATCCACTAAAGTTGCGGATTAGTTGGCTGAAATCAAGAACCAATAGTGAATTTGGCCCCTTGAACTGGTTTTGTTCTGGCTTCTCAAAGACTTGTGGGGAATTTCAAGTAGGAAGGCGTGAGATTTATAGCTCTCTCTATTGTTTTTCCCACAAGGTTAGATGGAAAAGCGACATTCATGGGTCCATACATATATATCCCAGGAAGGGTGATGTTTGGGCTCTCTACAGAAACTGGTCCCCAGATTGGAATGAGCTGACAGAAGATGAGGTCATACAGAAGTATGATGTGGTCGAGGTTCTTGAGGACTATAATCAAGAGCTAGGGGTTATTGTAGTTCCCCTGGTAAAGGTTGCTGGTTTTAAAACCGTGTTTCGCCAACATTTAGATGTTGGGGAAATCAGAAGAATTCCGAGAGAAGAGATGTTCAGATTTTCGCACCTTGTTCCTTCTTATATACTCACTAGTCAAGAAGGTCCAGATTGTCCCAAAGGGTGTAGGGAGCTTGACCCAGCTGCAACACCAATTGAACTTCTTCATGTAGTTGTAGATGTGAAAAGAGAAGATTTGTTAGAGGATGAGAGCATTGAATAGTGAAATGATACTATGTAAAAACTTGGAGGAGGTTGGTTCCAGAAACCGAGTAAAAGATGCAGTAGAATAGAAGAGGAAGAGAAGGTATGCTACCTCACCAGTTACTCTTATTACAGCCAGATATCTTCTATTGTATGTAGCACTACATATCTTCATTGGAACATCATAGTTTGACATGATTTGGTCTTACTCTCATTCTACTGCTATCTTCAGTATTCAAATGATCCGAAAACTTGTGGAGATTTAGCCACTTGTGTCAGCATTGTGACCTTTTTCAACAGTGTTTTGACATCAGGCTTTGTTCAAGTTTGCGGAAAAAGAAATGTTCTTTTCCCTTTCCCTTTTGTTTTGTATGGTAATTTGACTTGCTTTTGCGGTATTATGTGTTTTTAATAGGCCTAGGTTCTTACAGTACTTACTGTGAGACTCTCTCCCTAAGTGAAAGTTTAAGTCAGACGCGCAAACAAGCATTCTTCTAAAATAAGCCTCTAGTTCCAACTGAAATTTACTCTTAAACTCGTACAATGCTCCACTCTTGTTCAACTATCTTTAGCTGTTTAAACTGAAATTTCAAACCCTCGAGTTTTAGACAAGCCCAAACAAACAAGCTTTGAACTTGTTCTGTCATTGCTATTTTTTGTTGTTGATAAACCTGTAATTGCTATTATGTGTCTGTAATGTTCATTGAAAAGCAAGAACAGTGAAGCCACCATTTGATTGTAGACTGATATGCCTACAGTACGTTGATGGTGGTGTGAGCTTCTTTTCTTGTCTGGAAGATGAACATGTTTTTATTTGACCCGGTTATTCAATTCAACTTTAGCTTCAGTTATTGATTCCTGTTTTTTTTTTTTTTTTTTTTTTTGCAAATGCATATAAGTATTGCTTCTTCATTGTGTCTGAACATGTTAATTGTTAGCACATATAGTGTCTTATTGGATGAATGGCATAGAGTGCTTGGAGTTGCTTTTGCTACGTTCTACTTGTATCCTTTTAGGTAAATGTTGGAAATGATGCAGAGAGTGGATCTTCGTTGTCTAGTTGGAAACAAGATGTTGGTACTGAAGTACTATGGGTTGAACATGATGGTATATGACAAGAAAGATCTCCTTGAACATGGCAGGATAATGCATGGCCCAGAATGAGGTTTTTGTTACTAGCCAGATGAGCTATTAGAAATCTTATTAAAGCACATGATTTGATGTTGGAACTCTGCCTCACATTGATGAACCCACAGTTCAAGCACAATCATCTATTCATCTATAACTCCATCTTGTTTATCTGGTTGCTACCTGCCCGTGCTTTTCTTAAGCTGTTGTGCAAGAGCTGTTCTCTGGATATACCTGTCCTTGGGATCTTAAATATCATGCGCAGGTCTACCAAGAGTACAAACCAGATCTTGCCCAAGAACGGTTCTAGGATTCCTGCGCTACCCTGCAAATGAATGCATGGGAATCTTCCTAGCTCAACTGGACTTCCTTAGATTCTTGTGAGGTTTGAAGGTATGATGACTTTTCCGTTGTTTTGATATATTGAGCCTGTAGGCTGAACTGTACATCGGTGCTAGAGTAACTGTAAGCAGCCCATGAAGATACCAAAACCTATGAAGCAGCCCATTTATGTATATTACCAGCTCGACAACTTTTACCAAAACCACCGCAGTTGAGTCTCTCAAGCTCAACATTATGATTTGGAATAAGTAATCCAGAAAGTTGTGATTTGTGAACGCAGTTTCAATTGAGTGGTTGTGGCGCCGGACTTTGAACCTCGAGATCCTGGTTTCAAGGTTCTAGTGTAGTATTGTTTCCTTGCTTTAGCTTGCTAGTATTTTTGCACTTCAGGTATATGTGAGGAGTCGAACGATGTACAACTACTGAGCAAATCACACGAAGATGTGGTGTCGACTTGCAAACCAGAAGACAGCGTGGATGGAAAAACCAATCGTTCCATGTTGCCTCATCGCTTGGAGTTTGTTCAATGACACTTACAGTTTCACCATCTCCAGCAAGAAGAAGGTTTTGAATGTCAATAAGAAGGACATTGCATGGACGAGCGACAAAGAACACAAATTTGGTTCTGATGTGTACCCTAAGAACTTCCAGAACAGTGGCTTGATTGGAGGTGGAAAGAAGATCTATCGGTGTGGATGCGAACAGCAGCTCTACTGCCGACGTTTAGGAAACTGTATGGAAGAATCGAGGAGGATCTGGAGGCGAACGATCAGATAGAAGTTGCAATTCAGAACAACTATAACTCGTATGGTTATGGAAGGAAGAAGATGTTGATCCTCTCCACGAACACTTGGATCGAGGGAATCATTGGGGCTGTGTACCTCGCCGTTGGTGGAATCTGCTTCTTCTTGGCCATCACCTTCATCCTTATTTACTTGCTCAAAGTACAGGTAAGTTAGAACAACCTTTTAGAACCAATCCAACTAGAATGTGTAGTGTTCAGTGTATCCATAACTGTGATTTGCATGTTACCTTTTTTGCAGGCCATTAGGTGATCCATCTTACCAGTCTTGGAACAAAAATCCAGGAGCATCCACTGATTGAATGTTACCGATTTTGGAATCTAGTTATTGTTTCGAATTGATTTGTCATGATGATGAGATTGATTGAATAGAACGAGATTCATTGAATTCTTTAGAAAACTAAATTAGGTTCTCTTGTTAGTGTTTACAATCACTTTTGTGCATTTTTCATCAAAACATTATTCTTATGCTTCATCTCCAACCATTCAGGCAATTTTTTCGAAATGTCATTTTCTTTCGATTTTGAAAGCTACAGATCATGGATTTTGTCTGAGGCTATTCTCCACGAATATTGAAGTCTATTAATTCTATTCTCCACCGATGATTAAGTCTATTAAACACCGATTCGGGCGAATTTATTTTTGGATGATATTTTCATAAAAAATTTAGTATTTTTTCTGAAAAACCATTTTATTTGAATTTTGAAGGCTATAGATCACGGATTCGGCTTAAGGCTATTATTCAACAATGATTAAGTCCATTAAGCACCGATTTGGGCAGATTTCTTCCGAATCTATTTTTGACAGACTCCAAAGTGGCACCATCACAGGTTTCGGGCGATTTCCTTGAAATGTCATTTTCTTTTGATTTTGTAGGCGCTACAGATCACGAATTCTGCCCGAGGTTATTCTCCACCGATAATGAAGTCTATTGATCCTATTCTCCACCGATAATTACAATGACCGTTGATTCCATAAAAATGGGATGGTAGGTCGGGGCAAGTATCTCAATATTCATATTATATTCTGTGATAAATTGGATAGCAAAGTAATAAGACCATGTATGGGGGCTGACACCTGCCCAGTGCCGGAAGGTCAAAGAAGTTGGTGACCAGATGATAGGGCAGCAGGCGATCGAAGCATATCGTGTATTTGTCTTATGACTTGAATCCCGACTAGTTGATCCATAACGATATGTATTTGAAGGAAAATTGTTTAAAATGTCTTTTTTTATTATTAAAATTGAGTAACAAATTATGAACACCCAATATATAAAATTAAGGGTGTGCCTACAGTGACATGCATGTCACGGTGACTTGCACTTTCCGGTCGACCTCAGTTAGGATTAGGTTGACCTCATTTAGAATTCGGTCGACCTCATATAGGATCCGGTCGACCTCATTTAGGATCGGTCGACCTCATATTGGATCCGGTCGACCTAATATGTTGTTTCAGTGTAAAAACAGTTCATGGTGCCTACTTTGGATTTTCATATCATACAATTGGCTAGATGGAAATTGAAGACTAATGACTTGTTTTGAAGCTGGAGTGTCCCTCTACATATTGAAGTGATTGAGAGCTCGATAGGAAGTCCAGAAGACCATTTTTGAACCTCATCAAAAGGCTATGCCAAAACTGGGAAACTGCCTAGAAATGGCTAAGTCTGGAAACGTGTTTGTGAAGCCTATTTTTTAGCTCAATTCGAGAAGCATGAATGCGAGTCGAGTCTAGGAGCCTCTACCACGTTAAATTAGGTATGTTTTTATACAAATTCAAGGAATTGGATGAAAGATTGGATATCTTTAAGGCTTCAAACAAAAAGGTCGAAGTTGCTACGAAGGCTGTTTTTCTGGAAGACTTCGAGCACAAGCAAGCTGCCGGAAAAACAGCCTTCGTAGCAACTTCGAGCCTTTTGTTTGAAGCCTTAAAGATATTCAATCTTTCATTCAATGCCTTGACTTTGTATAAAAAAATACGTAATTTAACGTGGTAGAGGCCCCTGGACTTGACTCGCATCCATGCTTCTCAAATTGAGCTCCAAAGTAGGCTTGACAAACACGTTGCCAGACTTAGCCATTTTCAGACAGTTTCCCAGTTTTGGCATAGCCTTTTGGTCAGGTTCAAAAATGGTCTTCTGGACTTTCTATTGAGCTCCCAAGTACTTTAATGTGTAGAGGGACACTTCAGCTTCAAAACAAGCCTTTAATCTCCAATTTCCATCTAGCCAATTGTAAGATATGAATCTCCAAAGTAGGCACCATGAAACTGTTTTTACACGGAAACAACTGATTAGGTCGACCTGATCCTATATGAGGTCGACCGAAAAGTGCATGTCACCGTGACATGCATGTCACCGTAGCAAAGTCCTAAAATTAATATTACTCATATAAAATAAGTCAAATTTAGGTAACACAAATCGCGAGAGGAAGGCTGACACTTCCGCTCCAGAGCGGGGAAACGCGATTTTGTCGAAAATCGTTTAAAATTCGCGACTTATACATTAATGGAGAGCGATTTCTTTTTTTTAGTTCGCGAACTTTAGGTTTGCTTGTAGTAATTCATAATGCTTTGCTTCAACTTTTAAAGGGCTAGTTGGTTCCGAATTTATTTTATGTAATTCAACGAAAAAAAGAATTTATTTTATGTATAAAGGGAAGCCAAATGCAGAATGATTACAGTAAGGAGAATGTAGGATGGGCAGTGCATAAATTAGGTGAATTTTAGTTTTAAATTGACCTACTCGCTTATTACTTATTAGCGAGTTGATATAATTGTGATTGGTTATCAATCCGCATTCTTTTTTGGATTGGGTGAGTGGGTGGCGGATGAGTGCGGAGTTCTGGATTAAACCGTAAAAGCGATTCTTCAATTAACCATTAAAAAGTTGACTGACATTTACAATAAGTTCTTCGCAAATTAGTAAGGAGAGGATAGGGGTAGGCAATGTAGAGATTGGGTAGATTTTAGTCTCAAATTGACCCACTCGATTACTAGCAAGTTGATATAAATGTGACTCGCTACCCACCACATTCTTTTTTGTGTTTAGTGGGTGGGTGGGTGGCAGATGAGTTCTGGAGTTGTGAATTAACCCACAAAAGCAATTCTCCAATTAACTATTGAGAAAAATGGACTAAGATTTATAATGTCGTTAAAAAATTAGTAGCATATATAAATTAGATGAAAACGAGTGAACTTAGGAGCACTTATGAGTTAGTATTGTTTCTTAAAGTTGCTTGGTATAAATGAAAATTAATTTAATGATTATTCTAAGGATAATTTTGTAAGTAAGAGTAAATGGATTAGTTGTACTTGTAATGCTAAATAATTTTTTTTGTATATGTACGAAAATAAATTTGGTAACATTTTACATGCATGCCTTTTAGAACTCCATATATTGTATAAACAAGATTCATATATATATAATATATGTTATAAAAGTACTACCATGTATTTGATACATTATTTTCAAATTTTGCGCTTCACTACATTAAAATAATCAAAACTATCAATATAATACTGACACTTTCATCACGCTCTCAATATTGAATTCTTCTAAAATAAACGCTCTCACGCTCACGCTCCGGTTCTCACTCCACGAACTAGTTACCTAAGAACAAATAGATCGAATCGTATTGAAATTATCATCTTATACAGTTCACGAAAGAATCGAACTTTCATCACAAACAGGCTGGCCTAATCTAGTGTAGTTATTCAAAAAAAGAGTATACGATCACTAGAAGTCTAAACAAAAAAATGAACACAAAAGCGGAAGAAATAAAAAGAAATGGCGAGATTTAAGATTTAAGTGGTCCGTTAGACCATGATGCGCAATTTTACTGTGGTGTTCACATCATTTTGTGAGCACGTATGCTCACATGCTGAGATTGAATGACATATCTTCTAGTTGATTTAGAGGGCTAGGATTTGTTGCTTATTGAATGAGCTTATATAAGAAAAAAGTATAGAGTACACTACTTTTTAGTGAGTTTGTCCCACATTTCTTTAATTATTCAAAAGTCAACTACTTTTTTTTTAATTACCCATTTCTTCATCTCGCTTGTACTCTCATTTTTTTTATAACTTGTTTGAATACCCTGAATATTTTTTCAACGCCTTTGAATACTTGTTAGATGCTTATTAATGCGTGGTCAGTGTGTAATATTTGTTAATCTCAAATATGAGAATACTAGTTCGACGTTTTGAGTATTTGTTCGACTCCTATTAATATGTGTTTATTTGTGTGAATATTTGTTGGTCTCAGATATGAGATTACTAGTTTGATACTTCTGAATATTTATTCGACGCTTTTGAATATTTCTCCGACGCTATTGAATATTTGTTCGAACTCTATGAATACGTGTTCATTTGTGTGAAATATTTGTTGGTCTCAGATATGAGAATACTTGTTGGAAGCTTTTGAATACTGGTTCGACCCGTTTGAATACTTATTCAATGCCTTTGAATACTTCTTTGGTGCTTTTGAGTACCCGTTCGACGCACACATAAGCGTCAAACAATATTCAAAAGCATCGAACATATATTCAAAAGTGTCGAAGTAGTATTCTCACATTTGAAAACAACAAATATTACACATAATGACCATGCAGTCCTTGGATTATTTACAAGCGGTATTCAAGCTCTTATTTTGCAACTTTAGCCGTGGCTTATATAGGCGCTAAACAAATATTCAAAGGCGTTGAAGAAGTTTTTAGGGTAGAAAGGAGAGAAATGAATGAAATATGTGACCAGCCCAGTTGACTCTCTACTTTTTTCTTACTTGAGCTCGTTCAAAAAGCAACAAATCCTAGTTCTCCAAATCACCTAAAAAATGTGGCATTTAATCTCACCATGTGAGCACCTAGCTGGGTTGATGATGGAAAGAGAGCGAGAGGGGAGTTAGAGAGGAAGGTGTGAGGTCTCCGACGAGGATGCTGCTGGTGTGATGGCCCCTCCAAACAAACCGGTGTCCCCAAATGGTCGTCCAAAGTGAAAATAGAAAGAAGAACCTTCCTTCTCTTCTTCCTCTTTCCCGATGCCATCTTTCTCCCTCTCTAAAGTTGCCACTACTAGGGTTCCTTCTTCCTCTACTCCCGGGAATGATCAATTCTTCGCTTTTCTACTGAAAAGGTACTAATGCACCTCTGCCTTAGTCAGCTGTCGTGGATCGCGTCCAACTTCCCTGTTTGATCCTAGTTGCCTGTGGATTTTACAGGAAATGCTCCTTCTGGAGCTGGGTTCTTCTGGGTTACAGATAAATTTCCTGTCTTTGAGCTTAGTTGCTTGACGTGATGAAATAAATATGTCTAGTCAAGTGAAACACATTCAGAGGTAAGGTTCTTCTTGGTACTGGTGCTAGTTCTAAGACCTTCCCGTTTGAGTATATCAAGTTCCGAGGTTTCTGGGTGTTTGACGGTTTGATTCATGGAGTTCTCTCCTTTTAATTCTTCTTTCTTGGATGGAATTTCATTCCAGAAATAACTATTGCATTGTAGATGTAGCTAATTCTCGGATTAACTCGTGGGCAAGCAATTATTGCATTGTAGATTGTAGATCGATCCATTTGTGCTCTTAATTGTTTGCTCCATACTATACATCATGCTCTTGTACTGATTACTCGCTAATCGATCTTGTATTTTGGTAGCAACAATTGTGCTATGGAGGATTCTACTATGACTATAGACTTCCTCCGGGCACGCTTGCTGTCTGAAAGATCCGTGTCCAAGACTGCAAGAGAGAGAGCTGATGAACTAGCAAAAAGGGTATGTTTTTTTTTCTTTCTTTCCTTTTTTGTCTTCCCTTCCTGCTGTCTCTTTTTGTACTCTCTAGCATGTTCCATGGGTGAAAATTGGTTATGTGTTGTAAGTTGGATGTATATTCTGTAACAGTACTTTTAGATGATTTGTTTTGCTTGTTGGCTAGGTTGCAGAACTGGAAGAACAGTTGAGAATTGTCTCAGTTCAAAGAATGAAGGCTGAAAAGGCAACGGCTAATGTTCTTGCAATTCTGGTGAGCAATGGATTGAGTGATGCTTCTGAGGGGTTTGATTCAAGCTCTAACCAGGACGATGAAAGTGAATTTGGCTTGGTTAATGGGTGTTCTAAGGAAGGGCAAAGTTCTGTCAATTCAAAAGCTAAAAAGAGTGAGTCCGATGAGCGGTCAGGTTCTGACAAGTTCATCCCTTCTCCTGCCAGAAGCTTGTCATGGAAGAGTAGCAAGGATGGCACAGGATCGATGAAAGGGTGCAAGGACCCAGCTCTGAGAAGCTGTAACACCTTTACTTCTGCTTGTTCTTCTCCAAAACGTCATCCAGGAAAATCCTGCCGCCAAATACGACGTAAAGACACTAGGTTCGTTTGTCTGAATTGCTTAATGCTCGTAAATTATACCTTATGTCTTATGCCTTTTTCCCTGTCACACATCTTAGTGTGATACATTGTGCTGCTAATCTCAGGTTTTTAATGTTACCTCCTAAACTGTTGGTTTTTAATGTTGCCTCCTTAACTGTTTTTAATGTGGCCTCCACAAAAAATCACTTTTGACTAACTTGAGACGAGAAATCAAGCTTTTCCTTGTGGAAAAAAGAAATTCAAATGGGAGTTCTCACTTTTAAAATTTTCTTGGATAGGCCTTCCATTTTTTCCTTTGGTTTAGGAGTGTCGTAATTCCTACAGATTGTAGGTTATTCTGTAACTTTAGCCTAGTCAACTGTAGAAGCTTATCCACATTGCTTCAGTATCGGGATAACAAAGTTCCGCTGTAGGTTGCTCTTTTTCCTCTGTCCAAGAAACAAAATGCTAGTGGTGACCTTGAGAATCATTTGTCTGGCAGAGCTGGTGACATGAAAAATGGCATTGAACAGCAATTACAACTCATACAAAGATGTGAAGATATGGAAATGGCTCAACGAGAATGGGAAGAGAAGTTCAGAGAAAATTCCAGCACAGCGGTATGTCTGCTCAAACCTCGTAGTACAAAGAACTAATAGTTTCTCGCTAGCACATTTGGTGACTTGGGGTTTTCTGTAGACAAGTATTAGGTTGCTATCATCTTTTTTGTTTGAAGAATAAAGATGTTTGCTTTCGATAGGAATTGGAGTGTAACTATAGACTTATTTAGTAGACCCACTGAAAATTTGTTCATGCTGGACTCAATCCATAATATGGCAACAAGGAAAGAGAAAACACTAGTTCCTGAACCCAATCCATAATAATTGGCTATCTATCTCCTTTTCAGCCTACTGAGAACTATTTTTGGTCTATATTTATTTTTCTCATCTTCAATAGAATTTAGCTCTATGCACCTCTGGTTAAATTGCCTGGTAAAAGAGTTTGACATTATGAAGCACCAAAATTAACTGGGTATTGTAAGAGTACGGTCGTCGAGCATGTAGTTAGAGTACGGTCATGGGTGTCAATGAAACGGTTAAACTAAGAGGTAAATATGTCTTGGCGAATTCTAGTATAGTATAGAGGAAATGAAAACACTTGGATTCACAGGCAGTAGTTGAATGGGGAAAATACCCTTTGAGAAGCATTATGACGAGAATTATCAAGCTTGCATACGCAACAATACATAACTATTTGAAATGGTGTGCTCAATTTTGTGCTATTTAATAGTCTTTAAATTTTTGCTTGTATCCACTGTTTGTCCCTGGAATTTCTTTCTGATTTGTGGATTACATGTGCATCATTTGAAAATTGACTGTCATAGCATCTTCATCTGTCACACCCTTTTACTTGGATTGTTTGTATTGTAGCTATGTTTTCTACTCATCCTACTTGGCTGGGAAAACTATTTTGCTGCGCCTGCTTCTTGATTTCTTCTTATCATCACATAGGATCTTGATATGTTAGCCTGACATCGCTCTGTGGAACGTGTACTTGTAGGATTCTTGTGACCCTGGGAGCCGCTCAGATGTTACTGAGGAAGCTCCGTATGAGATTAACGAACATCCACCACGTTCTGCTGGGACTAAAGTTTCAACCAACCGCGTGGAAAAATCAAAAGTTGAAGATTTTCCGAAATTCCAGCCTAATGGCAATCTTCAGCAGACTGTAAACAGGGAGCACTTGAAGGTGCAAGAAAGTAGCATTGCACCTATTTCAGGATCCCGTTGTCCTGATTTTGCCTGCTCTTTGGTAGAAAGTAAGCATAATGAAGCTCAGCTTGCAAACATCCAGGGTTCACCCTCTAGTAGCTCCCATGAACATCAACGGACACGCGGTATAAATGATGCCCCTGGAAGCCAATTGACTCGTGACTTCCAATCCAACGGAGCCACTGATATCAACAAAGAGAAAGCTTCTGAAAGCAAAAGTGAAGTCCACGCACTGGTTCCACACAAAGCACCAAAGGAGTTGGGGATTCTCGATGCTCTTAAGAAAGCGAAGCAATCACTACAACAGCAAATCAACAAGATTCCACCGGCTGTAGTTAGCAGTCCAGTTGGAACTTCGTATGATCTTTCTTCTCTTCTGACAACAGTACCTGGGGACAATATACGCGAAATACCTGTAAGATGTCCTGGACTTTTCAGACTACCTACTGATTTACTGGCACGGGGCAGAAGTGCAGGAAACGACTTCCATTCTCTTGATAAAATATCGAGTCTAGATGCCGAGCTCTTGGGTCCCAGTAGGGCAGACATCCTCAGTGCTCGTGCCAGATCAAGTTTGAAGAACTATCATTCTGGAAAAGATTCAACAAATCCAGAAGCAGCAGTGATTGATCAACTTGTTGCTATGCCGCAGTACTCAGACCCCAAGATGAAGTTTCCTACAGACAACCATTTGCCTACCAGCACACAATATCTTGATGGTGCTTCTATGCAGAGGCAACGGATTGATGAGGCAGGCTTTCCTCCAAGTAGAAGTGTGTACCCTGCATTCCCAGTTAGTCCTGTATATGGTGATCTGATGTTCAGGGTGCCTCCTTCAGAAGGCTTCTCGACATTTCCTGGAGGTAGAACTGCCGACGGGATTCTCACATCCCCAGCTGTCAGTCCTGGGTATGGCGATTTGATGTTGCGCATGTCTCCTTCTGAAGGCTTCTCAACGATTCCTCCAGGTAGAAGATCGACGGATGGGATTCCTCCTCCCGGTCTCGTTTTCCAGTCCCTACACTCCAGATATGTATAGATGATGGAATTCTTTGTGTTTACCATTTTTTAGTTTAGCATTGTTGTGAGCTATGCATGACTGGTGAACAAGAACTTGTTTGTATTCTTGTAGATGTTATACGGCTGTAGTTAGAAGTACTGGTTTAGTGAGCTCTGGCTCCAACTGTTGTACCTTAAAACTGAGTGTAGAAGGGCAATATGTATTCAGGAAATTCAATGGCTAGTAAATAAGGGGTAGGTGGGTAATTGTGATTCTTACAATTTGTGTATAATTGTAAATTGATTTCTTGCTCAAGTGAATGCATTTGAAGATTTCAAAGTATGCTTTGTTGTGATTGTAGTTGTTTTGGTGAAAAGGGTAAAGTCACTTTGCGGTTTGCCTGAATTGTAATTTTCTTTCTAGATAATGAAAGTTGTGTAATAGAAAATGAGATAGTTTCAAGATTGTTAAATCGGTTTATACCGTTACGTCGGTATAGTAAGCGGTATCGATTCGATTGGAGTACAACTAGTTTATATGTCGATTTATGTGGGGTTTTCATAAAACATACGAAGAAGTGGAAAACCTTTTTTGTTTTTGTTTGACTAACGCTAGAAAATCATCGATACTAGAATACTAGATGAATTATACATTTACATAACCTATCTATATTCTTCATTATATTTAAATAAAATATTAAAAATATTAGATTACAAACAAAATTAGATTTCTATTCATCAAGTTTTTTGCCAGTTTTGACTACCGTTTTTCACACTGATAGTGTTCTAACTGATTTGTTTCTCAATATCAATCAAACTCGATAGTACCAACTGTCGATACACTAATGAATTGACAACCATAACAATTTCATTTTAAAACAATTTATATATTAGATACATTCATTAAATAAATCATTGAAATTCGTATTTCTTAAACCACTCCAATTTCTGTCCATATGTTTTTCTACCATTTACTAACTCATCAAACAAGTTACAAATGTGTTTTTTTTTTTTTTTCCTTTGCTCTTTCCGGATGAAAATATAAATTTCCCTCCGGATCCTATCCCAACAACAAGCAAAAACCATGAAAACGGAATCTCAAGTTCTCAGCCACCCAACCCGCACAATTTGGTGCCAAATAGAAAAATCACTCGCAATCCCTCAAACGTCGTTGTCTTCCTCCCGCGAGGAAAAGATTTGGAATTTGAGGTACGCAATGGCGCCGGAGGCAGAGATTACCAAAGACAGAATCCTTCTTTCTGAAAAAAGAAGTGGGGGGCAACGAGGGAAAAGGGAACTCCACAAATAGCCCAATCGAATCCGATTCACTCATCTCTAATCACAATCACAACTACACTTTACTCTCTTCCATTGACTCTTCCTCCCCCCTCAAACCTCCCTCTCCCTCTTTCTCCGCCAACAAAGCTGCTTCGCCAGAAGAGGAAATGTTTGGATTTGGTCTCAGTTGAGAAAAAAAGGGTTCTTCTCGATTCACCCCAAACCGCGGTCAGATTTAGAGAAAATGGCGATCGCAGTCTGTGTGCTGGAACGAACAGTTGTTGTTGCTCCCACCGCTGCTGCTTATTCAATGCGGAACTGGTTCTTTGGGTTGCTGGAGAGGCACTGAGAGTGTGAATTGTGGGACTTTTTTTCACTGACCCTCTTTTGTTTTCTTCTTGCTTGGCGTTTTTCATCTTCGAACAGTTGCCGGGTTGAGGGGAAAGGTCGCTTCTTTACATTCTATATTATATTTCCTCTCGTTTTTTCCCCCGGGAAATAAAATAAAGGGAAAACCCAGAAGAAGAAAAAAAAAAGATGATTACATCTGGGATGAATTTGGTGATGACAGTGATTGGATTTGCAATGAGCACTATGTTCATAGTTTTTGTTTGCACCCGTCTTGTCTGCGCTCGAATTCACTTGAATGCAGCTCGCCGCTCCTTCCCCGTTGCTTCCAGATCCGATCTCAACATTGTGAGCATTTCTGTGACTGTTACTGTTCCTGTTCTTGTACCCATTGGTTCTTTTCTGATTGTATGGAAAATGCACAATCCTCTTTCTTTATTTGTTCATAATACTGTCGGGGATCTGTGTATGGTTTGAACTTTGTTTGGTTATTTAGAGCTATTCTAATAGGGACAAGAACTTCAATCCAATTCTGTGCTCAATTTGGGTTCTCTCTGCTATGATTGACTAGAACGTTGCTGCTCTCAAAATGGGAAACTGGGATTATTGCTGAGCACCCAACTTCTCTTTTAAACCCTCCAATTACTGTCTTCGTTGTTCAAGATCTTGATGTTGTGCTATTGATCTCTCTGCTTTGTAGTTGGAGAGAGGGTATCATCGTGGCATTGAGCCTGTAGTTGTGGCTAACTTCCCAACCAAGGAGTACAACAACGAGTTGTTCTCTGCCACTGAAGACGCGCAGTATGCTCTACTCCTTGTATACTTCACAGTTTAGGTTTAGTTCATGAGCTTTGTGCATGTCTGCAACTTGGTGTTCATGATGCATATGCAAAGAGGGAGAGTTAAGGTCCAAAGGAAAACTTCATCCTTACCAAAACAAAACAAAAAAAAAAAAGGTCCAGAGGAAAAGTTGGGTGTGTCGAAATCCCTTGATAAGATTTTACTTGTTCTATGCACTCTCATCAATATTCCTTTGTCTGTCTGGTGGCACATCTATATGCATAGTGTAAGCTATTGCGTGGAAAAGAAAAAGTTGCAGAATTTTTCTATTCATTTGCTGGTATTTTACTTTCCACTTGCAACAACAATCCACTCATATGCAGAAAAATGGGTTCCTTCTAGCTATGCCGAGTTCCTTTCACTAATGTGTTGACTTTGCATTGTTTGGTTGCTGTAGTAATCTAATGTATAGATAAGTTGCCAACTGCTAGCAGAATATTATGCACTGCCATCTTTCGTTGAGTTTTCAGAATACCATTTGATCTGTCTTGTGATTAATTGAGGAAACCATGCCCATCTAGGAGTCATATTCGGGTTCTTTTAATGTTCTTTATAGAATCCATTAGTGGATTAGTTCATCTTGATCTTGCCTCGGTGTTCCTCGGCAGGTTAACGAGAGATGCAAATTTTTGTTTTTGTCCGTGTGCGCAGATGCTCGATTTGTCTTGCAGAATATCACCAGGGCGACGTCCTGCGCATCCTTCCATACTGCGGGCACTCCTTCCACGTCACCTGCATCGACATATGGCTGCAGCAGCACTCCACGTGCCCCGTATGTCGAATATCACTGCACGAGTTCGTCGAGAGAAAACGGGCAATGCAGCAGCCGTTGTTCAGCTCGGCGATCCGCTCCCAGGATTGGAGGATAGAGGTGGCCTTCGAAGTCCATCCTCACAGCTGTTTGTATACTGAACATAGGTATCCCTCGAACCACAACGACAGCAGCGGGGCAGAGTCAAACCACAACCACAACAACGACAACGACAACAACGAGAGCCACCGGGCCTCTGACTGCGATGAAGCCAAAGCTGGGGAGACTCTGTTGTCCCCATTAGTCGAGGAAAACTGTGGATCCAAGTACGTGGGAAGCAAGCATGTAGAGAGCCCATCAAATCCTTGACGACGTATGATGATTTACTCCGACACTGGAGTGGGGATTATATGCAGTTCCAGCAGAGCTGAAACTCCCTCACAAAATCTGACACAAGAGAATCAAAGGAACAAAACAATTGCCGTGGAATTTTGTGAGGGGAGTTCCAATGTGTGATAGAAATTTGTATATATGTAAAGGGTGAGATTTGAGAAGAGGATTCCCTTGTGATTTTGAGAATATATGGTTTCCTATGATTCTTCACATTATGCATTTCAGCTCTTATCACCCTAATCGCTAAGAAAACATTGTAGGATCTCTATGCTTTCAACTTTCATCAACAATCAATTTCTCGAACCTAGCATCTGAAAGCTATAGCTCAAATTCTAATAAATAAAGAAAGCCACAAAACTTAACACAAACGACCGCATAGCGCAGTGGATTAGCGCGTTTGACTTCGGATCAAAAGGTCGTGGGTTCGACTCCCACTGTGGTCGATTTTTTTTTTCCCCCCATTTCTCTTCTTACTGTTGCATCGTTTTTCTTTTTTTCCCTATCACTCTGTTTTCTTCTCCTTTCTTTCGTTCAATCGAAAACAACAATGTTCCGCTCCGCCTTCCTCTCGCCACCGTCAAATTGCATCATCTCCTCGATCTCAATCCCTTCAACTCCACACCGCCGCCGCCACCACTTCCCTTCTCCTCCTGCGTCCATTCTCCCGCTTCCACCTCCTCCTCCAACTCCCCTTTTCAAATCCCACTCCCCGCTACACCGGCCACGGCCAATCGCTTGCGCCGCCGCCAACCGAGACGGCGACAACGACGACATCGACCAGGTGCGGGAGGATAAGCAAAACCCTAGCTCCGACGATGGTAACAGCAAAAGCAAGAAGAATGGCGGCGGCGGCGATTTGGGGGAAGAGGGTGGTAGCGGACGGCGACCCCCTTTCCTATCCAACGTCAACTGGGTAAGTCTGCTGCTGGACCCAGATCCCGACAACGTGGTCGCCGTCGGATTGACCGGATTGCTCACCTGGGCCAGCGTCTCGGTGCTCTGGCAGCTCTTCACCATTTCGCTCGCCATCCTCGTTGCTGCTCTCAAGTACTCCTTCATCGCTGCTCTCCTCATTTTCATCCTCATCACCCTTCTCTAGCCGCCTCTAGTCTCCATTGTACATTCTTCTGAATACTGCAAACTCGATTGTTTCAATTGTATGATTATGGGTTTGGGCTACTGCTTGATTCGGTGTGAATGTGGGAATTGAACTATTTTAAGCACAACCAGTTCTGCTGGTATTTTGTTCTTCCAATTTCCAGTCTTTGGACCTCGGCTAATACAAAGTAGCTATCTTGACCCACTCATTGTCGCCAAGCACAAAGCACTTTTGAGTCTTTCACTTGATCTATGATACCTATATATACAATTAGTTAGCTGCTGCTACTGCTGAGAAGAGAGAATTCACAAGTGTGACCATCCTCAATCAAAACTCCCCATGGTGCCTCCTGCAACATATGACTGCACTAATTGAACAGTAATCCGCAGCAGCAGATCATCCAATTGGTCCGGTCCGCAAGTGAGCTCCCAGGCTTCATGTATTGTTTATGTTCTTGGAATAGGACACTTACTTCAAGCTGCAATTTTTTGAGCTACTCTGATTCTGGTAGATGAAGACACAGTTGCAGATGAAGTTTCTTTTGCGGTCGAAAGTGTCAAGTGACAACAGTTGAGACACGGAGCTTCTGATCAGTTTCTACTATGTATGAGAATGAAGAACGTTGAGAGTTGTCACTGCAGTCACAATCAGACTTGTCTGACTATTGAGCAAGAGCATGGCATTTTGCATTCCAATGGCTATATAAGATGGAAGAATAATCATGGTCGTTATCCACTTACTTGGCTAAGCAGGCTGCAATTTTATGGTGAATTATGTTCTAACAACTATTATGCTCAGTGGATTATGTATCAGCTAGTCCAATGCAGGAGTTCCTTGATCTTTATTTCTCTACTTCTGCCACCACCTTGAGTTGCAAGCAAAACCTTTTCCCTTAACTTGTAACATAGATGATGCAGGTAAGAGCTGTCTTCTTCTATTTGTGTACTCAGAAACATGTGGTGTTCAACAAATTGGTTAGGTATGCTTAATGATTATGTATCAGCTAGTAAAAGGATTGTTTTGCAAAGTTGTCTACAGTTCTGCAGTATACCAAACCAATCTTAGGTCTTAGGTCTCTTTTGACCCCTTTTTTCCTATTTCTTCTTTTGGCCCACACACATAAAAAAGATAGAAACTCTCTTACTCTGCCACCAACACCAAACCAATCTGTTACGTTACATCCCAACTTTTCACTTTTAGGTTTTCCTTGTACAAATCAAATAAACGCCACCACTTTCTTTCTTTCTTTCTTATAGTCGTTCTTTCCAACCTTTCTCTGTATGGCCGTCGAGGAAGCTTGAGGCGAGAATCGTGGTACAGAGGCTGGAAGGGCTGAAGAAAGTTGATGATCCAGTGGAGAAGATAAAGAAGAGGTTGGTGGTTGAGGTGAAATGGAAAGGCGTAAAGGGGATTGCTTGGAGGACGTTGAGGCGGAACAGGGTTGCGGGGAGGAATTTGACTCAGAAATGTGTGGGGTTTCGCGGTGATGGTGATTAGGTTGGTTGTTTCCAATGGAATGAGGATTTCACAAATGTTTGCAGCTTTTCAGGTCAAAGAGAGGGCCTGTTTCTACTCTGGGAGGTTGCTATTACTGTTTTCCATGTGAGTAGTTATTATTATACTAAGAACAGCAGCAGATTTATGATATGTTTCTTTGCTGATAATTCATGTTCTTCACTTTCTGAACTCCCTCATCATCTGTTTCCTGCTCTAGGGAAAGCTAGCTTTGGATTCTGTTTCCTCTTATTATTTGATTGATTCATTTTGATAAAGGTTTCCAATGGGTTCTTGCCGTTGTTTCCTCTGAGGAAATGGTTGATCCCCACCCCAGCTAAGAGTTTGCTTGTAACTAGATAACACATTGTGAAGGTTCTTTCTTTGTTCTGGTTTTGCTTCCCTATTCTAGTGTTTCAGTTTGTTCAACTTCTCTAGGCAATTATTATTTCTGACATTTATGTTGGGCATTAAGCTTCCTGGTATGAATGGCATGTCTGTCTGTCCATTTCCTGGGGGTCAACCCTCCTTTTTCAATGCAAATTTGGCATGCATATCATGAATGAACTGCATTTACAATAAGGTGGGGAACTCTACAAAAAGAAGAAGAAAAAATAGCAAGGATAAGATCAAAACAAAGGATATGAACATAGTGGAGTAATAAGCTTTGCAGAATATGAGCGTTTCACATGTGACAATCACTAGCCACATATCATTCTTGAGGGCTCCCTGCCCTGGAATTCCTCTTCACTTTCTTTCTTTCTTCTCTCTCTCTTCAATGGCCCACAAATGCAGTATTTGTCCAACTCTCTAAAGTCAACTCTCTTTTTTTTTTAAATCTTTTTGTCTCGTCATGGTTAACTGAGTGATTGAGTGGTTCCCCTTTTTTATTTACTGCAATAATGCGATTAACAGTTCCTTGCCTTGTGATGGGGCTGCTGATTCAGGTTGCCAGTGAAGAATTATCAGATAACAAAGTCCAGGCCACTGGGGACTGCTGTGATAAAACCTTGCAGATTTAGTTTCAATAGCCACTGATAAAGTGCTTCAGATTGATTTACCTCTTGACACCTCCTACTGCCACTCCTCAAGGGAGTGCTGGTCTTTTGCTTCATGTAAGTTCTTCTGAAATGAGCTTGTTTTTTCCAGTTTCCACCTGAACTCCAAGAATGATCCTTATGTTGCGAAAAATATCATTCGACTGCAATGCAGATATCTCTTGCAAGGCGGCGGCAAGAAGATTAGATGAAGCGTTCCTTTTGGTGAAGAGACCACCATTGCTGATGCAGCAGCAGCAGCAAATAACATCTACTCCGACGGAGGAGAGTCCTTCTGGAGGCGGAGTTACCAACATCATTAGCTCTCCCTGTCGTTGCTTAGAACACACACAAGCTCAAAGAGCTCTGCTAGTTTTAATCGCCCTTGTTCTTTGGATTCTTTTTTTCTTCTCTTATGTGGCTGAGATGAATAAATTGGCAACGGCATTATCAATATGGAATGATTCGATGCATCCAAAGGTGGATCTTGGATACTTTGTAATTAACTTCAACTGCAAGCAACTTGATCGCATTGAAAAACTCTTTACCTTCAACTGACTCTTCGAAGATGAACTCGGGGTAAATTCGAGCAGCTTTTTTTTCCGTTCATGAAGACACAAATCCGAGTTTTTCCTGTTCTACTCATTTTCGTCATATGCGTAGCTTGTCGTTTGGACATTTTCACGGAACCTCTCTTGAAATAGTCATGAATTTCCTGACGTGACTTCAACATGTGATGAGTGACGAATGATCGACTTCTCTCTCAACCACCTACCTATGTATTTTCGCGGTGCATCGGAGTTGGTACGAAGGTTGGATAAAAGTAGAAGGACTGTTTTGCAAAGTTGCCAAAAGTTATGCAGTATACCTACCAGCGCAAAAGAAATAAGAGACGTTAGGGATTTAGCGTTAGTCGTTAGGTATTGTTATTGACCCATTTTTTTTCCCCCTTTTTCTCCTTCATTATCCAAAGCTTCTTTTTTTTCATTTAGAAGTCCCATTCATGGCCGCTCTCTTGCCTGTCTTTCTCTGCATCTCTCACGCGTTCGATTGCAAAATAAAAAAAGAACAGCAATTGCCATTTTCTGCCTCTCCCTCCATTTCTGTGAAGACCAACTAGACGCTGAGCATCTTCAGAAACCGTCTCTACGGCAGATCAACATACAGATCTAGAAGGAAGGTTACAGAAGAATCATCGATTTTTCAGGGGGAAAAAATCTTCACATTCGGTGACCGTAGAAGGGATTTCTTCTCGCGACGATCCGGGAGTGAGCTTAGTACGATTCTTTGGAGAGGAGGAGAAAAAATAGGAAAGTTATCCGGATCTGGATAACCTTTGGATCTGGATCTGGAAGATCGCTGGCAGGGGTTAGCGCAGATTCCGCAGAGTATTTACCGCCGATCGATCTTTCCAAATCTGTAGGAGATTGAGGGGGTTTTTTTTATGGTTCAAGTTTGAGGGCTTCTTCCTCGAATTCGTTCCCCCGTGTCCAAATTTGAAAGGGTTGTTAGGGGAATCGTCAATCTCATCTCCTCCAAATTAGTTTCTCTGCCCTTTGCAAAGGATCCACGTCGTTACCCAGGTTGACTTTCTTCTTCCTTTCTTTCTCTGTGAGGGAAAAGATCAAAATTTTCGGGGCAGGGGGAGGAGAACAAATGGTGGTGAAGATGATGAGGTGGCCGACCTGGCCGTCGAGGAAGCTTGAGGCGAGAATCGTGGTACAGAGGCTGGAAGGGCTGAAGAAGGATGGTGATCAAGTGGAGGAGAAAAAGGAGAGGAGGTTGGTGGTTGAGGTGAAGTGGAAAGGTGAAAAGGGGATTGCTTTGAGGCCGTTGAGGAGGAAGAGGGCTGTGAAGAGGAATTTGACTCAGGAATGTGTGGGGTTTTGCGCTGATGATGATGATGGAGTTGGTTGTTTCCAATGGAATGAGGATTTCACAAATGTTTGCAGCTTTTCAGGTCAAAGAGAGGGCCTGTTTCTCCCCTGGGAGGTTGCTCTTACTGTTTTCAATGTGAGTAGTTATATATATCAAATTTCTGAGATGTTTCTTTGCTGGTCATGCATGTTCCTCATTCTCTGAACTCCCTGATTATCTGTTTCATGATCTAGGGAAAGCTAGCTTTGGATTTTGTTTCCTCTTCTTCCTTGATTTATTCATTTTGGATGACAAGTTTCCAATGTGTTCTTGCCATAGTTGACCTGACATATTGAGGAAACGGTTGATCCCCACCCCAGATAAGAGTTGACTTGCAATTAGATAACAATTTTCCCTATATTATTGTTTTAGTTTGTTCAAGTTCTCTGAGCCTCTGACATTTATGCTGGGCATAAAGCTTCCTGGTATGAGTGGCATGTATGTCTGTCCATTTCGTGGGGGTCAACTCTCCTTTCTCAATGCATTTAGGAACTGTACAAAAAGAAGAAGAAACAGAAAGGAAGGAGACAATCAAAACATAGAATATGGATATGGTGATAGTTATTCAATTCAATTGGACAAAATCTGGTAAATGTCAGGAATGTTTTCTTTTTGTTAAGAGTAGTATTGTATAGTAATAAGCTTCACAGAGAGTGAGTGTTGCTGTGAGCCTCCTGTCACCTGCTCGTTTCACAGGTGACAATTACTGGCACATAGTCTTAAGGGCTCCCTGGAATTCTTCACTCCCTTTCACTCTGTCTCTCTTCCATGGCCCCTCAAATACAAAATTCTCTCCCACTCTAAACTCTTGTTATTTTAGTTTTTGCCTCTTCGTGGTTCCACCTTTTTATTTACTGCAATAATGTGATAAGCAGTTCACTGCCTAAGCCTAATAATGGGGCGGTCGATTCAGGTTACCAGCGAAGAAGGATTAGAGAACAAATTCCAGGCCACTGGGACTGCTGTGATTAACCTTGCAGAATTTGTTTCAACAACGACTGACACAGAGCTTCAAATTCATTTACCTCTAACACCTCCTACTGCCTCTCCTCCTCAAGGGACTAGTAGTCTTTTGCTTCATGTAAGTTCTTCAGAAATGAGCTTGTTATCATTTTAGAACCCAGTTTAGCATCTGTTCCAGTTTCCACCAAAACTCCAGGAATGATACTTATATATGTTTTTGTTTGACCACAATGCAGATAACTCTTGGGTTGACAGAGCTCAGAACGATCGGGCCTCCATTACAACAAGATCAAAGAACAATGGTGCCTCTTGAAAGGACACTCTCTTGTATGTCATCCTCAGGACACACTGAAGAGCTTACTGGTCTGAGAGCCCGGCTCAGAAATGTCAGGCTCTTGCAAAGTGGCGGCAAGAAGAAGCATTCATTTGGTGAAGAGACCACCGATAGTGATGCGGCAGCAGCAAATAACATATACTCTGAAGGAGGAGAGTCCTTCCGGAATGATGAAGCAGCTGCTGCTGGTTTAGAATTTGAGGCAATGGCTGATGACGGTTCTCAGCCATCACTGAATTATGCAGTAGCATTGGCCTATACTAATTTTGCTCAAGGGTCAGCTTTGACGAACATTATGAGTGGTGGTGAAGGTGAGGAATGGTCGGAGTGGATATATTTCAACAACAGAAAGCTAGATGATGGAGGTGGTTCCTTTCAATCTGAGCAATCACCAGCTGAATTTATCTTCCAAGAACATCCTTTGAAGGAGAGGCTGAAGTCTAGACTCTTCTTGCCTTGGAGGAAAAGGAAACTCGGGTTTGGATCTTCCAAGGTCAGAGTTAAAGGAGAACCTCTTCTGAAGAAGCATTATGGGGAAGAAGGTGGAGATGACATTGATTTCGATCGCAGACAGTTGAGCTCCTCATCATCTGACGAATCTAACTTCGGGGTATGTGGATCTTTTTTATTGTTGTTTTTATTTTGCGTCAAGGGTGATTGAAATTCATTTCAAGCTAACGCGAGAGCCTTCTTCTGTTATTTTTTTTCTGGCAGGGGAGAAAATCAGAAGAATGTTCCACCACAAGCAGATCATCCTTCTCTGAATTTGGAGATAACGGCTGTTTCTCTGTAGGCAGCTGGGAAACAAAAGAAGTAGTGAGTCGAGATGGTAAAATGAAGCTCCAAACACAGGTCTTCTTTGCATCAATTGATCAAAGGCATGAGCGGGCTGCAGGAGAGAGTGCTTGCACAGCCCTGGTTGCCATCATTGCTAACTGGTTGCAGTCCAACCAATATGAAGAAGCCCCGATCAAGTCGGTGTTTGATGACCTGATCAGGGATGGATCACTGCAATGGAGAAACCTTTGTGAGAATGAAGAGTACAGACAACGGTTTCCTGACAAACACTTTGATCTAGAGACTGTCCTTCGGGCTAATATATGTCCGCTCACTGTAGTACCAGAGAAGTCCTTCATAGGGTTTTTCCATCCAGAAGAGATTGAGGAGGGAGCAGCAGAGAATTTCAACTTCCTTCATGGCGCCATGTCCTTTGACAGCATCTGGGAGGAAATCAGCCGTAACAACAGCTCACCTGCTTCTGGTGAGCTTTTTGTCTACATTGTGAGCTGGAATGACCATTTCTTCATCCTAAAGGTGGACCAAGATGCATATTACATCATAGACACTCTTGGGGAACGCCTTTTTGAAGGATGCAATCAGGCATATATCTTGAAGTTTGACAAGGACACGACAATCGAGCTTCTTCCAAAACCAGCCGAATCTTCATCAGATGAAAATTCCACCACCAAGGACAAGGCACAAGCAACAAACAGCAGCAACTCGCACGGAGAGAAAAGTGCAGAAGCTCAATTGACCATTGCAGCTAACTTAAGTGACACGGATAATTCTGAGACGGAAGAGAAAATTTTGTGGCGAGGAAAGGAGGCCTGCAAGGAGTATATTAAGAGCTTCCTTGCAGCCATTCCGATCAGGGAGTTGCAGGCAGATCTCAAGAAAGGGTTGATGGCGTCTACCCCTCTCCATCACCGCCTTCAGGTCGAGTTCCACTACACCCAACTCACAACTAACACAGGCGGCTGCAGTTGAAATTCTCGCGCGACTGTTAGCACGAAGGATAGCGAGCTTCCAGCATATCATTAGCACTGGCTGTCGCTGTTGCTTAGAACATAACTCAGGTCGATCCTCTGCTGAGCTTAAAGATCTCTGCTAGTTTTAATAACCTCTTTTGTTTTTTGTTTTTGCTTTTTTTTTTTTTTTTTTGGTGTGTGATAAATCAGAAATGGTTCATCAAAGTTGGGTGATTGAATGTATCTGAGGGAGGAGCTTGGATACTTTGTAATTAAAATTCAACCACGAGCAACTGAGTGCAGTTCTAAAGCATCATAAGATTTGTTACTGATCCGAATACCTACTGTCCAAAAATTTCATGTGCAGTAATCCACTTCGATCACAGTTGACTCTATCTTTCACTGATCTATTTTTAATTTATTATGACGAAGCATGTTCGTGAATTTTATTTGCACGATTGTGAACTCTTTTTTTATGTCGTGAGCATGTTGCACGATCACGACCTTTTAGAACTGGTCGTAACTTTCCAAGACCGATTCCAGATAGATCAATTATCAATTTTCACCTCAACATCGAGTAGGTTAAAAACTCGTCACCGGAGGGCTCGAGACCGGTCGAAAATCCGTCTCGAGCTCCCCGGTGACAGGTTTTGAAAATTGGGCCAAAACTGTAGTGGAGTGGTAGTTAGGGGAGTTTTGGCCAAAAATTGTAGTGCCTCCTATATTTGACTATCGTAGTTTTTTTTTTAGTTTTCCTCTCTCTCTTTTTTTTTTTTTTTTTTTTTGCTATAAAATATTTGACTAATATTTTAGTATTTAGTGCGGGCTTCTTCATCTTCTCCAGACCAGACGCCATTCCTCGAACAAGCCCGTCACCAACCATGGCTCAACGTCTTCATTTCTCCTCTTCCTCGCGTCCGTCGCCGTCTCTTCCGACTCCGAATCCGGTCGCCGCTTCGTCCAAGCCCAATCGACTAGCGTTCAATTTCAGCTTCCTCCCTCATCCCACCACTCCCACTCGTCTCTGCTTCGGCACCACCAACCGCCGCCGCCTCACCGTCAGGCCTCTGGCGGCGACGGCCCTCCCCACAGTTGCTTCCGACGAGAGTGCCGGCGGTCCGGGGAAGAAGCCGTTGCTCGAAGTCAGAGATTTGAAGGCCGTGATTGCCGAAACGGGACAGGAGATTCTCAAGGGCGTCAACCTAGTCGTGAATGAAGGAGAGGTAATATTGACTTTGATAGTCTGTAGTATATGATTCCATCAGTTTCTGGAATTTTGGGTCTCCTTGTTGCATTCGACTTATAAATTTTTTCTATCTTTTGCGGGGCGAGGGAATAGGTCCATGCTATAATGGGCAAAAATGGTTCTGGGAAAAGCACATTCTCAAAGGTTAGTGTGTCATCTCAAGCGATAGTTTTGGCTGCTAACCTTGCTTTTGCTTAGATGGTTTGTTAGTTTGGGCTGCCATGATTGTTTAACTGGCACCAGTTGTGGGAATGCTATTGAGAAATTATACGTGATGTGAATGCTATTGATTCGATTTGTGGGTGGTGCTTTGTTCATGAATCTTAAATGCACTTTTCTTAGGTTCTTGTTGGCCATCCACATTATGAAGTTACCGGAGGTAGCGTTGTCTTTAAAGGGGAGAACTTGCTTGACATGGAGCCGGAGGACAGGTCCCTTGCAGGGCTTTTTATGAGCTTTCAGTCCCCAGTAGAAATCCCTGGTGTCAGCAATAGCGACTTCCTAAATATGGCTTACAATGCTCGAAGAAGAAAACTAGGTCTTCCCGAGCTTGGACCAATTGAGGTATCATTCCCTTTTCTGATTTGCCTGCCGAAGTGTCTTTTCCTTTGAATTTTGCTGTGCTTTTGTTTCTCCACCGGTATCTAGGGGACTGGGTTCTGAATTTTTTTTCTTTGTTAATGTATGTCATGGCATCTGCAAACATGAAACCTCTTATTTTGATAGAGGTTACAGACAAGCAATCCATTCAGTAACCATTTCCGTTTCCCATTTTTATGCCATGGCTCATGTTGACATTCATAGCCCAAAAGTTTCTTCCTGCTGAGTATGCATGTAAGAAAGCGAAAGCAATATCTGGATATACTTGTTAGTTTGTTAAACTAACTGTTGATCTATCTTTTTTATCGGCAGTTCTATGCGTACCTGTTTCCCAAGCTTGAGCTTGTGAACATGAAAAGTGATTTTCTAAATAGAAATGTTAACGAAGGGTTCAGCGGTGGTGAAAGGAAAAGGAACGAGATTCTACAGCTCGCGGTAATGTTTCGTATCTAAATCTGCGTTCTGCTGATCTAAGTTCTATGTTATCGAGTTTCTTTGGTAAAAGTTTGCAAGGTTAGGAACTTAGGCTTCCTTCTTTTTTATTATATACTTGATATGACATAACTTTTGTGTAAGATGCTCTTAGAGTACCCCTGGTGCGTGGCTTTACATAGCCTAGGAGATTTGTGCATTCGAATTGGAACTGTAGAACAATTGCTTCTCCTGCGATGTATTCTGACATCATTATAGAACTAACGCAAGATTCCTTACCGAGCAAACTGGGTAGTTCATGATTGAACTATTAACGAGCAGCAGCAGTTCCCTGTTCATAAATATTCGGATGTCATGTTTAGCATATGGGGTGCTGATCTGCATTATCACACATAGTACATTTGCATTTTACTCATTTATTTGCTTTGCTTGTGTGTCTCTTATGCTTCATCGAATCATCTTTGTCTAATTTGCCAATGCCATGCCTGCATATTTCAGGTTCTGGAAGCAGATTTGTCCGTCTTAGATGAGATTGATTCTGGTCTGGATGTCGATGCTCTCCAAGATGTTGCGAAAGCAGTAAATGGACTCTTGACGCCTAAGAAGTCTGTTTTGATGGTTACACATTATCGACGGCTTTTGGAATTCATCCAGCCTTCCTTCGTCCATATCATGGTATCCCGTTCATTCATATAGTTCTGTTTAATAGTGGTTGTGTTTCTTCTAAAGTCACCTGCATCCTGTGGATCAGTTTCTTTATCATGTGTCTTCTATGCTTCTAGCTAATTCTGTCCCCTGGTACGGTATTTTGTAGGAGGATGGAAGAATTATAAGGACTGGGGATATGAACATAGTAAGTCTTCTTGAGAAGGAAGGTTATAAAGCAATGTCTACATCCTGAATAGTTTGGTGAAGCATCTATTATCCAGTCAACAACACTGGTGCTATTAAATTTTGAGTCGAACCCGTCGTTTAATCAAAGGGCTACTCATTTTTGTCAAGACTGGATGAAGCATCTATCATCCAATGTCATTCCTTTCTCTGTGTATTGAGGAACAGTTATTTCCATGTAGAAATGGATACCAGGAGTAGGCTTGACCCTCAGCTGAATCAGCTCTCTCTTGAACTTCTCTATCGAGCCATTGTTTTGTATAGAACTATATAGCTCTGCTACTGTCGACGACTAATCAATAGCCAACAATGTTTTTCGCTTGTTGATCAGCAAAACTACGAGTCGGTAACTTGGTCCATTCTATACAACTTAGGCAACACAGTTCATCGAACAGACACCAAACTAACTAAGCAATAGGAGATCGCACAAGGAATTTAACAACACTGAAACCATGCACAAGGATTCCATACTTAACTAACCTAAACCAAAATTTCCATAGCCGCATTTGATTTTCTCAAGATAGAAACAGCCGGTGGTGATGAAGCTGCAGGAAGCATGTCAGTTCCGCAATCGTGAATTTTGGAGCCTACCATGTTGTATGATTGTATCTAGTTACTCGTCTGTAACGCACCCTCTGGCAGCCGACTGGACGTTCTTGATGTACTGGGAACATGAAAAGAAAAGTGATGCAGTTCTTAGTAAAAGCATGCAGATAAAAGACCATACAGTATTTCCTTTTATTTTGGTTCTTGGTTATTTTACCTTGTAGAGAACCCCAGAGGTAGCCTTGTACGGGGGCGGAGTCCAAGTCTTTCTCCTCAGTTCCATCTCCTCGTCGGTTACTTCAACATCTATTCTCCTTTCTTTCACATCGATTGTGATTACGTCTCCGTTTCTAACGAGACCAATGGGACCACCTTCCTGTATATCATTTTGCCAGAATGTATTAGCTAACACTCCTAGTGGTGTTTATAAGTGCGTTCATCAAGCTACATAAGAGACGAGGTGCCAAGCTCTTTGAAACCATGTAAGCATTTAGCAAGAACATTCAGGGAGAGACAAACAAAAGGAGCATTTTGTTTGCTTAAACATTCTTACATTTGAATTGGATTGAACAATGAATATGAAAAGATTGGAAAGACAAGCAACGTAAGCAATCAGAAGGAAAGATATTAGTGAAGGTGTGCAGACCTGTGCTTCAGGGCATATGTGGCCGACGACAAATCCATGTGAACCACCCGAAAATCTCCCGTCAGTTAATAATGCACAATCCTGTGTTATCCCAACAGGAATAATATATTTGAGTTCATCTGGAGGCTGTTAATCAAGAACAATAAAAAAAATTCACAGCAACAAACCTTCCCAAGACCAGCTCCCATTATTGCACTAGTTGGTGTTAGCATTTCTGGCATGCCAGGACCGCCCTTGGGTCCCTCTCCTCTAATGACCACCACTTTCCCCTGGTAAACAATGGAGATGGCAAGTATTAGGATCGGTTCAGCGCTTTAGTTGTGGGTAGTTGCTATTACTTGTAACAAAACCTAAGATCCTCACAGAATCCTTTTTTTTTTTTTTGGGTAGAACACAGAATCCTTAGTTTGACTTGACTTAATCTTATGATTAACGAGACAGCATCTGTCATTTCTGAAAACAGCTAAGAACAGAAATCTGAAAGTTCCCTGGGGGGGATAACATGCTTACTTTAAAGCTCATAGGATCTTCAGAGATAGCCTTCATCATAGATTCTTCCCCTTCGAAAACGAGTGCGGGACCTGGAAAATTTTACTTCAGTACAGTCCTTGAAATGGGTCATTCAATAACAATACATAATAGCATGAAATTTTAAATGAAAAGATCACCAGAGAAATAAAGCCCTTCTTTTCCTGTAATTTTTGCTACCGAACCATCTGGTGCAAGGTTTCCACGTAATACTTGGAGGTGACCTGTCTTCTTGATGGGGTTGTCAGCAGATCTTATGATTTCCTGCAACATTAGATATATGAAAAAACCTTCACAATCTATTCAGCTACCACCGATGCACAGCCACAGAAATAGTACAGGAAAGAAAACTAAAATCTCACCTGACCCTCTGACAAAGGAGGACAGGGTTTCAGATTTTCAGCCAACGTCTTCCCAGTCACTGATGGAAAATTTCAACATGTTACATAGCATTAATAGAACTCCTCCATTAAATCGGTACTATTGCAGAAATAACCGCATAAACAATGTTCAGCTTACCAGTCAAGCAATCTGCATCTAAAAAGCCCAGTTCCAAGAGATAGCGGAGTACCGCAGGTGTTCCTCCAATCTGTAAAAGTAAAATGCATTTGAACATCAAGATGAAAAAATGGTCAGAAGATGAAGTAAAGCAACAATAGGCAATGGCATGAGACACAGCCGATATATTTTGATAAAAGCACAATCCTATATAAAGTAATACCTTGTGAAGATCCTCCATAACATACTTCCCACTGGGTTTTAGATCAGCAAGGAATGGAACCTCATCACTGACCTTCTGGAAGTCATCCAGTGTCAGCTCCAAACCAACAGACCTGCCAAGCTTAAGTGAGCAACCAACAGTTCCTAATGAAATAAAATTCCCAAGAGTCTGATTCGTCCAAACAAGCAATTCTCCTAACCTTGCAATCGCAATCAAATGCAACACGGCATTGGTAGATCCACCTAGTGCCATGACAGTAACCATTGCATTACGTAGTGAGGCAGGAGTTATGATGTCCCGCGGTTTCAGGTCCATCTTAAGTAACTCTAAAAGGTATTTTCCAGCCAACCGACATTCATCCAGCTTCAAATCACTTTCAGCAGGGAGTGAAGAGCTGAACCAGAAAAAAGAAACAAAAAACATATAAGATAAGAAAGTAATAACACCAAAGCGAGAAATAAACAATTTAGTGTACAAGGCATGAACCTGTATGGAAGAGACATTCCCATGGCTTCAATAGCCGAAGCCATTGTATTGGCGGTATACATTCCACCACAGGCACCAGCACCAGGACAGGAATTCCGCAATACTTCTTTCCTCTGCTCGTCACTTATAGCTCCACTAACATATTCGCCATAAACCTACAACAGAAACAATGTTAGAAGAAGTAAAAAAAGGGAAAATAAAGACGTAAGAACCTGGAACAAAGTACTACCATACCAATACATATTTTTTCTACACATTGCACAAATATACATCAACGAGCAAAGATCATATGATACTCATACCTGAAATGCAGATACTATATCATAGGTATGACCATTGAAATGGCCAGGCTGCAAAATACATGGTGTAAGCAAGTGTTTGTAAAAAAAGTTGATAAACATATGAAACCAAGCTTGCGACTGGAAGCGGAAATGGACAGAAAGAGAGAACCGTGTCTAACCTTTATAGATCCACCATACACCATGATGCTAGGCCTATTAAGCCTTCCCATTGCAATAATTGTACCTGGCATCTGCCGAACATGTACCAAAACAAAATAAATTAAGTTCCAGAACCGTCAAATTCCATAACAGGAGCAGCAAGCTTCATTCTAGATACCCCCTTAATCACCTGGTGAGACTACCTACTAAAACAGAACACCGAAAGAAAGGGAAAGCTTCACTCTAAACAACAGTTTGATAACACAAGCTTCTGTTCATATTTGGTTCAATCAACAGCCCACAATAAGAATCTTTTAACAACTGAAAGCTACAGAAAGGAGAGTCACCCAGCTCAATTCAATCAAACACACCCAGAGAAAGCAACCACCAACAGAAACCCAAATTTTAACAAGCGAAGATCAAGACTCACATTCTTGTCACAGCCAGGAATGGAGATATTCCCATCGTACCACTGCGCACTCATGACGGTCTCGATGCTATCCGCGATCAAGTCCCTGCTCTGCAAGCTGTAACACATCCCTCTCGTCCCCATCGAGATGGCATCGCTCACTCCGATCGTATTAAACCTGAACCCAACCAATCCAGCCTCCTGAACCCCTTGCTTCACTGCCTCGGAGAGCTTCAGCAAGTGCATGTTGCAGGTATTCCCTTCGTACCAAACCGACGAGATACCCACCTGGGGCTTGGTCAGATCTTCGTCGGAGAGACCCACTCCATGGAGGATGGCCTGGGACCCGCCCTGCGACTTGGGTTCCGTCACCTGGGCGCTGTACTTGTTGAGCTTCTGGGTCACGGCGGACGGCGGCGAGGCGACGGCGGGCGGGGATTGGGCTGTGATCCGGACGGCGGCGGGACGGCGGAGCCGCGTGGCGGGCGATGAGAGAGGGCATGGCAGGGAGACGAAGGTTGATTGCATAGTGGAGGAGGGAGAAGCGGCGGCGTGTGGCGGAGCGGGAGGAGAAATGTGGGGGAAAGGGGGAAAACAAGTGAAGTGGAAACGGTAGTGTTGTGAAAAAATGAACGCCAAGTAAGAAAGAAGTAGGTGGGCTGATAAAATGCGGCGAGGTGCACGTGAAAGTATATGAGAACAGAGGGGTTTTGGTTGGTGACTTGGTCCAACCGGTTTTTATCCGACTATGGGTTTTAAGGGTTTTATATAAATTAACAAAAATAAGGAAAACAAGTAGGTTAATAGTATTTTGCGGTTTTCATTCGGTGGCGTTTTGCGGTTCCACATACCATTTGTTTGTTAATATTAGGGGTGGCGGTTCGGTTGTCGGTTAGCGGCTAACCAGTCGGTTTGACCGATAACCGCCGGTTAGCGGCTAACCGAAAATCGCTCTTTACTTGTAGCCGTCGGTTGCCGGAAGGGCTGAGGGGTGCTTCGGTTAACCGACTAACCGGAAACCAGTTACGCGGCTAGCCGAAGGTAACCGACCTCCGCGCCTGCTGCTCCAAAACGACCCCGCTTCCATTCCCAGAACCTCTCCCCCAACACAAACGAAACCTAACCCCTTCCCCGAAAACCCTAATTCCCAAAACAAAAATCTCCCCTTCCTTTCTCCCCGCACCGCGCCGCCTCTCCGGATCTCCCCGCGTCGCGCCTCTTCGGATCTCCCCCCATCGCGCCGCTTCCGACACAAGATTGCCGGCCATCCTCCCCGCCTCTGCTTCCTTCATCTCCGCCATCGTCGTCGAGAGCAGGCTGGCCGGCACTCCGAGACGTTTCCTTCTCCTTCCCCTTGTTCGCCACCACCATCGTCGTCAGCACTCAAACCTCTTTTCCTCCTTCTCCTCTGTTCTCTCTACGAAACGAACCAGAGACCCAAAAACCATTCCTTCCCTCTCCGCCATGCCTTCTGAAATCAGAAATCCTCCTCCCTCGATTTACTTTCTTCTTCTTTCCAAGAAACAAGAGGGGAAAATCACTTCCCATGATCCCATCTATCGTTCCACTTCGGAATCAGGCAAGATCCCAGCCTATAATACGTCGTTGGAGTGTCGGCCAGCCTCCAAATCGATGGTAAGTGGTCGATTATGGTTTTGCATGTGTTGATTTTCTGGGTTTTTGCTGGGATTTTGACCCCTTGTCTGGGTTTTGGTTTTTGGTTTCGGGCGAAGAGAGAAGGAAACGGCTCGGCGGCGGTCGTGACCAGATCGGGGGAGACGCAGGCGAGACACAAGAGCGCCTTCTTCTCTTCCATTACAGGCGGCGAGAAAGTGGAGGAGAGAGTCTCAACTCTCAACATATCTAAAATGGAGGAGAGAGAATGAAGGAGAAAGTGGGCAGGCATAGAAAGTGGAGAAAGTGGGCAGGTTTTTCGGTTGGCCGGCTAACCAAGCCTTAAACCAAAACCGACTGGTCGGTTGGGCGACTAACCGTGATTTCCTTACGGTCGGTGGTCGGTAGCCATATTGGTGGCCCGGTTTAACCGATAACCGATAATTTGGTTTTCGGTTAAACCGAAACCGACTGACACCCCTAGTTAATATTGCAGGTGTTCTTCCTGCCAAGTTGGTAACGGTTTGCTTCCCTGTTTCAATTTCAGCATGGTTAGTCCCATTATTTTTCTTTCATTGGATAGAAATCATGGATATTGCCCATGTCGTATAGGTATAAAGAGTTGCCCGTTGTGTGACGAAAAGGCTCTCTTATCGATGGTTCGGCTATTTGTCGACCGTCGTCCCTTTCTCTTATATGTATTATTTTTGGTTGCCTGAAAAGGCTTCCAATTCGTATCTAGCTGTTCCCTTTTGGGAATATCTTTAACAAAAAAAAAAAGTAGGTTAGGCTTCCATCAAAACTAAACACGCTATCAAATCCTAACACATAGGGCTTGCAACCTTAGTTAGGGCTGTCCGCCGATGGCCCATGGGTCGAAACAATAATATTTATTGCAATGAATGAATATTAGTTTAGGTGATTCGGATACGTGCAGTTGGTATTAGTCTGCGATGGACAAATATTAATCTGTGTGGTGGGTATTAGTTTGCGATGGTCAGATATTAATCTATTCGTCGTGGGTATTTGTCTGCGATTGTCAGATATTAGTCTATGTGAGGTGGGTATTAGTCTCTATGGTGAGGATATTAATTATGGACTGAGTAGATATTGGTCTTAGAGGATATTTGTTATGGTGAACGGATATTATTCTGGGTGGTTTGGATATTTGTTTTGTGTGGATGTGTTATTCTGACGAAGTGATAGAAAGAGAGGAGGAGACTTGCAGATGATTTTTTTTTTAATTTGTGGGCCTCTTTTCTCTCTCCTTGTGAGTATATACTCACAACTTACCTTGTGAGTAGGATAACTAGATTGGAGCCCAACTAGGATTCAATTGAAGTTCAATTAATAAATCTTTTTTAATTTTGTAATTTGACGAATCAAATAAGCGTGACTATTCCATGTACTGGATCGCATCAATAAGAAAGAGACTAATATGATTGGAATGAAGAGCGTAATATGACTGGTCTCCTCTTACGAATTATGCATTATAGGTCATGACTAATCACACTAAAAACGTTACAAGGAATGATCTCCTGCAACATCGTTATATACAACAAGGAATATTTGATTTATCAAATAAGAAACAAACGGCTAAATTACACGTTTGGTCACTCAAATTATACAAATCTTTCACGTTTGCCACCCGAATTACTTTTCTTTCTTATTCGCCACTAACTTTACGAATCGTTTCACGGTTGGTCACCGGCCGTTACACTCCGTTAAGTTTGTCCTACGTGTCAGTCAACTATAAAGTTTGACCGTTAACTAGATGACGTGGAAATTAAAAAAAAAAATTCTTTCCACCTCATCATTGCATTTATTTTGTCTATATAATTTATCATATTAATAATTTAATAAATTACAGCGTGGATTTTGTTCTTAGCCGTCAAGAGACAGTTCCAGCAGTCGTACTCTCCCAGGTCTTCGAAGCAAACCGCGCCGCCTGTCGGGGAGCCTGGGTTGCGATTCGGCATGCTGTGCGTGAACGATGGGTCGTTGTTCCTGTTTCTGTATCCGTACCTCGTCTGATCCACCAACGTATCCACGAGGCGCGCCACGTTGTGGTTGTAGAACTTGCTCTCGGATTTCCCCATGCAGTCTGGTCCCTTCATGATTGTCATGTCTGGGAATTTGCCGTGGGCAAGGCTCGAAACCATACCCAGAACAACGATAGAGGCTACTGCAAATTTCGACCTGTACGTAATTCATATCTTCTTCTTCTTCTTCTTCTTGTGTGTTTTGGGTGAGCAATCGTTGTAACCTGCGGACTTTGATTTTTATAGCTCAGTGTTTATTCCTTGCCATTGGAGATACGTTCCTTTTTGTGTACTGTATATAGAGTTTGAAGTCACTAAAATAGCATGTCTATCCATATCATTTGATGGAGAGACTCCTTCCTTAATCTATAAATACACGTACAACTTGAATCCAATGACAGATCGATCAATCAATCAATCCCCGCTATCAGAGATACTACTGAAGCTCAAGTTGAATCCATCCAATAACAACGAAGATCAACATCCTCATGACGACGACTCCATCAACGGCCATCCTCATCATCGCGACGCTGCTGCTCATCTTTAGTGACGACATTTTCGTCGTCGTCGTCCCCAACAGCGCCTACAACACAGACAAGATCGACGGCGACTGCGGCGTGCTGCTTGGTTCCCTCGACATCAGCAACAAGGTCAGAACCCTAGCACTGAAATCCATGGACGCCGCAATTGGTTTAACAGCCAACGACAACCCCAATACCTGCGCACGTGCTGACTGTTGTTGGCGATATCTTGGTCTTCACCGCCGCCAACTGTTCCGATCGGATATCTAACGACGAATGCAAGCTCTGTCTCTACAACGCGCAGTTCCGGGTCTTCGACCAGTGCGTTGGTAAGGTCGGAGGTTGGCTCGCGCTTGTAGATTGTTTCGTGAGTTATAGCCGCGATCCATTCGTCCTCTGTTAACCATTTTTGTAATTTATTAAATTATTAATATGATAAATTATATAGACAAAATAAGTGCAATGATGAGGTGGAAAGAAAATTTTATTTTGTTATTTTTTTTAATTTCCACATCATCTAGTTAACGGTCAAACTTTATAGTTGACTGCCACGTAGGACAAACTTAACGGAGTTTAACGGCCGGTGACCAACAGTGAAACAATTCGTAAAGTTGGTGGCGAATAAGAAAGAAAAGTAATTCGGATGGCAAACGTGAAAGATTTGTATAATTTGAGTGACCAAACGTGTAATTTAGCCAGAAACAAACAAACCAATTGGGACATAAAACCCTTGAGTAGCACTCCGCTCTCACCTGGGTCGACTACGACATTACCGAAGGTGATGACCATGAAGGGTGTTCCTCGTATAAAAAAATTTATTATTGATAAGAGATGCAAATAATTGGGGTTAATTGCATGGTTGGTCACTGAGATTACAAAAACTGTTCATGTTTGGTCACTAAAAATATTTAAATCCAAATTTAGTACTTAAATTAGTTAAATGGTTCAAGTTTGGTCACTCTCCGTCCAACTCCGTTAAATTTTTCTGATGTGACAGTCAACCCTCAAATTTGATCGTTAACTCAGTGACATGACAATTAAAAAATAATAAATAAAATAAATTTTAATCTTCTTTTATTTCCAACTCATTTTCACAATAAAGTAAAATAAATAAAACAAAAAATTATTATAGTTACAAATGAAAAATTATTATAGTTACAAATTGGTTGAGCGTGTCTTCCTGAGCTGGCACGAGACACGAGTCCATCATCTTTCCTTTCTCGTCATTTCGACCCGGAAGAAAAAAAAACCCCGCAAAAAGTCAGGGAAAGAGCCACCAAACTTTCAATCATAATTTCAAAAATTCATCCTCTTCCTCGTGGATTCTGCTACCAGCGGCTGCTGCTGCCAGCGAAGCTTACAGTAACAAGGAGACACAGCGCCGTCACCACCAGCAAAGCTTATCTTAGACAAACCATGGCCGTCGCGGCAATGGCCGGGGGCGTCGATTCGCTGAGCGACCGAGCCGCCAAGATGAAAGAAGCTCTTCTCAAGAGCCAGACCATCACCGAGAACGTCGTCTCCATTCTCGGCTCCTTCGACAGCCGCCTCTCCGTCCTCGAGACCGCCATGCGTCCCACTCAGGTACCTACCTACCTCCTTTTAGATCGCAGGAAGCTTGAACTTGACGGATGGCTAAGCTGGTGGATGTAATCTGTTATCATCATAACTTGTCGGAATTCTTGATCTAGTCGTTGTTGCGTTGACCGACTACATTCAAAGTGAATAATCACTTCATCAATGGGAAGATAGGGCTCACTGTAGCTTTCAGTGTTGTGAAATGATCTGTGGGATTGCAGAATGCGCGCTGTATAGAACTTGCAATGCATTCGAGTAATTTGTTCCTTCGATGAATCGTTTTGATTGATTTGGTTTTGCGTTATGGTTGTTTTCTGTTCTTTGTAATAGATCAGGACGCATGCTATAAGGAAGGCTCATGAGAACATAGATAAGACTCTCAAGGCTGCTGAGGTTTTATTGGCTGAATTTGACATCTCTCGACAGGTTGGTTCTTCAGTCCTCTGGAAAACATTTTGTGTGCATTTCGGTACGTTTGTTAGACATACTTCCCTGTTAGATAAATGCTTGGTGCTCTGTAATGTGCAACAATTTTCCGATCTCATCAGTTTGAAAGAACCATTTTATGCTCTGTTTTAATTTAATGCATGAGTATTGGCTTAATTTAGTCAGTTATGGTTTCTCAGAGTCACTGTTATCGCCCACGTGTGGTTGTTGCTGTTCAATAGAAAATCTGATGGAATTCTGAACATGGTCAGTAGGGTTAGCTTATGCAGTGTCTTATTTTTGCCTATCCTTTACTGATTGTGTACGCTGCATTCAGCTCATTACCTCTCGGGAGGTTTCTGGAGTTTCGGAACTTTGAACTGCTCTTCATTCTGTTACTATTTTTGTCAAATTCTGAAGAAGACGTCTATGTTTCCATCCAGAGGATGGATACCAAGAATATTTTAGTGATCATTACTTAGTCGTTTCGCATTATTTGAACGTTTCCAGTTCAAAACTCATATTTGAGTAAGATTTCCATTGTTCTTTTGCCTATAAACTCTAGGCAGAACAGGTTTGTTAAATGGGCTATGTAGTCTTGCACTCCAGCTTTATCCTATCATGAATATGGTCTAATCATACATTAATACTAGACCACTGATTAAAAAAAAAAATGAACTTGCTTATAGTCCCACGTGTGTCTCTGTAACCTTGATTGATATAGTCCTCTACTTGGCCGTTTTAACCATCAAGTTTGGCAGGTCTGACCGCACTTAATTTCTTTAGGCCATTCTTCAAATCCATTCTGAACATTTTTCTGTCATTTTTAGGCTTCAAAATGGGTGTTCTGGTTGTTGGTATATACTATTGATACTTCTTCTCTCTGTGGATTCTGTTTCCTCCTGTGGTGCTTCCCAATACATCAGGCAGAGGCACAAATATTGAGGGGACCGCATGAGGACCTTGAAAGTTATTTGGAAGCTATTGAGCAGCTGAGAAAAAATATTCGATTCTTCAGCAGTAGCAAAGGCTTTAAGAGTGGGGATGCAGTGCTCGATAATGCAAATACTTTACTTGCTAAAGCCATATCAAAGCTAGAGGATGAATTTAAGCAGCTACTTGTGTCTTGCAGGTATGTGTTACTGCAAAGTCTGGTATTGGTTATATGGAGCTCCGTTATATGTATCAATCAAGCCGTGTTTCAAATATAAAGGCCTAATTTGTTGTTTTTGTTTCACTCATGGTCGTCACATACTGTCCTCATTGTAAGGGGCAGTCTGTTTCGGGTGGGATACTGTGCTTGTTGTCATTCTCCAGATTGAACATGCTTGTGCCTTCAATCCTTTCATTTTGGCTTTGCTGTGTTTGATATGTATCTGCAAAAGCCATACGGTATCAACGATTATCTTCTGTTATGTCAACCTTTATTTGTAGAAACAATTCACTGATAGTTCTGATTAAATGGCATCGGTAATAATATATTCTTTTTTTCCCGTCAATTATAATATAATATACTATTTTTTCCTTGCAGCATTTGCATAATCTTAGCTTTTACTTCTGTGCAATTGCATGTGAGTTGTTCTCTATGAGATATGTGATAAGCTCTATGCACTAATCCTGCACAAAATTTGTTTTGTTTCTCCAATTTCAGCAAACCTGTGGAGCCTGATCGTCTTTTTGAGTGTCTTCCTGAATCAATGCGACCTTCTGCTGGATCTCCTGCAAACCATGGGGACCCTAATGGCCTAGGTCCTCATTCCCATAATCATTCCGAGCAGCAAAACAGTAATGCAGAGGCAGCCAGTTTTAAACCCCTTGTCATGATACCCCCAAGAACTGTACCTTTGTTGCACGATCTGGCCGTACATATGGTTCAATCTGGGCACCAGCAGCAATTGCTAAAGACTTACAGGTAAATAGTTAATAGTCTCCTAATTTACATCATTTCTGTTATGTCATTAATGCCTGTAGTTTTCTTGACTTGCTCATGCTAAACCATGGATAGCTGTCCCTTCCCTAAATTTCATCATATTCATATGATGTTACTTGCTGCTGATTGTGAACTGGAAAATGACATTGAGCAATTTGATTACTTCTTTCGCCCAAAGAGTAATATATCTGATGCAAAATCGAATCTATATCCTCTAGTACTTTGTGAGGTGTACTCTTTGTTAGTGTGGTGATTGTTGTAATCTGTTTATGCAGATTCAACTTGATCTGAACACTTAAAGACCTTTTCACTTTATATCATCCTCCTTTTTGGTTCTCAGGGATACACGATCCTCAGTTTTGGAAGAAAGCCTTAGGAAATTGGGAGTTGAAAGACTGAGTAAAGAAGATGTTCAAAAGATGCAATGGGAGGTCTTGGAAGCAAAGATTGGGAATTGGATTCATTTCATGCGGATCGCAGTAAGGACTGAAACTTATATGTCTCACTTCTTTTGTTTTGGTTGTTGGTTGCTTATCATACTTTGAGCAGGTCAAGATCTTGTTTGCTGGAGAAAGGCGACTTTGCGATCAAATCTTTGATGGGTTTGATTCTCTGCGAGATCAATGTTTTGCCGAATGCACAGGCAATAATGTGTCAATGCTTCTCAGTTTTGGAGAAGCCATAACCAAAAGCAAGAGATCACCAGAAAAATTGTTCGTGCTTCTAGACATGTATGAGATTATGCGAGAACTTCATTCAGAGGTATGTTTAGCGACGGCAACTAACAAGAATGTTGATGTTTGCTTGGATGCAGTATATGGCAGGATTAGATATAGCCTTTTACTTAGAGAATAGCTCAGTGTTTATGGTTCGTGAGCCCATTTTCACTTTGGTCTTATTTTTTTATCCAGGAAGTTCCATGTCTGCTCTAACATTTTTTCGATTGCTGCTGCTACACTCACATTTGTTTATAGGTGATTCAGAAGCATGAATTATGGACTCATCTTTCACTAATTTGATTCGTTCAAACTTCTGCCTAGCTGCCTGAACTTTTTGGCATATATTAATTCTCTCTTAGGTAGCAGATATGCATGGGTTTTTTATTTTCGTTTTCCAACCATTATCCGCATTTTACTCTATAGGGGTCTGCCGATTCATAATGCATAAACACATGAAAATTTCACAATTTCAGTAGTTGCTCTTAAAAGTGACTGTGATACCACTAAAAACTTTATCGCCATTTCCTGTGCAGATTGAGTCAGTTTTCAGCGGTAAAGTTTGTGCTGAAATTAGGGAATCTACATTGGGCTTGACAAAGAAGCTTGCCCAGACAGCTCAAGAAACTTTTGGCGATTTTGAAGAAGCTGTTGAGAAGGATGCAACTAAAACAGCTGTACTGGATGGAACTGTTCATCCCTTGACTAGCTATGTTATTAACTATGTAAAATTCCTTTTCGAGTAAGTTCATCTGATCTTGATTTTTACCAACCAAACATCAACTATATTTCCAACTGATTGTGCTTCATAACTGAGTGCTAATTATGCATCTATAAACTGGTGCAGCTACCAATCGACGTTGAATCAACTCTTCCGAGAATTTGAAACTGGGGGGGAGACAGTTTCGCAGTTAGCTACTGTGACCATGCGAATAATGCAGGCTCTTCAAACCAATTTGGATGGAAAGTCTAAGCAGTATAAAGATCAAGCTTTGACGCACCTGTTTCTGATGAACAATATTCACTATATGGTCAGATCTGTCCGCAGGTTTGTTATGAATGTGTTTCCTGGAAATTTCTTAGCCATGCCTTGTAGGTTATAATGCTTGGTTGACTTTCAGATCTGAAGCCAAGGACTTGTTGGGAGATGATTGGGTTCAACGACACAGAAGAGTTGTGCAGCAACATGCAAATCAATACAAAAGGACTGGTTGGGGAAAGGTGCTCTTCTCTCTTCTCGATTAAATGAAACCTGATGCTAACCAAATCTTGAACTGCAATTTTCCCCTGTCTAATCTTGAAATCTTGTGACGTTTTACTCACCAAGGTATTAGTATTTGAAGGTAATGATGCATCTCCTTAACTAAGTCTAGGTCTCACACGAATTGCTAAACAGAAGATAGCATTATAAACATTGAACACGGTACCCAAAGTGAATCCCATATCAATGGACGTAGAGTGATCTTTTGTGGACCTTTCTTGTACTATGAAATGATGCAACAAAGTGAAGTTACTGATTTTCAAGCTTTAGCGAGAATGGTTGGGTGTGTACCCATATTCTATTAGTTTATTTTGCTGCTTAATTGATGCTGTGTTTTGCTCTTGCAAACTATGTCATCTACTTTCCTGGAAGATCGAAAGACACGTTGAATTTCTTGTTCAGTTTTAGGCTCATTCCTCTTAATGTTATCAAATTTGAGACCCTTTTCAGTACAAGGATAATTAATAAATGTGTTGGAAGGAATCTGGCTCATGAAATAGCGAACCTTTTCCAGATTCTTCAATGTGTCTCTGCTCAAGGCCTAACTTCATCCGGAGGAAGTTCTTCAGCACCGGGTGAGAGTGGAAGTGGCAGCGGTGCTTCAAGGGGATTGGTGAAAGAGAGGTCATATCGAGTTCCCGGCCCATTTCTATCTCGTACCGACTTTTGCATATCTTGCCCTGGCCTCATAAATGTCGTCCCTTACCATGTTTTCCAGGTTCAAGATCTTCAACGTGCAGTTTGAGGAACTCCACCAAAAACAATCTCAGTGGACGGTACCTGACACCGAGCTGCGAGAATCTCTGAGGCTCGCGGTCGCTGAAGTCCTGTTACCTGCTTACCGATCTTTTGTAAAGCGTTTCGGGTAATGCAGTAGTTCAGATTTGTTTCAGAAAGCATACTACAGTGATTGTACTTCTAATCACATTTATTTCCAACAATCACCTAACAGGCCACTGGTGGAGAGCGGGAAGACCCCACAGAAGTATATAAAGTACACGGCTGAGGACCTGGAGAGAATGCTTGGTGAGTTTTTCGAGGGCAAGACGCTGAATGAACCGCGGCGGTAGATGCTTTAAGAAGTCGAGACCACCTCATCGGTTTCCCTTCCCTGGTTTTTGCTCTTTTTTGGCTGTTGTAAATTTGATAGGAAGGGGACTGTGTGGGCTCTCTAGGTTCTATAGTGTTGCTATGATGCTTTCTCCTTGCGTGATCTGTTCCAAAGTCGGCTGCGAAATATGAAAGGGGCCTCTTGTATGTATCCATCCTGCTTCTTGTTTGTTCTGTAAAGGTAGAGAAAAGCCAGACTGTTCGTTTATTCTTCGGGCGAGGCTTGCGTTAAAACGAAGCCAGACCAGGTCCTAGACGACCGCAAAGGTGTAGATTGGTGAAAGTTATTTCTTAATTTCATGTGTACTGAACTCTTTGAGTGTTGTATGTACAGTTTGGAAGAACATGATTGCCTCTGAACTTCTTCCTTGCTGATTCTACATGCTGGTTGAAAACGTTACATGAACGAGTATCAAGTAAGGAGCAGCATTGCCTGGTTGGTGCCTATTTCGTTGGAGACATGGCAGCCCATATTAGGGCTTACAGCGTCGGTAATGGTCTAATAAACATGGTTTGAAACCAGGCTGGAGATGTTATCCAATGATTAGGTTGAATAGTATTTAGTTATACCATAGTGATCTAATTGGTAGTATGCTAATAAATATTCGATATTAAACTATGCTAAAATGTTATGTTATAGCCAATAACTCGGAACAGCCCTAGGTGCGTCGAAAATGTGGGTACCTGCCGGAAAGGAATGACCCAGGGAAGCTAGGTAATCGGCAACATAATTAGCCTCCCGATAAACACGAACTAACTGCACCTGCCAAGGACGACTCAACGAGCGCCTAAGCTAAGCAATACAAGAGCTCACTTCAAACTTTACGATCATCATCATCGTCGTACCTATATTTTACTTGAGCAATATTTATGCCACCTTGAACCTTCTGATTAGCAGCAAAAACACTGCTGCTTCCTCTGATAGGTGGTACTGCTCCTGGTGGTAACTGATTCTCCTGCGTAATCGGCCCCAACGATCTCGGGCCGTCATCCGGGAAACATGGCCCAGTGTCCAGCGACGCCGCCAACAACAGGCTTGTGGATCATGAAAGAGCGAGCGTTAACACTCAACACCATGGTTGCCAAGTGGAGCACCCCACCAGGCATGGCACTTAGTTAAACAATTGACAACCACTTCTCTAATGAATGTTGTGCATTGAGACCAACAGAATCCATAAACAAGAGGTGGATAACCACTTACATTGCAATTACTATCTAATGTGGAAAACGATTCTGCCAAAGCAGTCTTTGTCTAAGAGCACCATCATCTTCTGCTTCAGCTTCACTGTCGTCGTTTTGGTGGCTTCCACCTCCACTGGCCAAGTAAATGTCATCATCATCATCGTCCGAGTGAACGTTGAGTTCGTCATCCACATCTGATTCGGAAATGGAGACGGGAGCATGGCGTGCACTCCAGTCTGGAGGGAAGGTTTTCTGCAGTGCTTCTGTGATGTCCCCACCTGTTCTCTCGATCTTGCGCAAACACCTGGACCAGTGGACCGCCGTGCCCATATCGAATGTCAGCTCAGATTCCACCATCTCTCTGCAGATGGACAGAATCCCAGAGTAAATAGTGGATGTCTCGGCCACGGTAGCCCTGGAGAGAAGCGATGTCATCAAACAATGGTAAACAGCCTTGTCAGGCTTTAATCCCTCAGTCTTCATTTGTTCGAAGCATTCCAGCGCCTTCTCAGGCAGAGATGCTCGAGCCCAACCATAGATCAAGGTTGTGTATGTTTTCACATTTGGCTTCACTCCGAAGGTTGCCATTTCATCCATGGTCTTTGATGCTTTCTGAAATACAATACAAAGAAGGCGAGAGGGACAAATTATCAGGTCATAGTCATCTGAAATAAGTGGCCGAGCTCGATATGGGTTAAGATAAAGATAGCATACCGCCATGTCACCAGCCTTGCAGCAAGCATTTATAAACGAAGTGTATGTGTGAATGTCAGGTTGCACTCCCTCTTGCTTCATTTGTTGCATAAGGTCAGCAGCCTCCCACACATCACCTCTCCGAGCCCATCTGAAAATAATCCTCGACGGTTAATTAGGCAGAAGCGAAGGAAAACAAATGAACCAATCTGCCTGAGAATCTCACCCGTCAATCAATATGTTGTAGACGAAACAGTTTCTGGGAATGTTTCGGGCACTCATTTCTTTAGTGACTGCTAAGGCACTTTGCATTCTTCCAGCTTTGCAGCATGCCTTCAACAATGCCTCATAGGTGAACACATCAAGTTCAAGCCCTTCATTTCTCAGTTTGGTGAAATACTCGAAAGCCTTGCCCGTATCACCTAATGCAGCAAAACCATGCATGATGGTCGTGTATGTATGTTCGTTTGGACCTACCCCTGCTAGTGCCATCTGATCCAATATTTCAACTGCCTTCTCCATCTGACAAGTTAGTAAGAATATCAGATACCTATAATTAGTGCTTTTAGGCTGGAACACAAAATCACAAAATTACCAAGACTAACCAATAAGGCAGATCACTGAGATTATGAGAAGTCACTAATTTGACTAACCACTAGGAATCTTTACCGATTCACTAAAAGGAGTATCAAGTGAAAGCATCCTACCAATGTTGGATGTTAAGGGCAACGATCAACAGAGAAAAAGCTACTCAGCAACGCATAATGAAAAATGCTATTTCTTGTAAAAATGAGCATTTTCCCTAAGAGAGGTGTAGAGGACCAAGTGATCATTTATAGACTACACATTTGGGTTCAAGGTTTGACAAGTACATGGAGACAGTAACATGTAAAATTATATAATAACAAGAACCTCTAAGATGGGGTCTAGAGACTTTTAACCAAGTAGCAGACTTCAACAAGTCAACTAGTCAGAGCATAAATATACCTGACGCTTCTCGACAAGACCAAGAATCAACGCATTGAAAGTGTGAACTGTTGGAATGCACCCACTCCGCCTCATCATATCGAAAGTATCAAGGGCTCTTCTCATGTCCCCAGCTCTAGCAAATGCATGAATGATGGGCATAAACGTGCGTGTAGTAGGTCTATGCCTTTCCTTTTGCATTTGGTTGACCATCTTGATGGCACGGTCCATGTTTCCCATGCAACAAAATGCATTGATGATGTTATTATATAGCACCACATCAGGTTTCAGACCATCTTTAACAACATCCTCAAAAACTGCAAATGCATTTGCCCAATCTTTTAACTTCACGAATCCATTGATAAGCATGGAGTATGTCTTCATGTTATGTTTGATGCCATCAAGCTCCATCAGCTTGCAAACTTCCATTGCTTTAGAAACTTTTCCAACCTGAGACGAACTTGAAGTTTAGCACAATAACTTGCCTCCAATTATTAAGCGAAGAAAGGGATTTTTGGATAGCTGAATCAGTTCCTAAAGCAAGCAAGAAGCAGTTTCATGCAGAGTTGACAGCACAAGCCCCGGATACTTAATTGTAAGATTTTTACATAGCTATTATATAAACCTAAACAAGGTTCTGAACCAAAGAAAGAGGGGGGAACAGAGACAATTTAAATGAGCAGTACAAATCAACTTCCTCTATGAGATAATACTACTAAAGATCTTTGCATATCAATCATAGATTAATGTGGCTTTATTTCATACAGCTTGTTCCATCTTCTCCTTCATCTTTAAGTTCAAATTGCAAGCTATTGCATAACTCTCTGTGGAACACAAACAATTCTAAGTTTCATGTCTTTCATGTGAAGTTTCAGCACCTTCTAATTAAGAACTACAACTCAATGACCACCGTCTAAGTCTACAATCAAAAAGCAATAACAATCCCTTATTAAGATAGGTAAAAGAAAATAATAAGCTTGCCTTGATGTAGAGGTTGATGAGACATCCATAACTGACAACTGAAGGTGAAAATCCACATTCCTGCAGGAATAAATAATTGATTTACATAAACGCAATAAACAGAAGTGGTAATGCAAATATGCAATTGACTGTAAAGTTCAAGACTTGTAGCATGAGTCACGAACAAATAAATTCATGGAATTGTATAAAATTTATCTGGTGTTGGCCTCCTAAACGTTCGCATCCTGTTATACCTAATTTCTTTACACAACAGGAGCCACCTAGATACCATAAGGAGAAATTCTATCCAATTCATTGTGTATGTCTCACAGAATGTACATCAAGGAAGATGAATGCATCAAAGGATGATCTAGTGGGATCCCGCCAAAGCAGAATGAATCATTTCATTTTACCACTTGGCTTCCACATAGAAATATGAAATGAAGCTCATGCATGCGTTAACGCTATGGAACCCAAAAGATAACAACGATGTGCTCTAAAACAAGGGGAAAGACCAAACAGAATATGGTATCCAATATGTATTAAGACCTTACAACTCGTATGGAAATCTAGTTGCATTTCAAAGACAATGTTATGTTGAAACGTTTTAGAAGAATTTACAACCAGAAGAATCCCCATTACAGACATTGACATGACAGTCATTACTTACCTTAAGTCTTTGAAAGACAACCAAACATTTCTCTTCATTGCCAATCATAGTGTATCCATCCATCATTGTGTGGTATATGTCAATAGGAGCATCTATACCTTCTTCTTCCATAACCCTTACTAATGCTTCAGCTTTATCCATATTATATGTTTGACTACAATTAACACATATCTAAGTGTTAGGCAAAAATAGATGCAGCTCAATTATCAAAGAAGAAGAAGAAAGATACATCTTATAAACAAAATTAATGTGCATTCGACGGCCATGGAACTGAGCAGGTGAGTAAGTAGCAAACAATCTACAACAGGACCGAAGAGTTTGATATGGAAAAAAGAACTGCCACATTAAGTATGGAAGTCAAAATACTAACCAATGAGCATATATAATACTCCCGTAGATGATTGAATTTAAGTTTGAATGTCTCTCCTTGGCCTCATTGAACCAGTAATCAGCAGCCCTTTAACAAAACAGAAAAACAATGTTAGTTTCTCGAAATAGAAACGGTAAACATTAGAAATCTATCTAGGAAACTATGGTAATCAGAAAAGAGCAAACCACCCAGAATAAACAAAGAACGGTACGCAAAGGCTATTTCACAAGCACAAGGAGAAGTAACCGAGATCTAAGGCTAAGAACCAGCTTAAAACTAATAGACCATATTCCTCTGATACAAACCAGTTTGGAAAACAATAAAAGGAAACCCTTGCTTACTGAATAGGCGTTGTTTGCTTACTCAGCATTGCCAACTTTTGCGAATCCACCAACAAGGATGCTGTAAGTCACCAAACTCAATTCAACACCCTCTTCCTTCATTTTCCTAACACAAGACAGTGCTTCTTCCATGTCTCTACCAACTGCATAAGCATGTATAAGGCTGCATGAAATAAATTATTTTAATCTCAAAAGCAGCAGTATGACGTACATAAGCTTGAGCAAACAACGGAAATTGACAACTCAACCTAGAAAACAAATGTTTAGCACACAAATTATTATAACACCAACATCATCAGCAGGGAACAAGACATACAA